TCCTGTGTCGTTGCTGTCATAGACTTCAATACACAACAGCATGAGAAAAACGCAAAGCAAGCTCTTAGTGTGGTAATTAGTACACAGAAGGCATCTATTTCATCTATTCATATTAGGTGCTTAACCACTCCTCAGGTAGCAGTCTAAGCCCCGGGAATTACAGCCAGTAAGAGGAAAAGACAAAAATGCTCCTGTCCTGGAGCTCACATGTGTAGTACCATATCTGTAAGTTTAGCCCAGAGTAGGATTCCTACCGCTACATACATGCAGGGAGCCCAGCCTCCTCCTGTCTGGGCCCAGGTCGTACCTGGAGCAGCACCCCCAGCCGCAGCAGGCACTGCTTCTTGGCCGTCATCACAAAGTAGTGAGTATCATCCTTGTAGTACACAATGTTCTCCAGATCAATCCCTGGGGCACAAAGCACAGATTACCTCTCGAGACTCCCAGCCCACGGCTGATCTCAGAGGCGAAGTCACAGCTTAGGCTGCAGCGAGCATGCTACACACAGATCTGGTGGCACCAAGAACCAAGTGTCCTGGCCCAGGAGGTGTGGCAGTTTGGAGCAAAGAGGGAAACAGGTGGAGTGACAGCTAGGAGGCCTGTATCACTTGGCCACGTGGCAGCATAAAGCCAAAGTCAACATGGCATCCTCTTGAATGCCACTTCCGTTTTCAACTTACATCATTCTTGCACTCCTGCATGAAGGAGCACAAAGCAAAATGCCCAGGCATTTAAGACACAGTTCCTGGAGTTTTCACTGAGCAGCTGCTTGGTCCCTAGAGAACAGTTCTTTCTCTTTTGCTGTTGAGACCACAAGGATGGACAAGAGTGGGGTTCCATGGACCAAGGGCAGGTGTGACAGGCAAGTGGGAAACATCCCATAGTACAGCAAGGGGAGGGACTTCGAGGGTGGCCTCTGACCTGTGGCTTTGAGCAGGCTCTGGAAGAATTTTTGGTTGTAGATCCGGGCTACACCACTGATCTCTGGCACCTGTGTCTCCTCCACCGTACGCCCATTTACAAAGTTGACTGTGATGCCGATGGCCAGTTTGCCACGCATCTCTCGGATGGTGAAGCCTAGTGGTAGGAAGAGGTGGGGTTAACACTCCTAGGAAGGCGCATTGGAGCCTAGGATGCTGGCATTTATTTATTTATTTATTAACTTGTTTGTTGTTTTTGAGGAAAAGGATTGCTCACCTTCAGGGACAAATTTACCCCCTGCAGCCGAGATGAGGACATCAAATTCATAGTTGGCCAGTTGGGCTGGGGGACTGGGCTGGAACTGGGCGTGCCAGCCACTCCCTGGGACAGAGAGTATGAGAGCCACAAAGGTGTAGAGGTGGGAGGGGCCCTAAACTCCCAGGTCAAGCTAGAGAAACAAAATAAACTTGTAAAAGACTTCACAGTCTGGAGAGTAGGGAGGATTTGTTTGTAGATTACACCTTTGCAGCAGGTGAGCAAAGTCACGTTTTCCTGTCTTGCCATCCCATTTGCATGCTGTCTGAGGCTAGGGTTGCCCAGGCCTCACTGTCAGGAAAGAGTCAGCTGACTCCCACCCAGACCCACCTTTCCATCTCGCACAGACCTCTCTTTGGTGGGTAGGGTTCCCAGGAGCACAGAAATACTTACCCTTTCTGGGAGGGGGCTGGAGGCCAGTGAAAGCAATGCCCCAGTGAATTTCCACCCCTAAGAGTAACGCCACCTTCAGGAGAAGTAGCTGGAGTTGTCGGATGCCTGGAAGCAGGATGACATTAGCGCCAGACTCACGCCTTCCCTAGCTCCGGTGTGTGCCTGTGCAGAGCTAGAGAAGGTCTTAGAGGCCACTGCACCACACAACCCTGAAGACACCTGATGACATCTCAGCTCGGAAGCCGAGCAGCTCACACTGTCCCTTTTACAGATGTCAGATCTGGATCTTAAAGGCCACCCAGCTAAAGTGACTCTTGTTCATGCTGCCTCTTCTCTGGGCCTGCCATCTCTCTTTGGCCCGCCTCTAGACTCAGGTACACCCACCCAAGGGCCACCATGAAGCTCTTACTGATGTGGTCCAGGGTGCCAGTACAGAATCGCCCGTAGAACTTCTTGGCCCCAAGTGCCCGAAGGTCATGGATGGTGAAGGGCCAGAGGTGCAGCACATTGTGCCGAGAGAACTTGGTACGCTTTTCCACAAGCACCACTCGGGCGCCTAACAGTGCCAACTCCACAGCAGTTCGAAGCCCACAAGGCCCAGCACCTACCACCAGGCACTGCAAACACACAAGAATGAGCAGATGCAGCAACGCGCTTCCTTCTGACTCCCCTCCCGCTCACACCCTCCCGCTCACACTCCTCCACACACCCCTCCCGCTCACACCCTCCCGCTCACACCCCTCCCCTCACACCCTGCTCACACCCTCCCGCTCACACCCTCCCGCTCACACGCTCACACCCTCCCGCTCACACACACCCCTTGGCTCACACCCTCCCGCTCACACCCCTCCACACACCCCTCCCCCTCACACCCCTCCCGCTCACACCCCTCCCGCTCACACCCTGCTCACACCCTCCCGCTCACACCCTCCCGCTCACACGCTCACACCCTCCCGCTCACACACACCCCTCGGCTCACACCCTCCCGCTCACACCCTCCACACACCCCTCCCCCTCACACCCCTCCCGCTCACACCCCTCCCGCTCACACCCTGCTCACACCCTCCCGCTCACACCCTCCCACTCACACGCTCACACCCTCCCGCTCACACACACCCCTCGGCTCACACCTCTCCCGCTCACACCTCTCCCGCTCACACCCTGCTCACACCTTTCCTGCTCACACCCTCCTGCTCACATCCCTCCCGCTCACACGCTCACACTCTCCTGCTCACACGCTCCCGCTCACACCCCTCCCAGACTCTAGATATCTACCTTGGTGTTGGCACAGGCCTGGCCTTGCTGGTACACAGGCTGGCTTGCTCTCTTGTCCAACTTGGCCCACAGTGACTTGGCACTCCAGTAGTTGAGTTGTGCCTTGATCTTGTGGTACTGAGGTAATCCCCCGCCCGGCTCCAGTCCCAGGGCTTCACAGAGCCCCTGAAAGCTGCTCAACACATCTCGGCACAGCTGCGCCTGCACGAAGCTCTCGAAGTGGGCATGTGCTGGGTTGGTGGAGGCTGTTGAAGCCATGTAGGGCCCCTGACAAGAGGAGCAGCTGGGCCAAACCCAGTGGCTGTGGAAGGAAGGACAAGAGACTGGAAGGAGGGAAAGGAAGAGGGGAGGAGCCGGCAGGGCAGGCTGGTGTCACAAGGGAGCCCAGGGCCCACCTCTGATTGGCTATGCTCCCAGCGAACTCCCATGCCAGGATCTACCCCAGAGACAGCAGCAATCTCTTATCTAGTGAAATTCGCCAAATTTGGGAATGAAAACTCAGTAGTCCTGGGCACACAAGGCACAAGGACACCAAGAGAACTTCCTGTCCAGCCACCCAAGAACCACCGCGTGGGATCTCTGAGGCCCAGGGGACAGGAATTGTAGTAGGCGTTCCCTAGGTCTTGAAACTAGGGCATGGGGGAGTTTCTCAGCTGGCTGCCTGGGGTGGGAGGTGGGGGTGGAGGTTTGTTTCCCTTCTTGTAGACCTTCCAGAGCTAACACCGCAAAGCAACTGCAGTTGCTTGACAGCCACACGCCCATTTCACCCGAAGTCTCTGCGAGCCAGCGCCCTTTGGCGGACAGAGTGCCACGCTGATTGTGGGATGTGCCTCTCCCCAAAGGCAAAGTTCTTTCCACGTGCTTGTCTCCTGACAAGGGGCAACAGTCAGCCCCTCAGGTTCCACTTCCCACCACCCAAACTCCCCTCACAAATAGCCTGAGAATGTTGCGACTGTCTTGACTCGAGACCATCTGACTCACTGTGGTCAAAACACTTCCCCTGTGATCTTGTCACTGCTCCAGCGGGCTGTGGGAAGGAGCGGGGGCAGCAGCTGAGCTCGCCCCTCCCGAAGACCCTCGCGTCCAATCGCCCCCTAGCCTCACTCGCATCGGCGCTCCTGTGTGCCCTCCTAGGAATCTCTAGAGACAAGGTCTCTCTTTGTACCCTTTCCTTCCCTCCAGCCCCCACGCCTCACGAGAGATCTGGAAGAGCTTTCTCACGCTGCGACCGGAAGAGGCGAAGATTATGGGGGATGGGTTGCTGTCGGTAGGGGAGGGGGCTAGGTGGAGTAAGTCCTTGTGGGCGGAACTCTCATCCCCCAGCAGCCCCTCCATTGCCCGCGCGGCAGGAGGAGGCAAAGGATGCCCACCGCCGGTCACTGGAACTAGAGTGGATAGGTCTTCAGAAAAGGTAGAAGTCCCTCTTGGAAGCGGGAGTCTCGCGGGTTGGAGCGTCCTCTGCTAGAGGAAGTAAAGGAGGTACCCAGCTTGGAAATACCCGCGCAAAGGATGTGCCATGGGTGGCGCGCCTAAAGGGATGGAACTAGCTGGACCTTGGGCAGCGGAGGCGAGGAGCTCCCGGCGCTCTAGACAGCAAAGTCTGCACAAAGGGGCTGGTCTGGGCAGGGCCGGCGCGGGGACCCGCTAACCAGCCAGGCGTGGATCCCTAGCCTACACCAGCCCATTTCCCCCAAGCGCTCCCCACCCCCATTCTCACCCTCACCCCCAGCGCAGCGGACCGGAGGGGGTCCAGCTGGCATCGCTGGAGTACTTACCCTGAGGTTCTGGGGCTGGAAGAGCCGCTTCCTGTCGGAAGGGTGTCCCAGGGCTAGGGCGGAAGAAGGCTTGGCGCAGGGAAAGTAGAGGAGAAGCCAGGGAGTTCCGAGGAGTTTGGACCGCAGCGCCAGCGCTGAACAGCGCAGAACACAGCGGAAGGTATATCCGCACCTCCTTACCCGGCTGTCCTTTTGGGACAGCCCCGGGCCCCGCCCACGCCTGCAGGGTGGTGCTGTAGGGCGTGGTTCAGCTTATACTCCGGGCTTTTGGGGGCCTCCAAACGGTCTAGCTGGGCAGTGACAGGGAAAGCAGGGCCCTGAGTGACCGTGCCTGAGTCCACCGCGGTGGTACTAAGCTTCAAGCCACTTCCGAGAGCTGGCGGAGGGTCTGCCGGCCTCCTGCAAGAAGTTTGTTGAAACTGCAGGGTCCAAGAGTGGCGCCAGATGTCTGAGCTCTCTTCGCCTCTCCCACCAAGAAATCCACACCCCTGGCGCCACTGAGGATCCAGTTGCGGGGTCCTTCTCTCCTGGGACAGGTCAGCCGGCTCCCAGGCTCAGGCTAAGGACAAGCTTTAAGTCCTGGTCCGCATCTTTCAACCAGGTACAAAATAAGGGAACAAGGGAGCCGTGTGTGTGTGTGTGTGTGTGTGTGTGTGTGTGTGTGTGTGTGTGTGTGTGTGTGTGTGTGTGTGTGTGTGTGTGATCAACTAAGAAAGGCAGCATGGAAGGGGTGGAGAGATGTAGCTCTTCAAGGATCAGAACTGAAGGGGTGGAGAGATGTAGATCTTCAAGGGTCAGAAGTGAAGACCCAAGAAACAGAATACTGAGAAACTTTAGAATCAGTCTTAGTGTTTCCCATAGTGAAAGGAATTGTCCACAATCAAGCAGCTTTAGGTAAAGTTAATGAAATAGCAGTTCTCAGTTATTGAATGAGTGTTACAAAATCTATTTAACTGAAGGTCAGAGGCTTCATTACCGCACAGAATAAACAGCCAATGGCATAGCTGGTATCCGACCCTGGCAGGCCTCTCTGGATTTCAACCTACCACTATTAACCCATGTCTGGCATTATAAGGAAGTGAAATACTCGATACACCAGAAGTGCTTAACCTAGGAAGAAACGGTCATCTCTCTCCTTGATCCAGGGAGCATAAGGAGCAGGTTCAGTGGCCTTTTGTGTTTATTCTCATTTTGCATTTTCTGCTGAGACACTGGGATACCCAGTAGATCCTGAACACTGGCACTCTCAGCTGCAGCTGATAAGAAGGAAGAGAGAAAGAGGGAGAGACAGAGAGAGAGAGACAGAAAGACAGAGAGAGAGAGAGAGGGAGAGAGACAGAGAGAGACAGAGAGAGAGTGAGAGACAGAGAGACAGAGAGAGAGAAAGAGAGAGAGACAGAGAGAAAGAGAGGAAATGGCAGCTGTCCCACCCTCAGGAAGAAAGGGCAGCTTCTCAGCCGTCCCCACTTTAACTCGAGTGTGATGTCATTTGACTTGGAACATTTGCAGAGCGCCAGACACACCCATACTTAAACACACAGTGTAAAATGCTCTAAAAGGCCCACTATAAACAGACAGGCAGGCTTTTAGTATCATCCTTCTCCCTTTCATTAGCAGAAGGACGCCTGCAACTTAACCAGGTCTTGTTTTCAAAAGGCCCAGGTTTCTCCTGACACTTTCAGTTGCAGCCGGAACAGGGTTATGTGTCTCTACGAACAATAAACTATCAAAACTGCCTGCTAAAGATCATAAAACGAGTTCTTTGGCTCTTGAAACCCTGCCGACTTCTAGGTTTCTTTGACCCACAGAGCTGCGGGGAATGCAGTGGTCTGGGATCCAGAAGGCCTGGTGAACTTCTGCGCCCAGCCCCAGGGCGACTAGAAATCCCCAACACTACTTTACAGTCTTCTCACCTCTACACGGTGGTGTTTAGTGACTCGTTTTCCTTAGTCCATTTCAGTTCTGGGTTCTTTCTACTCCATGTTGCTGATCCTCAGAAATGTACAGAATAGAGCAAGCATTTTTTTTCCTGTTAGAATCTTGAGTTACAATCCACAATTGCATACTTATAGGAACTAAAAGTAGTTTAGCTTAGTAGTTGGCATAGTCATACAGATAGTTTATATTAGATCAAATGCATAGTCATACAGATAGTTTATATTGGATCAAATATAAAAAAATGACCCACACATGAAAATTCAATTTTAAAGAATCCCATTCTAATGGCTTTGGGAAAAACTGCACGAGCAGCTGCTTGGTTAAGGCCCGGAGCCACCAAGGGCAGGATCCTCTTTTTTTGTGCCCAGACGGTGTTCTGTCTTTCTACAGTGCCATTCTCACTTCCTTATCTCACCTCCCAACCTTTGATCTTCTGGGCTTGGAGCCAGAAAACAAGTTTCTTATACCCTGGGAGTGTAAGACAGTATTAGGCAGTCTATAACAATGGCCTTGACCTGCGGCTCAGTGTCTTGGACTCTGGTGGGCCTGACCTAGAGTCAGTACAGCCCAGGCACCCACAGTCCTGATGTAAAACAGACACCAAGCCAAAGGTGCAACAGGCACCTTTGTTTACAAGATGGTGGCTTGATGAAGACTACAGGGCCTGGGCGGGACTCTCCTCATTCTCACCCAAAGGATCTGAGTCAGAGAGTAGCACAGGCAGCTTTCCAGCTGAGGAGCCTTCTGGCCCTAGCCCTCAGGCAAAAAAAGAGCTGGGTGTGTATTGGCCAATAGCTAGGTAACCAGTGTTTAGGAAGTGAGAATGCTGAAGAGGAAGCAGGGTTGGGTGGGTTTCTTTGCTTTGTTTTTTGTTTTTTCTAGGTGCAGAGGGGAAACTACAGGAGTTTAAGCAGAAAGGAACATGGTCACATCTGCCACAACTAAAATAATGCAATCTACCATTTTAGCAAGATATTCTGTTTGTTGCTAAAGGAATAGTGGTGAAATACAATGGATTACAACCTTGTACTGGAGAAAGGGCCTGGGTAGGGGAATTAGAAGCCATAACTCAGAACCCATGGCAGAGTCTAGGCAAGGGACACAATGGACAGTGGGGATAGGACAGGATAGACTCCAAAGATAGCTTGAGGTGAAACTGATAAGACCTAGTGATAGATGCCATGCGGGCAGAGGGTGTGTGTGTAGAGCCTCATTAAGAATCACTCCTGGAGCTGGGCGTTGGTGGCGTATGCCTTTGATCCCAGCACTGTGAGGTCAGCCTGGTCTACAGTGCCAGTTACAGGACAGACTCCAAAACAATACAGAGAAACCCAGTCTCAGGGAAAAAAAATAGAATCACTCCTGGACTGAGGATGCAGCTCAGTTGGTAGAGTGCTTGTCTGGCATTCAAGAAGCCCTGGTTTAATTCCTAGTGTCATATGAAAACTGGATGTAGTGGCGTCTGCTTGTGACATCGGCACTCTGATGGTGGAAGCGGGAAAATCATAGTTTAAGGCCATCCTCCACTACATAACAAGTTCAAGGCCATCCTGAGCTGCATGAGACCCCATCACAAAATAAGCACAGAAGCTAAGCACTTGCTCTTCTTGGGTGAGTCTGAAGGAAACTGGCCTGCCAGTCTTTCCCCTCTTCTCTCCACACTTGTCCCTCTGTGTGCCGCTATTTCTGAAGTCAGAGAATGCTTTCACAGGCCCCTAAGTACCAAGCGACTCAGTCCGAGACTCCTTTTGCTCTTCAGACACCAGCAGTCACTTAACCATGTAATTTAAAACGTGGCTTTTCTCTAATTCAACCCGATAAAGTTTCAGCTTAACTTTAATTTAACAGGGTAGAGTAATATGGAGTTAGCCAAACATGGTGTTGCACACTTGCAATCCCAGAACTTGGTAGGTGGACACAGGAGGATCAGAAAATCAAGTCAACTTTGCTCTGTATGAGATCCTGACTCAACAAACCAACTAAATTAAAACCAAGAGCCAAATTATTCTTTAGGAAATTATTTTTAAATTATAAGGCGATGCATCACACTTACTAAAATTCAGAGTAATAAATCCATGCCTCAGGACACAGAATTTCTCTTCCATGTGTGCACATTTCTTTTCTTCATCCTACACTTCACTTTACAAAAAAAAATTGCACTTTTCAAACTCAAGAACAAACAAACAAAGCCAAGATTCCTTGCTGGTGGTCAAGTTCCTGAATTTTATCAAAAATCTGGTTAAATGAGCCTTAACTCAAAAAATTCGTCTAATATGGAACATTTCAATTGAGAATTGCCTGCTAAGTAACGTCTTTGTTGCCTAACCAGGGGTAATGACTCTGAAAACAAGTCCATTACAGTGACACTAGCTTCCGAGGTCACTCCTTCCCACCCGACATGGCAGGCTAGGGAGAGTTTGGTTTCAGAGGTTACACAAGCAGGAACAAAAGTTGTTGTTTTTAAATTCATGAGGATTTAGACTGAAGTTTAGAAATAGAAGAGAAAATTTAGCTTAATACTTATAAATCAAATCTGTCCTAACTTTGGGGAAAAGAAAAAGAGTGGCCCACTTAGCTAGGGTAGCTAAGAGCACTTCCATCTTCTAGCAACTTTCATCTAGTTGGTAAATTTTGATTAATAACAGAGTTAGCACCGGTATTATTGAAATTATGTTGATCCATTTCTGTAGGAGGGACCATAACTCTGGCTTTATGTAAGTTTGACCATGTGCCAACCTTTCAGACAAACACCCTCACTTTTTGTCGCAAGCCATTTTTGTGAACGCAGTATAATGAGATCAACCAGGCTATGACTCGGTAACACATCATCTCTTTGGACTTCACTGTTCTCATCTGTAAAATGGGCCTAATGATAATAATGCTGCTTACCTCATAGGAATGTCATGAAGATTAAGTAGGACTTGCTTCTCTAGGCCACAGGCATGCCCTAGTTAACAGTCCCTCCTCAGTCCAGACACCAAGTCGTGCTGAATTGTGCCTTTCCCCCTCCTACTTCCCCAATCAATACTGAAGCCCTGACCCCACCGCCTCTAGATAGGGTTGCACCTGGGAACAGGACCTTTCAAGAGTTAGTGAAGTTACAAGTGAGGTTTAGTGTGGGGTAATGCAGTGTGCCCAGTGACTCTATCGAAGATGGGGAGACTCGACACAGATGGAGGGAAGAGCATGGAAGACCCAGGAGGCAAGCAACAAGCCAGGGACAGAGGCCTCAGAGAAAAGCCAGCTCTCTGCTTGAAGTGGATGAATCCACTTCCAGTCTGGAGCTTTGAGGCAAGAATCTTGAGGTGGGAAGACACACCTTTAATGTGGGCCCCGCCTTCTGCTGGAAGCCTGTCTAAGGACACAGAAGAAGGCAGCTTTAGATCTTTACCCGCTTGCTCTCTCAAGCAAGTCCATTCCTTCACTGGCGTTAGAGCCTATGTCTTTGGGATTCTGATGCATACTGAAGATCAGCTGAGACATCCAGCCTTGTGGACTGAGAAACTTCTGGATTCTTGGACCTTCCATCATAGCCTGCCATTGTTGGATTAGTAGGGAGTAGCATGTGATTCTAATAAATCCCATCTCTCTCTCTCTCTCTCTCTCTCTCTCTCTCTCTCTCTCTCTCTCTCTCTCTCTCTCTCTCCTCCCACATATATACATTCTATAAGTTCTGCTACTCTAGACAGCTCTAATACACTTATAAACATAAAAATGAAATTTTTTAAAAAAAGCCACTGTGTTAATAAGAGCTTCATCCCCACGGGACAGAACGTGTACTGTGGACACACAGAGCTAGGACGAGCAAACCATCGCTTCCTGATTCTCCCTTGACAGCTGGTCAGATGACAGAGTCCAGGGCTGGGGCTGGATCCATGCTGGAAACAGCTGGGAGGGCTTATAATGTGGCCAGATCAACCAAGAGCTTTTAAAGTGGACTCTTAACTTTGGCTTTTAAAAGTTAAACGTAAGTATTTCTTTCAGTGATTGAAAACAGTTGTCTGAACTTTGGATTTATGAGTCTAGGTTTTTAACCTATAAATTGCATGAAATCTAAATGCAAATCAGATACTACCAGCAAACGCTGTTGTCAAAATTGAGATATACAGCAAGTATGAAATACACAACCATTTTGTATCAAGGGAGGATGTAAACTCTGATTAATACACTTTAATATTAATTACATGTTGAAATATCTGGCAGTAAGTATTCTAGTTGAATCCTGTAACTTGGGAGAAGAAAGGGTTTATCTGGCTTTTACTTTTAAGTCATGATCCATCACTGAGGGAAGGCAGGCAGGCACTCAAGGAAGGAGCCATGGAGGAATGTGGCTCCCGGGCTTGTTCAGTGACTCACAGGCTCACGCTTAACTAGCTTTTCAATATAGCCCGGGACCACCAGTTTCCCTTGAGGGGCGGTGCTGCCCACAGTGGGCTGGGCCTTCGTGCATCCGTTAACGATCAAGACAGTTCATCACAGGTATGTCCACAGACCAACTTGAGCTAGGCAACCCCCCAATTGCTTCTCTCATATGACTCAGAATAGGCTGTGCTGACAATTAAGGCTGACCAGGACAGCAGATTAAATAACTTTGTTAAGATTAATTTCACGATTGTTACATGCGGCTTTTGAATATTTTAAATGTCTTGTACCTATTTTTTCTCCCAGTGCTGAGGACTGAACCCAGTCTTGTGCACGCCAGGAACACACTGTACCATTGACCTACACCCCTAGACTTTGTTTTCTTTTACAGGGTTTAAGTAGCTCAGGCTAGCCTTAAACTCAAGGTCCTCCTGTCTCCACTTCGGTCCCTGGGGATCACAGGCCTGCACCACCAGGCCTAACTCATGGTATATTTCTTAGTGCAGAGGTAGACTGTTATAAAGTAAATTAAACTTCACTTGTATGGGCTGAGTCCAGCACCAAAGCCAAACCAATAGCTATACAACCATGCTGTCTAGAGTGAGAAAAAATTAATTTACTTTAATACAATGTAGAATTCTGGGGAAAATGAATATTAGGAGGTTTTGAAAAGAACATAAAGACTTTGTGTTTTAAGAATAAACAGGGGCTAGAGAGATACTCAGTGAGTAAGAGTACTTGCTGTGCAAATGTAAGGACTGGAGATTAGATCCCAGCACTCAAGTCAAAATCCAGGAAATGGCCACGTGTGCTTGTAGCCCAATGCTGTGAGGTAGAGACAGGAGGACAGCTGTAGGCTTGCTGGACACCAGCTTCCAGATTCCCGTCTCAGGGGAATACGGAAGAGTAATATGATACGCCAGGATATCCAATGGCCTCCTGTAGCCTCCACACATGCACACACACATAACGCGCACTCACACATACGCACAATGAGTAGTGTTTAAATGACTAAATCAAGAATCTAAAATACTAAAACAGTGTTTGTAAAAAGTCTGCTATCGTCAAGTCCAGTCTCATATTACTTTAACTGATACCTACCTACCTATCACCTTGGTAACTCAATTTGTAAATTTTGTATAGTAAAATACAACTTGGTAAATATGCAACAAAAATACTTAGCTCTTATCTGTAACCCGAAGAATTGTCTACTTCTGTAAAATTCCAGTATGCAAAAAACCCACTGGATTTCAGTGGGAATAGGAGCAGTAAGATAAGAAAAGAGCTGACATGAAGCAGATGTTGGTTTTGAACACACTTCCTACCCTTATTGTGTTACCAAGACCCTGTCTCTGTCTCAGACATAACAAAGAATTCAATTGAATGAAGTGATCTTGAAAACAACCCAAACATAACTTAACCTTCGGTGAAGATTTGAAAGACTCACAATCATAGGCACAGGCTGCTACTCCACCCTGAGGCTCAAGATTGAATGGTGTGTTGGAGTTTCACCTAGACTTCAATAAAAATAGATTACTACACACTTACACCTCTAGGAAGTTCTAAGATTGAACATATAAATCAGTATTTTGAGATCAAGAGAGTTTAGTAATATAATAAAGATTTATATTGAATGAACTTTTAAGTTCCAGGTAATTAAGAATCCTTTTTCATGAACATCAAGTCATTATCTGATAAACTCTGGTTTATTTGGAGGAATATCTTGATTTAATTTCATACCTTGAAGACTTTTTAATTAAAAATTTAACAGCCTGCTTCTTTAAAAAAATGTATAAATTCATGTTTTGCAGAAAAGTTGAACTCAAAAATTTTAAAATTATACTTTGTGCCAGGTGGTAATGGCACACGCCTTTAATCCCAGCACTTAGGAGGCACAGACTGGCGGATCTCTATGAGTTTGAGGTCAGCCTTGTCTACAAAATGAGTCCCAGACAGCTAGAGCTGTTACACAGAGCAACCCTGTGTCGAAAAAAAAAAAATGAAAAGGGCATTTGGCTTTCATATTATGAGTATGCTTTTCAAATCTCAATCTACCTTCAGTGCAACAGGATTAGTCCACTGTAGCACACAAAGATAAAATTTAAGAGGTGCTATTTAAGAATTACCGGAGGGGAAATCTCCTGCTTGCTGTAATCAGGTACAAGTCAGTCCTGACTTGTTTTGAACTGGCAAGTATACTGCATAAGAGAAATAACGGAATGGAACCAACCACCATACTCAAAGATTCAACCTACATATGACTTTTTGTGAACATCCAACACTTAGAGAAAAGTCTAAATCGATGCACCCAAGAAAAACTACCCATCTTTAAGAGACGTAGTAGATGAAAGTGGAACCCCCTCATCAATATTTAAATGCCAAATATGAATTGGTATTATAGATTAAGACAGATTGTGCACACATGCCGACACACAGATTCTGACCCGGTGGAGTCCATTATAAATAATCTGTTGGCTAGCTGTCACATCTTTAAGGATCTGTACGATGGTGGCCCAAGGGGTGTCTAGTGGAATGGCCAGTCATGTTCGGGTCAGCTCTGCTCCTGGCCTAGTGGAGTGGGTAGGGGTGGATCAGGCTCCTGCGTCAGCTGCAGGTGCTGAGTGGGATCGGAAGCACCTGCTGCCAAGCGGAGAGCCTCTGTTTGCCCTTGGTGGGCATGCAGATGAGCCAGGGCCAGTGTTTCCTTGGAAAGTGTGATTAATTGCACTGGCTCCGGCTGCGAGGCCTCCATCTGGCTTCCAATCATACTGAGGCTCTGAATGTGCTCTGTTTGCTCCGGCTGAGCAGAAAGAATAAGGCTCTGCAGCTGCTCGGGCTGCTGTGTGAGCAGGGCAAGGTTAGCGGCTGGGTCTGTGGCCATGCTCTGGGAGCTCTCAGCAGCCACGATGCTGACCCCCTGGTTGGGGCCTGGCATGAAGTTAATGTTATGCACAGAATCAGTTACAAGAAGCTGAATCTCCTGCTCTCCTGAGGTAGAGAGCTGGTATGGCTGTAGTTGAAGAATGTTCCGGACCTCGTCAGCATTACTGCCTGAAACGCTGCTGGAATCCGATGTGTGTTTCTCTTTGCTGTGAATTTTCAAGTGAGCCTTCAGATTGTCTAAGCGAGCAAACTGTAAGCTACACTCGGGGCAGGAGAAAGGCTTTTTGCCTGTATGTAGGATGCAGTGTCTCCTCTTGGCACTGGAGTCAGAGAAGGACTTGCCACAGATGCTGCAGGCGTACGGCTTTTCTCCTCTGTAAGAAAGCATACAGAAACACTCGCTTTCTGCTTCCATTTACTTAGGTGGAGGCAATCAAAAGTAAAGGAATGCTGGGCCGGCACAGCTTGAGTGTTTGCTGTCCTTTTTATAAGCTCTCCTGTCCCTGGATGCCAGGGCCTAAACCCTCGTCAAAACCCCTAAAAAGCTGCAGCTCTGCTTCACACTACAGAGAAAACAACACAGGCCCCTGACCAGGCAGGTTCCGGAGTCAGGTTCTCCTTCCAACTTGGGAGTGAACCACTTCGGTGTGCTTCTGCTTCAAGTCTCAAAAATAAAAAGGGGCCAAAAAGGGTTTACTGTAGGGTAACAGACAGGACTGGGCTACATGGGATGAAATTTTATAATTCTATTGTTATGTGTTCCAGGTAAGAAAGTAAACATTTACATGTTACACACAGAGCTCTATTTTGCTTTTAGTTCTCATAGTTGATTTGTAGACTCTAAGGGTCAAGTAGGTATGTATATATTATGATTAATATAAATATTAAAATTTTAAGCAGCTCCTAATTATTTTTGAAGCTTTTAGAACTATACCTAAATCCAATCTAATAATTTTTATGAACAGACCATTTTTGGATGGAATTTTCCTATGTAGTCCAGTTTGGTCTCAAATCTTGATCCTCCTGCCTCTGCCTACCAGGTGCTGGGCTTATAGGCATGCACTGTCATGCTCAACTCCAGATAATATTATTTTCTTTCTTTTGAGACATGGTCTAAGTCTGTAGTCCAGGCTAGCCCTGAACTTGTGGGCCACCCTCCTGCTTCCACCTCCTATGTACTGAGATTTCAAGCATAACACACTGCACTAACACTGTAATCTAGTATATCTTTGCACATGTGTGGAGGCCAGAGGTCAATACGGGGAGTCCTCCTCTACCATCCGCAGCTTACTTTTTGAGACAGGGTCTCTCACTGAGCCCAGAGCGTGCCACTCTGGCTAGCCTGGAGGTCAGACAACCCCTGGGACCCTCCGGCCTCCACACCTGCCCTCCTACACACATCAGCATCCCCTCTGGCTTTTAGATGGGCTGGAAATCTGAACAAATCCTCACTTTCATGCAACAAGTATTTATTCACTGGACCATTTCCCCAGGCCTTACTTTTGATTAAAGATGTAAATTTTAGACCACTCCCCCCCCCAAAAGTAAATAATGAAGTCAACAGTGCAAGCTTTTATTGGCCTGAACTAATATTGCTGACTTTATCTGAGGAATTTAATTATTGATAAATAAAATAGTAAACCACACAGAAATTTCGAGTAGAGTAACAACTGGAAGAAAAGTTTATATAGAGCATAGGTTACCCCACAGAACACCAGAATTCAGTGAGGCTGCTAAATGACAAAAAAAGCAGGTGTGACGGCATACATCTGCAGTCCCAGTACTCGGGGCAGAGAAGCAAGAGTCTGAGGCCAGCATGGGCTAGAGAGGTAAGTCCATCTCACTGAACCCCAAATAAGCTTACCGGTGGATTCTGATGTGGGTCTGAAGGGAACTCTTTGCTGTGAAAGACTTCCCACAGATTTCACAAGTAAATGGCTTCTCCCCTAAAAGAGGAATGAGGAAATTGTTTATTAATACATGCCTGACATTAAAAACTAACAACCCTGGTGGGGTGGTAGTGACACGCTCCTTTAGTTCCAACACCAGGAGGACCTCTGTGAACTCGAGGCCACTCTGGTCTACAGAGCTCCACCCGTCAGCCAGGGCCACACAGAGCTACCCTGTCTGGGGGTGGAGTGGGGTAGTGGTGGGGGTGGTGGGGGGAGGGGGTAACAAAGTAACAACCCAGGTGCTTTCCTTCACCATGGGAAGGGGGGCAACTCTCTGATGGAGTGCAAGAAGCACATCTGGGCAGGGTCAAGAGGATGCGGGGAGGTGTGGCTCCTTCCTTTGATGGAGAAGCCGTTCATATGTGGGTAATAAAAGAACCCATAGTTACCCTGCGTTTCTTACCCTCGAGTCTAGCACCTGACTGTTACATCCCTGCAGGACTTCTGGGCAAGGTGGCCACTGGACCTTCAAAGGGACTTCTGTGCACTAGGGTACAGTATCACATTCATATCTATCTTCCAAATACATCCAGAAGTGGACTATTTCTCACTTTCCTCCTTAGATCACAGCAGTCTTGAAAAAGGTCTATTACATCCGGACCATACACTGTCTACAAGGCAAACGGTGTGGGTCTCTCCATACTGACAGAACATTTCAGTGGCAGAAAATGCTCCAATGGCCCCATCTGGAGATGGCAGCCAAAGTGTTACATTACAACAGGTCACAGGTATTTACACACACACATACGCACGCACGCACACGCACACATGCATATACACACACCCTGCCAAATGAATGGCTTTCCCAGGGGTGGTCTGAGGCTCACATAAACTGTGCAAGTGCTCAGACCTCACTGGTTAGCAGAAACAAATGTTCTTCAGGGTTAGTTTGCACACCACCCATGCAACAATGGGCTCTCATGCTCCTCATTAGTAAAGTGAAGGGATCCTAATGCAGGTGAGAGGAATTTTGGAAACCCCCCTAGTAGCAAGAAATGTCCTCGCTAGAGAACAGCAGGGAAGGAGGGCAAGTTGAGATGCCCTTCAGACTAGACTTGTCTCCAAGCTCCACCCAGGCAGGGCACCCGTGCACGAGACAAGCTGGACAGATCAGCAGGCATATCATTCACTTGTGTCACTCCAAAGGTTGCGCCAGGTGGCTTTCTCAGCAGAGCTGGGGCCGCTCAGACCTTGGCCAGAGTTTACCTCTCATGTGGACTGTGTACCTGCTCCACTTGTGTTTCAAATACACAGACAGTTGGGAATATTTTTTTTTACAGACTCATCCTGTAGCTCTGACTGGCCTCAAATCAGAGATCAACTTCCTCTGTCTCCTGAGTACTAGAGTAAAGGCATCATCACCATGCACAGCCCCAGTTCTGGAGTGGGCAGTTCAGAGCGCAGGGCCCACACCGGCTAGGGCCGTCCTGCTGTGCCTCTCGCAGCAGGTGGAGAGAAAGAGGATGCTGGAGGGGCAGGAAAAGACTACACTCCTTCTTAGTGCCCCACCGCGCCACCACAGCACTGCTCCACCCATGGCTGTCTGACTGGTTTTTTGTTTGTTTGTTTGTTTGTTTTTTTGTTGTTTTTATGAGACAGGGTTTCTCTGTATTGTTTTGGAGGCTGTCAGTCCAGCCCAGCCTCGAACTCACAGAGATCCGCCTGCCTCTGCCTCCCGAGTGCTGGGATTAAAAGCGTGCGCCACCACCGCCCGGCCTGTCTGACTGTTTTAACACCTTCTGGTCAGCCATTAGGTTTCCCACACTGAAGCCTGTAGGGCACACTCAAGCTTTAGTGGAGTCTTCTGACCCTTGGCTTCGGATCTGTCCTGTGCAAACTACCTCCTTCAACCCAGTGGCCACTCATCTCTTCTATTCAGTCCTGCAACTCTGACAGGCCGCTAGCAAAGTGAAGGGCCAGGAAAGACAGTAACAAAAGAGACGACTGTGGCTTCAGGAAGGTGTGCAGTCAGTCTACTGAGAGGGTAGATAACTTGGAGTGTGCTTGACTAACAGCTGAAACCAAGAGCACTGAGACAGGATGCTGGGAGGGTGTGGGGGTTCTAGGACCAGGAGAGATGGAGGGGCCTGACTGGATGCTGGGAGGGTGTGGGGGTTCCATGACCAGGAGAGATGGAGGGGCCTGACTGGGAACTGGCATTCGTATAACCAAATGCCAGGGTACAAGGATTCACTCTGAGACGTGGTTGCTCAAAGATGAGCCAAAATTCTAGACAGGTCTAAGTAGTAAGATGATATGCTTAATTGTGTCAGTAAGTGGGCTGGAAGGAGGATTTCCTGCCAGACTCCATGAGGTCCCGAGGCCTGGGCCAGGAGAAGCAGGAGACAGATAGAGACAGAGGTTAAAGGGGGAGATGTCAGGATTCGAGTAGCAGAGACCAGAAGGAAGTCTGTTACAGGAGGCTTAGACAGTAACAATGAAATGTAAAGCCAGACACATGAGGGTGACTCAGGAAGATGCAGGCAGAGGTGACTCAGTTCCAGAGGGTCCACAACTTCTGCCTGGTTTCCTACTGTTTTAAATTTTGGAATATTAACAGTCATACAAGCAATGACTATTTTGTCCCAGACCAATGAGCTCCCAACATTTCTCTTCACCCACTCTCCTCACCTAAAGACCTTCCTCTCTCTTGGGTCTGCTGTTACCTATCTCCAGACCCTTCCTTCTCTGCCCAAGTCCTTTTACAAGACACAAATAAAGACGTGTCGTGTGTCCCCCCACCCCCTTCATACCCCTGGCTGCTTTCAGTGGTCTGCCCACTGTCTGTAGCCTCACCACATTGGTTCACTGCAAACAGCTAGTCTTTCCCATCCTCAAACTCCCCACGCATGACTGGGACAAACCTATACGCTTCCTGAGTCACCCACCCCTCACTCTGCCTTCCTGATTAAGGTCTCCACTCTGGGCACAATAATCAGCTTCCTTTCTGTGGTTCCTTCACACTGTGCTGAGATACTTAATGGATACACACAAACTCTGTAAGGGGCCCCAGATCTCAGGAAAACTGCAACAAGCAAGATGGGTCATCTCAACACACAGGCAGCTTCACACCTAACCCACAGAACGAGGTTGTGAATGAAACCATGTTGTGAACTTTGTCATGTGCCTAGGAAGGACAGCCACGTGAGCATGGGAGCCCCACGTGGAATCAGTATTTATCTGACACCATCTAGGGGACCGAGAAACTGGAATTGCCCTGTACATCAGAGGTCACTCACAAGGACGGCTGCTGCACAGCAAGGCACAGCTAATGCCCTGGACTTGACTGCAGCACACTGGGCAACGTTCCCACCTCTAACCTGATTTCTGGGAACACTGCTATGGGAAAGAGGTGTAAGGACATCAGAAAAGCATAGTGCACACCTGCATCCCAGCACTCATGATGCTGACACAGGAGGACTGTGTGTTCTTAGGCCAAGCTGAGCAACACAGCGAGACCTGTTCAAAGGAACAAAACCCACAACTAACAAGGGCCCCTTATCAGTCACATGAGTTTGCCTGGCTTCACTACATCCCCACGCTGACCTGCTCCCAGTCAGGGTTAGATCTGATTGTGAGGTCATGAGACAGGTTTCCTCTCACTCCAGCACCGACTGCACCCTTGACAAGCTGCCTCCCCCTCTCTTAGGACATCCTGGGGAACATCTTTAGTTTCTCCAGTGCCTGGGGCATGCATCTCACTGGATAGTGTGCACTTGAAGATCTAAGAAACAAAGGATAGCCTAGGTTTTTAAACCAAATATGGCTATGCTGGCAAAATGTCTGCTTTACATCCTGATTCAGGGTAAGGGATGGGCTGCTGATGTCTCTTACCACCATTGAGCTGGGTGCTAGAGACAGACAGATCATATGAAGGCCCTGCTCTTGAAGAACCTGAATGTTTTGATGGGTTTAGTTTATTCTCCCTCACAGGGACCAATGTTTGATTTAACTTTTTTTTTCTTTTTTTTTTGGTTTTTACGAGACAGGGTTTCTCTGTATTATTTTGGAGGCTGTCGGTCCAGCCCAGCCTCAAACTCACAGAGATCCTCCTGCCTCTGCCTCCCAAGTGCTGGGATTAAAGGCGTGCGCCACCACCGCCCGCTTTGATTTAACTTTTATTTTGCATTGTAATAACAAACTCACCACACATACTCCATGTTCTCCTGAGACTGGTTCATTATATTGTTATAAGGGAAAGACCATCTCCTTTCTACCCCAACACAAGGACTACTTAATAGAAGCCTCTGTGTTTATTTGAAACTAAATGGCTGCGGGACCAGGTGGCTCAGAAACCTCCATCTTCATTTGGGTGTCTCTGGTCCCAGGCACTTGGATAATGATACTTAATCTATACTAGGTTTTCTTCAAATTAGGAAATTACAAACCTGCCTTAAAAAAAAATCAAAGTGCCAAAAACTAAACAATTCTTTATTTATTTTGAGACAGGGTTACTCTGGGTGGCCCTGGCTGTTTTGTAAGTCTGTAGACAGGGCTACCCTTGAACTCAGAGGTCTGCCTATACAATATTAGATGACAACCTGACAGAATCATTAAATAATTTACCTTAATAGAAACTGTTTCTTGAAAAAAATCCAACAGGCTTGTTTTTCATCTATATCCCTTCCAAAAGGCACAAGATGGACAGTTTTACTTCTCTGAACTTAAAATGGAAAAAACAAAACAAAACCCAAAACCCTCCCTGCCCCATCAAAGCTGTCTTTTCATCCCTGCATCTCTGGGAGGTAGTAATTTAATGCTTGAGGTTTAGCAGTGGTTCCTGAGGACAGAGTGAAGAATTCTGTGTCCACCTTTGTATCTGCTATATGCTTCCTTTTCTGAACAATTTGTTACCACCCTCAGTGATAACACCTTCAGTGTTGAAATAACTGGTGTGGGACACAGGACCAGACTGAGACTGACACTTGCTGTGGAATGACATGAATTTTCACATGAACAGTGTTCATCAGGTGATCTTCTCCTTTTTGTGCTGACTCGAAGTGGGATGTAATGTCCCCACACAACAGTGGTGACAGATTTTGTGCTGACTCACAGTGGGATGTAATGTCCCCACACAACAGTGGTGACAGATTTTGTGCTGACTCACAGTGGGATGTAATGTCCCCACACAACAATGACAGCATTTTGCCTTCACTTGGACTTTTAAATAAAACTTGTGAGACTTGCACCACATTTGCAATAAGCATACCAAACACAAGGCGGAGGACACCACGTGCAGGGAGGAGGTTGAATGAGGTGGCATGTTACCTGTGTGTGTTCGCAGATGTTTCTTTAGCTGAGACACATCCATGAATTTTCGATGGCAGTGGCTGCATTCTGGTAGTGAGTGGCCTTGCCGCAACGATAAAAAAAGTGTCAGTGCATGTATGTTCTCCCTGCATTTCTTCAGTGATTTGTGTTAACGCACTGCCCTGAAAAATAATCACTTTAAATATGGCACTTTACAACAACAATAAACTGTATTACCCGATGGATCTCAACTCAGCGCTTCTCTGGGAGCAAGGGTCCTCGAAGCCCTTCTAAACACCCTTATCTCCAAAACTAGTAGACTTGAATAATCAGTTGGCAGGAAGGAGAACAGGACCTTTAGCAGATCAGAAGCCATGGAGGAGACATCTCTTTCTTTTCTTTCTTTTTTTTTTTTTTTTTTTTTTTTGGTTTTTCGAGACAGGGTTTCTCTGTATTGTTTTGGAGGCTGTCCTGGAACTCGCTTGGTAGTCCAGGCTGGTCTCAAACTCACAGAGATCCGCCTGCCTCTGCCTCCCGAGTGCTGGGATTAAAGGCGTGCGCCACCAATGCCCGGCTGAGACATCTCTTTCTAGGTGCCACTGATAACAGCCAACCAACTGAAGCCTCTGGGGCAAGAAGCAATTTTGGATAGAGCAGTTCTGTGGTGGCTCTACATACAGTTCCAAAATTATGGTGCAAACATTAAGTTGAGTCTTATGGGAGTGGAGAATAACATTACAGCCTCTGACTTTGCTTTTTTTTTTTTTTTAAGCTACAGTTTCAAGCATCCCAGGCAGGCCTTAAACTCAGTATATACCTGCGGGTGATTTTGAACTCTGATCCTCTTGCCTCCATCCCTCAAGTGTGGGGATAACAGATGCCTGCTTTCATGCCTAGTTTTATGTGGACTGGGGATTCAACCCAGGGCTTCATTCATACTAGGCAAGCTTTCTACTAAGTGAGCTGCATTCCTAGCCTGACTGCTTTTCCCAGTTCTTTCATTCATTCTGTAAGGTGAACCTACTGTTTCACAAATGCTCTGTATCTGCATTTCTTCCCCAGCGATGCAATTTTTTTCTCACCTTATTGGTATCGTACCTGTATGGACTCGATAATGGCTCTTTAGCTGTCTTTTCTGGCTGAAGTATTTTCCACACTGATCACAGGTAAAAGACTTCTGCCCTGCCAATTAAAAAATAAAAAGCACTTAAACCATGCCAAAACTGCAGAGAGTTAGGATGCTCATTAATGAGTTAAGTAACACAGTGTCAGGTCCCCATTTCTACAAGTGATGAGCACCTTGTCTACACACCCGGAAGCAGTCTTTCCAGAGTGTGCAAAACTACGCAAGGCGATGGGGCACAGGAGCCTGGAGCAGAACTGTGGACTGCAAGTGGTCCTCAAGGGTATAGAGAAAACTCTAAACTCTGGTGTTCAAGTAAAACACATTTAGATGTACAGCGCTCTGCAGTAGCCAGTTACTAAGGTCTAGCTGAAGGTTGGCTGGCCTTGTTCAGAACAGCACACCAACACATGCATAACCCCGTCTTTCAATGAGATCAGGCTGAGATGCCAGAAATGCCACCCCAGGAAATGGGACCTTGGTGACTGGGGGCCCTCTACTGCAAGCCCCGTTACCTGAGTGCAGGCTCATGTGCTCCAGCAGCGAGTGCTTGGTGGTCAGCGCCTTGCTGCACACGGTGCAGGTGTACGGCCGCTCCCCTGTATGCATCCTGGTGTGGACCTGCAAGGAGTGCTTCTGGGCAAAGCCCTTCCCACACGCATTACATTTGAAGGGTCGTTCCCCTGCGATCAAAGCCAAGAAGCATGGTGTAAACAAGGACCTCCCAAGTTAAAATACATAATACAGAATCATTCATAATGTTAAATATAGGGCAAACACCCAAAGTCCAGGGAATAGGTGAGCTATCAGCAATAAAAGTCTAAAAGTGGAATAGATGAACTCAAAACCAACAGGTAGAAACTATGAGATGTAACCTAACTTTAAAGACCCAGCTTTCATATACACAGAAATGCTATCTTTCAGTGCTCTGACCATAGCTGGGTTCCCAGCACCCACAGAATGACACCCAACCACCCAAAACTTCAGTTCCAGGGAATCTGACTGACATTCTCTTCTGGCCTCCTTGGGTACTATGCATATACATGGTGCACATACATATATACATGCAGGCAAACACTCATACACATAAATCTTTACAATAGTCAAGGGTGGCTTCCAATAGACAGACAAAACCCAAAAGGAAAAACATCAATACATAGAAAAGATCAAGAACACTGGGCACAGTGGCTGACTGCAGAATTTCAGACCTGGGGGGATGAAGGAAAGAGTCTATGAGCTGTTTATCCTTAATTAAGTTTTATGTTTTACTGGACAATGTCTTGGTTTTTGGAGACAGGGTTTCTCTATGGCTTTGGAGGCTGTCTTAGAACTAGTTCTTGTAGACCAGGCTGGTCTTGAACTCACAGAGATCCTCCTGTTCTTGCCTCCCAGCACTGAACAATGTAATGCTTTAAATTATGCACAATTTGGATAAAAATAGCTAAAGCACAATCTCATATTAGATACAGAGCCCACTGGGAAATAAAATAAAATAGAACCCACCACAGTGCAACACATAGTTGGTACTTTGTTCTGTTCAAAGTACCCTAATTCAAGTTTTCACCATACAGAATCTCTGGTCTTTCTTTTTCCAGAGAGCATCTCATGCATCCCAGGCTTGTCTTGCAGCCAAGGATGACCCTGAGGTTCAGATCCTCTGGAGTGCTGGGATCACAGAACATGCCACCTTGCCCAGCTTCTGTGGTGTCAGGGAGTGACGCCAGTGCACTCTATTGACAGAGCTACATCTCTGGGAAGCTTCACACATGGTAGACTGGACAGGTAAATCAGGAGCCTGAGAGGGGCGGTGGCACTTGGAGCTGCAGAAACTTTAGGTGGTTCTAATGTGCTGGTTCAGAAACACAGCAGCAGGTGTGGTAGGTCACATGACAGCAAAGCTTAAACACTAGTCCCTATATAAGCTTACAAGTGATAATTAGAGGATTTCCACTAATAGATACACTGTCCAATATGGTTGCCATCAGACACACGTGGTTATTCAAACTTATGTTCACAAAACAAAACTAAAATTCAGTTTCTCAGTCTAGCTACCTAAATTCAAGTGATAAAATTTCTATGTAGAGCTGGGATACAGCTCGGCTGTGAAACGCATGGTTGGCATGCACCTAAACCCTGGGTTCCATCCCTGGTACTGTGAGAGGAGAAAATGTCTGTATGTCATTAGTGGCTACCACATTGCCCATATGAAGAGGACAAAAGACATTTTAGTCACAAGGAGGACTAATACCAATGCTGAGTCAGGGACACCCAAGAGGAAAAAAAAATCTTTACAAGATGGCTAAACTATAAAGATGTCTATAGCAGGGCAAGTGAATCCTTCCACAAAGATGGGGACCATTCACAAATCAAAAGGCAGGAGGTGCTGCATAATGTGACAACAAACAAACAAAGCCAAGGGCTCTCTATTGGGCTATGGTGGGTCACCATGACATGGGTGAGCATGCTCTAAGACCCTCCTTTCATCTGCACACTGGGAACATTGCCTATGTGGGGTTACTGAGACCTAAATACAATAACATGTAAGAAAGCTTTATTGAAATGCCTATCATGCAGAAATGGAACCATAAATAACTAGTCATGACCACAATTCCAAATTTCCCACAGAGTTGCACTAAGTTTGGAAAGTGTAGTTACCAGTGTGTCGTCTCTGGTGGATTGCTAAGAAGTGACTATACTTAAAGACTTTGCCACAGTCTTTACACTGGGCCTCAGGACCACTGGCACGCTTTTTCTTTCCACATATCCTCTTGGCGGAACACTGGTCATCTTCATCTCCAATGAGTTTGTAATCTCTAAGCTTGACAGACCTCCGAATCCTTCGCTTGCTGTACCTACTCAGGCTATCCTGCCCATCCCGAGCCTTGGGGTCACAGTTCTCGTCCTTTTCGGTCTCGTCCACTCTTCCTGGCTCCCCAGCGGGCTCAGGTTCCTTGTCTTTTGGCACTTGTCCACTCAGTTCCACGCCGTCCCCTTCTTTAACCACAAAGTTTTGTCTGTTCTGAACTGAATTGTTCACTCTTAGCTGCATTTCTTCCTCTGCAGCTAGTTCTGATTTCCCCTCCTGCACACTATGGCCTTTTCTGGGTCTTCCCCGTTTCCGTTTTAGAGGATCATTCTTCTTATTAGAAATAACAACTACTGGAGTACCAGTGCCATTCAGAGCCGGTGGCTTTGAGGTGCTATGGCTAGTCTGGAAGTCTGTGTAAGCCTTTATTAGATCATAGACTTTTAAGAACTGTGCAGTAGCCAGGATCTGTTCTGTAGTTTTCTCGCTGGCATGTAGATAACCTGTATAGATAAATTCCAGCAGGATCCCAAAGATGTCTGCAACCATGCCTTCCAACATATAAATGGACTGGCCAATCTCGCCCTCTTCTGCAAACATCATCGAGAAATACTCGCTGCTGGCAGCAAGTAAGGCTTTGTGGGCTCGGAAATGCACATTCTCCACGATTAAAGTAATATCACAAAGAAAGCCTCTTTTCCGCTGGTCCTCAAGGCTAGCCAGGACAGTGTCGCTGTGAGTGTCTGAGTGCACAACAAGCTGCCCAGAAGGCTCTGGTGTTGTCTCTGCCATTTTCTCCAGACTCTGGAGAGGCTTAAATCTGAAATAAGAAAACAAGGTTTATTTAGGAGGAAGTTTTATGTAACAAGGTTGTGTTTGTGTTTCAGTTAACATGAGCCAACGTTGCCATCACCACCTTTTAAAGTCTACTTAGAAACCCAGGCTTGGGTTCTCACTCTGTTGCGGCTACGATGCCTCTCCAGTATCCATATAACCACTTCGCGGTCTGGAATTTCCTCTGGGAATTACGGAAGGGGATCAAACATCTGTATGGCCCTCCTCCCTTGCATTAACTTCGTACTTAAACTTTAGAAGTCTGACTGCACAATGTTGGGGCTGGGGCTGAGGCTATGCTGCTTCAACCCCACACGTGATTAGCTGTTTCGTCTGTGGGAGCAAATGAACGCATGCAAGGGAGACGGCGGTGAAATCAGGCCCGAGTCGAGGCCCCGCGCAGGGCAGCGGCGCCCCAAGCTCCATTCCAGGCCCGGGGCCTGGGTCCCGCGAGCGCTCCAAGGCACAAGGTCCCCCGGACCCAGGCCTCTGGCGGCGGACCTACCTGTCGGACTGCCCAGCGGGGTCCTGCGGCGGCCAGTCCACCCGGCCACCTAGAGGGGACCCAGCTGGCAGGGCCCGTCGCTGCTTCCCCGCCCCTACCGCCACTGAGCGCTGGCTCCGGGCTCGCTGCGGACGCCGCGATCGCCAACCCGGAAGCGCGCACCTTCAGCAGCCGGAGCACGTGACCGCTAGCCCCGCCCCCGGGCGGAGTTTGCTGGGGAATCCGGAAAGGGACGGTCTGATGGGAGAACCTGCCTCTGCCGGAGTCTGCGTCCTGCTACACTGCGGTGTCTCCGCGGGTACCTCAGTCACTGACCGGTTAGACCCCAAGCCTGCTGGTGAGGAGTGCGTGGTGGACGAATGAAGCCACCTCGGTCTTTATCTCCTCATGGGATGCTAACCTAATAAATTGTACCCCTAAATGTTTCTCTCCTCGGCTCCCCTTTCCTCCCCTAGTTACTCATCCCCCGGCGCCTTGTTTACCCTAGAATGGAGGTGTTGAGACCAGTGCCCACCTGGCAGGGTTAGAACGTCGTTACTGAGTGCTGGCTTGGCCACTGTGACTGAAATAGCCGCTGTTTGTATTCATATTTCTGGCAGTTTCAAGAGACTGTTGAGGGTTTCTGTTGTCTTAGCTGCAGTGTTGTTCCCTCTAAGACCCAGGAGGATGGGAGAGTCACGCTTCTGAGTAGCATCTGCTATGGCTCTCTGTGACTTAGTTTGGGCTTCAAGCCCCACTCAGATTCGTTCCAGACCTAGGGCTGGGATTAAAGGCGTGTGCCACCACCGTCCTGCTCATCCTTAACAGTTTTTATCAAAAGTAGCTCAAAGCCGGGCGTTGGCGCACGCCTTTAATCCCAGCACTCCGGAGGCAGAGGCAGATGGATCTTTGTGAGTTCGAGGCCAGCCTGGTCTACAGAGCGAGTTCCAGGACAGCCTCCAAGACAATACAGAGAAACCCTGTCTCGAAAAAAAAAAAAAAAGTAGCTCAAGCCTCACAAGTTCGGACCGAGGTTTCCACTTATTCTGAGCTGAGCTGCCTCTAAATCCTTCAGATCTGTGGGATTCCGGGAGCTCTGTTTGATTTTTGCATTCCAGGAGGATTGGATTTAGCCTCCACCTAGATTTTTTTTCTCCTGCCAAAAGAGTTGCAGTAAAAAACTCCACAGAGCCGTATATTAAGTGTCTAACTTGGAGAGTAAACAAACTAGGTTAAATAAATTGACCATCTGCTATTTTAATGAGAAGCTGGTTATCAGTAACAGTGTCACTAGAAACAGATCACCAGCAGCCAGTCCGAGGAAGACCTCAAAAAAGACCGGTTGTATAGAAGGTGGTCATGCTAAATGTGGCTAGATAACTATGTGAAGACATAGACTAATAAAATGAAAACTAGTAAAATTAAAATTGCTAAAAACATTTACTACTTTGAATTTTGAAAAATTTAAAATGTCAACTCATAGCAGGAATCTGGAGTGTTGGAGATTTTTATGGTATATTATTAGAGCACAGACTGTACTTTTGAGTAAGATCACTTACAGAGGAGATATAAGTGGGTTGTCTGAAACTTTTCCTCTTTCCCATATCTATTTCATTAATTCTGTCCTGTGTGTGTCTATATTTGTGTCCGGTCCAGTGTCATGCCCCATCTGTGTGTGTGTGCGTGCGCGCCCCACCCCTAGTCCCACAAACAAAATCAAGGACTTTGTCTACAGCCCTCTGCCTACTACTGGCTTCTGGACGGGTTAGGTCTATGGAGATCTTGACAGGACTTGGGGGGGGGGCGTGTCATCAGTAGCTGTCTGCTAAAGGCTCGAGCAAGTTCTCTTCTCCTCTTCGACGCTGCGATGGATGGCTGATAACGGTCCGAAGAAGCTGAAGTCCATCGAGGCCCATCATGACTTCGGGATTTAGTGTCACGAGCCCACTCTTTCTCCTCCCCCACTCCGTTTCCTCCCCTTTGTCCTCCTCCGCACTAGATCACTTGTGCTCCTGTTTCTAGGGCCCTGTCTCTTGCACTACACCAAGTGGTGACACTGGCTTTGAGAAACCCTCTGCTGCAGACTGGAGGAGGTCCTAGTGTAAGCGTTTTGTCGGGATGGGTCAGAACAGGATGGAACATGAGTGGGTCAGGTATTCTGGCACTCGGGAGTCACAGAATACTCAGTGTTACACAGCTCAGGTGGAAAGGTATCCTGGAGCTCGGGAGCCAAGGATACTGAGTGTTACACAGCTCAGGTAGAAAGGTATCCTGGAGCTCGGGAGCCAAGGACCACCACAGGTTGCAGTAAGCTTTGCAGCTTACAGCCTTGCCTCAGAGAAAGGCTTCTCTGGTGTGTATCAGCTCCGCTCCGGCAGGACAGGGTCTTCCAGCTGGGGATGTTCGCCTAGTGTAGCAGTTTTGCTAGGCAGGGGGTTTCTGGGGGGGGGGGAGTTGCTACAGTTCAGCTCTGCTCCTGGAGAGCAGAGAGCGGAGGAGCCGGGAGCAGAGTGTAACAACTCTGCTCTGCCAAGGAAGGTTTCCCGGGCAAGTGTTACAGCGCTGCTCGCTCTGCTCTGCTCTGCTCTGCTCTGCCCAGGGTCGTCTCTGCTCTGTCGCCACCGCAAAAGAAGATCTTCACCCGAAGCTCATCCAAAGGGGTTTATTGGAAGGCAGCTGGACCAGCCAAGCTGAATATACACAGGGTTTATATAGGAATTCCTGGGGTTGGGGAAGTTTTTCCAGAGTAGGGATTGGTCCGATTTCAGTGCTGAGCTCAGATTGGCTAGAGCTCTGCTCCGGGATTGGTTACTTTTTTACACAGGATTAGGGTCAGATTTGGCTCTGGTTTCAGGGCCAAAGTGTGTTTCTTTCTCTGGTCCTTTTTAGCCTTTTGGCTCCAATTTTAGGGCCAGGGTACATTTCTTTCACTGACTCTGATTCCAGGGACAAAGTGTGTTCCTTTGGCACTGGTTTTAGGGTCAGGGTACATTTCTTTGGTTGTGGTTGCAGGGCCAAAGTGTGTTTCTTTGGCTCTGCTCAGGGTGTGTTTCTTTGACTGGTCACTTTTCCCTACACCTGGAATATACCCAACATACACTTGCTTTTACAGTAAGGATGCTCAAACACAGGTTTCCTGTGCACGGAATGCCTTTTATCCCTGATTTAAAAAAAAAAAAAACCTGTTTTGATTTTTTCTCTAATTTACCTGTCTTAATTCTGATAGGCCATTTAATTGAGATGTTAAGTCCTGGAAAGATTTTGTTCCAGAACCACCCCAAAGTTAAGTATTTGGAGATGAATCTCTACTCAGGTCTTCATTTATAAAAGCAGAAAACAAAACAAAGGGAAAGACAGAAAATCACCCACAGCTGTATATTTTCATTCATTGTTTGGATTTCCTCCCTTTCCCCACCAAGTGACTGAATTCTATGTATTCTCAAGTGAATTGAGAATAGAATACAAAGCATGTAATAAAATTTGACGTGTTTGAAACTATACAATTTATTCTTTTGCATTTTGAAGTGTTTCCACCCACATGGTGGCTCACAATCATCCTTAACTCTAGTTTCAGGGGAGTCAATGTTCTCTTCTGACTTCTGCAGGTGCCAGGCACTCATGTGGTGCACACATACACACGTAGTCAAAATGCTCATACCCATAAAATAAATAAATCTAAAAAAAACTTAGAAATGCACATGTATGTGGTGGTTTGAATGCAATTGTTCCCACAAGCTCATAGGGAGTCACACTATTAGGAGGTGTGGCTTTGTTGGAGTAGGTGTGGCCTTGTTGGAGGAAGTATGTCACTGTGGGGGTGGGCTTTGAGGTCTCATATGCTCAAGCAACACCTAATGTTTCAGTTCACTTCTTACTCCCTTTGGGTCAAGATGTAGAACTCTCAGCTCCTTCTCCAGCACCATGTCTGCCTGCCTGATGTCATGTTCTACCACAATGACAATGAACTAAACCTCTGAAACTTTAAGCCACTCCATTAAATATCTTCCTTTATGAGAGTTGTCATGGTCATGGTGTCTCTTCACAGCAATAGAAACCCTAAGATATGTATTAGTTTGATACGATGCTGTATGTTAATTCAGTGGTAGATCAGCTGACTCACTGCAAACAACCTGTGCATGTGACCTGTTCATATCTTTCCTGTAAAAGGCTCTACATGTGTGTAACTGTATTTGCATGTGTGTGTGTCAGGTACCTGTACTGGCCAGGGCTATACCATTCTGGGAAATTCAATTTCCCACTGCTTGAGACCCCTGCACTCTATTGAGAGATTTATTCACTTGGAGGATATGATCTTGAAGAGAGGGAAAAGAAAGGGGAACCATGTGGGGCTTGGTTCCTGGCTCAGCTCAGTGATTTCTTTCTAAGAGAGGGGAAATTTGGCTGACGCCTGTGCGGTATTCAGCATCTGAAACAGTGGCAGTTGAGGTGCTGAAACTCACAGCAAAGCATCTTGGAGGTCATAACAATCTAAGAGAAAAGCTACAGAACCTCCCACTTTTTTGTATCCCCAAAGAGGAAACAGAGTGCTAAAATGGCTCTGTGATTGGTCTCCCTGCTTCTTTCCTGGCAGACTTGGACTCTGCCAGTAGTTTAATTGGTTTCTTTCTCTACAGCCTGAAACAAAGTAGCCCAACATAAGCCAAATTTCCTTTTTTCCTCTCAGTTCATATAATCTAAAAAGTTCACCAACACACCAACAATACACAATTAAACAATATTGTAAGTTATTCCCCCCACTCAGGAAAACGAAACATGGTTGTCAAATCTTGACATCGGTCTAAGATTTAGAACAAAGGAAGAATGTGAAACTATGGAAAAGGCAGTCATAATGACCCTAAGCCAGATTTCTTAAGACATCATATAAACTCTATGCTCCAACCCCTTCATTGGGTACCCTCTTCCACAGAGCATCCCTTGTTAACCACAACCTCCTCTGTGTATAAGCTCTCTTAATAAGTGTGTAGACCACCACCATGGCATTTAGTACTTCTCTCTTTGGAATCCAAATTGACTCCATTTGGGATGGCTTGCATACTACTTGTGGGTTCCTGTTGCCTCTTTGGGGGTAATTCCAGGCATAGGTTCAGTGGACCTAGCAGAAACCACATTAGAGAACATGATCTCATCCAGTGATGTCCAGTGGATATGGACTTGCTCTAGGGCATGTGAGAGCCTGGAGGTCCCAAGAAATACCTGAAACTATCCAGCAAGGGTTGCTGCCCTCCAGAACTCGAAACTCACAGGACACTGAATGATGCCACTGAGCTTAATTGCCAGAGAAACCAACAAGCACATGGACTGGGAAGACAGTGGATGTTGAAATCTCATTAGGAACAAAAAGGCCAGTAAAATATGAGCTAGTAGAAAGGAAAATGACAAATTGCAGATATTAAAAAATAGGTGGGTGGCTGGAAAGATGGGTTAGATTCTGTATCCACATGGTGGTTTACACCATCTGTAACTCCAGTTCCATGGTATTTGGTATCCTCAGATATACATGCAGTCAAAACACCCATATACAGGAAGGAAGGAAGGAAGGAAGGAAGGAAGGAAGGAAGGAAGGAAGGAAGGAAGAAAGAAAGGGAGGAAGGGAGGGAGGGAGGGAGGGGATAAGAGTGGGCAGGGCTTGAAAACCCAGAAAACCTTTGTAGTGAACTCCCAGTCTTCTAACAGACTTTAGGGAATTTTCTCCTTTCTCCTCCTCTTCCTCCCTTCTTCCTCCTCCTTGCAATCTTTGCGTCTCTCTCTCCCTCTCTCCTTCTCTCTCTCCCTCCCCTTCTCCTTCCCTTTTATGTTTGTTTGTTTATTTGAAACAGGGTTCCCTATAGCCCAGGCTGGCTTTGAACTTGGACTGTTGCTATGTAGCCAAGGATAACCTTGATCTTCTTATCCTCCTGTTCCCACTTTCCAAGTGCTGAGATCACAAGTATGTGCCACCTTGCCTGGGTTTTATGTGAAGGTAGGGGAGTTTCCTGCATATGAACCACGCATCTCCCAACTTCCTACATCCCCAGTCCTACATTCTAGCTTTTGTTTAAGAATTGTTATATGACTACATCGTTCCCTCTCCCTGCACCCCCCTCACAAATACACACGCGCGCGCGCGCACACACACACACACACACACACACACACTTTTAAAAGACTTGTTTCCACCCTGGTGGTGGTGGTGGCAGTGGCAGTGGTCCATGCCTTTAATCCCAGCACTCAGGAGGCAGAGGAAGGTGGACCTCTGTGAATTCGAGGCCAGCCTGGTTTACAGAGTGAGTTCCAGGACAAGCTCCATAGCTACACAGAGAAACCCTGTCTCTGGAAAAAAAAAAGATTTGTTTCCTTATTTTTATTTATGGGCATGTGTATATGTGCATGTATATATATGTGCATGTGCCCTCCATGGTCAGAAGGGGGCATGGACCTCTGAAATTGAAGTTCTAGGTATTTGTAAGCTGTGCAGATAGTATGGATGCTCCCAACTGATAAGCTCTCTTCTTAACCCTATATAATTTATTATTTAACTCTCTAGCTGTTTTATACAGCTGTTAAAATTTGATCTTGTTTTAAAAACTCACTCAAATACAACTTGTTTAAAATTTCCTCTGCCTTATACTTTTTTTGGATAGATTTTGAAAAATCTGGATTTTCTCTTTCTTAGGACTCCAAGTGATCTCTAATACTAGAACCATATATTAAGTATGCATCAGTGAACACAAGAAAAGGGGCAGCCAGTTACTTGCTACTGATTTCATTTATTTTGTTGAGACAATGACAGTGTCTTTTTGTTTTCTTCGAGACAGGGTTTCTCTGTGAGACAGACCTGGCTGTCCTGGAACTCACTCTGTAGACCAGGCTGGCCTTGAACTCAGAGATCCACTTGCCTCTGCCTCCCGAGTTCTGGGGTTAAAAGCATGCACCACCACCACCCATTGAAAGTGACAATGTCTTAGGTTCAGAAAATTTACAAACAATCCCTTATGTAAAACGTATGACCAAGATTCCCATTAGTTTGTCTCTTGAAAGTTTCTAATGTTTAATGAGTAATTTTCTTTAACAGAGATTGGTTTTCTACTGAAAGTGCTAAAAAAGAAGGGAGGGAAGGAAGGAAGAAAAGAGAGAGAGAGAGAGAAAGAAAGAAAGAAAGAAAGAAAGAAAGAAAGAAAGAAAGAAAGAAAGAAAAAAAGAAAAGAAGAGACAGCAAGGCCAGGTATGGTGGTGCACACCTTTAGTCCCAGCACCTGTGAGGCAGAGGCAGGCAGATTTCTGTGAATTTGAGGATAGCCTCCTGGTCTACAGAGTGAGTTCTAGGATAGCCAGGATTTTGTAGAGAGACCCTTTCTCAAAAAACAAGCAAACTAACAAAACAAGAAAGAAAATAGAAAATAATTAGTAAGCATTTTAATATCTCAAACGGAATGTCTATTTTGTAAGCATCAAAATTCAGAAAAAGGCATTAAACTTGAAAACTGTATTAGCACTTAGGTATTCAGAGGGTGAGCCTTCCTAGCTGATAAGCTTTGAGTCTGTCTGAGGCCTGGTAACCATATAACGTCAGGCAAGAGGAAGTAAAATTCAGGAAACGCAGTATTTGAAGTCTGCTCCAAGACTCTATCCCTTGGAGAAGACTTTTGGAATTGGGGTTTGGTAACCTAAGCAAGTTATCCAGTAACTGGGTCTATGTTTCTCAGGGAGAAAAAGGTCTGTAGTTTATGATCGAAGTCGATGGCTCTAAACTGAGGCTCCTTGTATTTCCGGGTCATCTTGGAACTGAGGTATGTTATGAGTTCACATCTCTCCACAAACTTCTCCATCTTCTTCTTATATTTTGCTTTTGAATATTCAGAACCTTTGGGATTAAATGCTGTAGAAAATGTCACAGAGTTGTAAATGTGTTTCTGATAGATGGTTAGTAAGCCATTCAACAAAGCAGAACTTCATGTGTAACTAGACCACCCAGCTATGACGATGATTCCTTTCCTTCTCGGATAAGGTTAGAGGGCTGCTATATTAGACCGTTCTCTGTGGCATGGATTTTTGAGTGCTGACTATATTATTTATTACCTTGATTTTATTTATTAAATTATTAATTTTGTGGTTATAGGGGTTGAACCTAAGGCCTCACATATGCTAGGTGGGTGGTCTACCACTATATTGCATCCCCAGACCTCTGCATTATTCTGAGATAAGACCTCACTGTGTAGCCCTGGTCGGCCTGGAACTTGCTATGTAGACCAGGCTGGTCTCGAACTCACATAGATCTGCTTGCCTCTACCTTCTGAGTGTCAGGATTAGAGGTATGTGCCATTATGCCTGGCTTAAAATGTTGCTTTTGTGACAGGGTCTTACTGAGTTGCTGAGACTGTACTAGACCACACTCCATAGCCTAGGCAGGCTTTCATCTTGTAATCCTCCTCAGCCTCCTGTGCAGTAAGGATTTTACAGGAATGTGCCACCAGGTCCAGTTTGTAGTACTTGATTTAAAAACTGGCCATTTCAGTTTTGATATTTTCATATTTCCTGCGTTTCATTTTCCCTCCCCATATGGGCGGATAATCAGCCCAGTCTGCCACACGTGCATCATTTACACGTGTGCGTCCTTTAAAAAGCACACCTTTGAGATGGAAGGCCACATAGAGGAGCAAAGATCATTTAGAAAACGTACCTTTGAGATGGAAGGCCACATAGAGGAGCAAAGATCATTTAGAAAACGTACCTTTGAGATGGAAGGCCACATAGAGGAGCACAGATCGCCTCACACTTAAGAAGGGGAACTTGGGCTTCAGGCACCCTGCTGCATTCAAGGCCTTGATTAGAGAAGTCGCTGTGCCCTGCAGGGAGGGAGCGATTTAAGTCAGTGCATACTTGAGTTCGCATTCTTTTCTTCTTTTTTTTTGATTTAATAAAGTTTTATTTTTCCAAATATACAGCTGACTGAACCTATTTCTGCATCTTCACCAGCAGCTGGGACATCTCCACCCTTTGTGTTTCTGGTGTAAATTGCTTGGGCTCTGTGCTTTGACTTATCAAGCTGGTTTCAAAGCGCAGAGTTCACATTCTTTGTGGAGGTCGATAAAGACCTTATGCTTTCACCGCATCGCCTCTCCGGGATGGAGATGGTTAGATGACCATCCAGTCAACAGGAAGAGGCGCAAGCCACATTCGATGCATGACATATAAGCTGGCATAATGCCGGCTAGGTGGTGGCTGCCAGCCCTGGCTTCGTTGTCTGGGGGTCTCTTTTCATGTTTGACTCCTGTGACATAAACTTAAGAAGGAAAGAAGGACTGTGAGTTCCCTTGACTCCTCTCTGCTGGTGTTGATGGCAGGGGCAGCCTGTCTCCGACTCTGGGCATCCTTGGTCACATGACAAGGAATCCCAGAGACACCGTTCTACTGCAGCCAAGTTCCTAGAGCTGTGAAGGTGCAAGAGGCCTCCTGATAAAACAGGCCTAGCGACAATACTCCTCTCTGGTGGTCCTCCCTCATCTTTCCTTCTGGATTCTCTTCAGTTTTTTTGGGGGGGTGGGGTGGGGGGGTCTTGTTATGTAGCTCAGGTATGTCATTGAAAGCTAACTTCCTAGGCAAATTGAAAAGAAAAAACAAAGTGGTTTAGAAGTTATAACAAAGTTGTAAAACTGCTTTTGACACTTATACTTTAGGAGACTAGTGAAATGACTCAGTGGGTAAAGGTGCTTGCTGTGCCAGCCTGGTGACCCGAGTTTGACCCGAGAAACACACATAGAATTGGAAGGAGAGAACCTGCTCTGTAGAGTTGTCACTTGGCCTCCACACACACACCATGGCACATGTCCCTTCCCACCATGAGCAGTGCACACACATGCACAAATGACAATTTAAAACTTAAATGACTTTAAAATAGTGACAAATTTACTGCTTTTAAAAATAATTATATCTGAATGAATAAAATGTGATTTGAATAGGTAGTTTAATATAGATTTGGGATAAAACATGGCTTTTGTAGCTTACCTAGCCTGGTACTGTGACTTAACTCTTTTGCGGAATAAGTAGCCTTTGGGAAGCCAACACATTTCAAATCATTACAGAGAGGAAGAGGAGAAGGAGAGGAGGAGGAGAAACACATGCAATTTACATGTAGAGTTTTAAGACAGCCCATTCCCTTCCGTCTGGTGCCACACCAGGCACTGGTTATAGGCATTCACATCTTTCCTTTTAACAGCCACCCGTAAATGAAATAGGTGAAGAGTGATTTACAACTTACAAATGGGAAATTTTGCCTGGAACCTCAGTGTTATAAAAGCAAAAGCCACTGTTAGAAGACACCCCAATTGTAATGTGTATTGTAGAAAACCATGCAACAGAACCTGTTCCAGATACCCAGGCAAAGGGAGACTGGTAAGGTGGATGGATTCCTTTAGTGGGGGAAGTTTGTACGGAAGCTTCTGGTCCCAGTATTGCATCGGCAACCTGTGGATACAAAGCTTATTAGACAATGCTCACACACCCCCATGCTGTGCCCACAAGTGTAAGACAAGGTTTGCTTGCCTTTTATCTACTGGAGAAAAACTATACAGGGGAGACAAATAGGGGTTCTAGACGTTTCTCTTGATTTTCAGACTCACACAAGGTCCCATGTAGCCTGCTCTGAAGGTAAGAATAACTTTGAATTCCTAGCTCTTTGGCTTCTAGCTTCTGCGTGCTGGGAATGAGTCACCATGCCTGGCTCTGGGGCTCCAGCCCCGACCATCTGTTTACCAAGTTTCTTCATTTTTACAGCAACTGTACAAAACCTTTTCTCATTCTTCTCAAAATTTGAATTATCTAAGTGTACCTTCATCCTCCGAACAGGTAGCCCCTGTTGGAGGACACCGGGATGGAACTTCTTCCGGAGGTTGCTGAGCGTGGACAGAGGCAGACAGGCTTCTCTCCCCAGCCCTGGTGCCTCGCGTCTAAGGGCAGCCCCCGTGTGCTGGCTCCCACTGCATCCTCTTGCTGGTTCTCTCTCCCTCATGCCCTGCTTTATCAGATCGTTCCCATGCAACTGCATCTAAACATGCTCACAATCCCCCCATTAGAGAAAAGAAGAGAAAATAGCCGAACCTGGTGACCTGTAATCCCAGAAGTCAAAAATGGGCCAACCTACACTACGAGTCCATTCCAGGCCAGCCTGGGCTATCGAGTAAGAGTAGTCTCAACAACAAACCAACCAACTGACAAACGAAAATCTTCCCAAACCCAAGTCCAAAACAACAAACAAGACAATAATGGAAATCAGGAGTGATAGTAATGTCCCCTTCTCCCCTTCAATCCTACATCTCTCCCAGGAACTAACATCCCACATCTTTTTACAGATTTCTTCACACCCGAGCCTCTCTAGAGATGGCAAGCTAAGGCTCAGGCCCTATTTCCGCAGTCTTTTCTCTCTATTGTGAATCAGTCATGACCGTTCAAAATAAGAAGTTTTAAGGGATCTGGCTTTAATGTGGCTTCTCGTGACAACCAGTAACATCTGGCAGAAGAGCGGCTTCTGCCCGTGGGCATGCAGTTGGCAGCAGTGTCCGTCACTTCTCACTTTCCTCTAGAGACTTGTCCTCTGGCTGCTCAGCTCTGTCACCTCCGGGCTACGGCAGGTCTTGGAGCCTCATCCACTGCTCCAGGCTCCCTCTGTTCCACCCAAGGGCACTTGCCGAGACCCCCAGTAGAGGGCCACAGGCTCAGTCTCACAGGAGTGTCTGCCCTAATCTGGTTTTGCTTCCCAGGGCCTCTCAGAAGGTTCTCTGGCTCCAATCCCAGCCTACCCGTTCTCTCCTTCACCCCTGTGGCTGTCTTCAGCCATGTGTGTGATGGTAGGAGGGGTGACCAGTGGCAGAGAGGAGGTTCTCAGGGTGTGAGCTCCAACATGCCTCCTATTTCGTTTGGGATTACTATATTAACCTCTAAACATCATTTTTGTCCCCAGGCCATTCCTGGCCCCCATGGAGAGCTCATTCCCAAGTAAAACTGATTCTGACACTGACGAAGCTTAGAAACAGGCAGCATATATCTGCAGCTCATAGAGTCAAGTCTAAATGCTGTTTGTGGTGTTGCTTGGACCTCTGTACTCTACCCTGCTCATCTTCTCCAGCCCTGCCCCTATATCACATCCAGACAGGCGGACTTCCCAGCAGTTCCTGGGCCCTCAGAGACAGATTGATCAGGGGCCCATTAATGTGACATCTGACCCTTTCCCTTTTTCTAGTCCATTCCTGGTCCTCACTCAGACAACCCAATCTTGCCAGAGTGTTAGGCCCTTCCTCACCCTTTGGGCCCATAATATTCCATTATTATCGGGTACTAAAAATCTATTATACATCCTGGAGCCCTATGATTTGGGACAAGGCAGTAATTATTTACCTCCCTCCCTCTCCCTCCCCCTCCCCCTCCCTCTTGTGTCTGTGTGTCCCTTCCCTTCTCTCCTTTCCCTTCCCTTCCTTCTTCTTCCTCAGTTCCAAGCACAGTAGATGGGACACAGAGTATAATAAATATTTACAACTGGTGAGTAATCTCACCTCAAAAATTTCTGGAGTTTTTCTTCACTCTCACAAATATATATACGACCACGATACTCCACAGCATATTGAAGGTTACCAGGCACCAGGGCTTCATATCTGAAAAACAAGAAAAACAAAACAAAAACCACTGTGTAATTAATATATGAAGTTTTGTAATTAATATTGTATCATGAATATGTAGTACTGTATAAGTAAGATATCAAAAATGTTTTGTTTTTCTACTTCTGTAGCTCAAGGAAGAAAGGAATGTTTCCCTAGGTAACCAGCATGATAAGACTGTTTCTTTGTGAAATGTAGAGGTGGTTCAGACGTTAAGAGCACTTGCTGCTCTTGAGGGGGACAGGAGTTGGGGTTTCCATTATACCCCCACGTTGAATGATTCACAGTTGCCGTAACTATAGTTCCAGGGGATCAGGTGCCCTCTTCTGGCCTCTGTGTGCACCTTCATGGACACACACACACACACACACACACACACACACACACACACACACACACACTAATGAAAAGAAATCCTTAAGAAGCACTGTCCCATGGACCCCTGGCACAGAGCACGGGTGTGGGTTTGTCCTGTCCTGAGAATATGAGGACTTACTTTTGTTTTCCATCCTGGTAAGTCACTGGGCAGTAGCCTTGGAGCTCAGCACACTTAGGAAATCGACTCCTCAGCTCTGACAGGGTCAGTCTTTTGGGGAGCATGGCATCAGGTGGGAGTGGATAAGGGGCCAAGGGAGGCACATACAATTCTGGGTTCATCAGAAATTTCTATTAAGAAAAGAGGTACAGTGGCAAGAACACATAAGACAGCAATAATATACTAATCAAAATATTCTGGGGGCCCTCCTGATCAATTCCCATTTCAGTAGCCATCTGAGAGAAGTTATTGTAACTTCTCCTATAAGAAGTTCCTCAGGATAATAATCCCAAGCAATCAAAGGTCTCTTCTTACTCAAAAAATAGTATTTTTAGTTCATATTCTATGACAAAAACTGGAGCGTTCTTAGCCACCTGCCATCTACTTGTGTCATTTAGGATTCTCCAGTGTCAGTAGTTGCTATGCAGAATGCAAAGGCACAAAATACCTGGCATGACTGCTGCTTTAAAAATTCTGTGATTATTATGCTATAAGCAGGAAGAAATAAGCACCCCGCAGTAAAGAAAATGAAATTCTTATTCTGCAGAGGAAAATAAAATATTCAGGTTAGTTTTCATTATTACCTTCAGTTACAAACCATTGTATATCATCAAATCACAGGCATAAAAATATTGAAATTAATATATGGTTAGACTTTTGAATCCATAGTTACAAGTAGTCCATTTTCCATATACATGGCTTCTGCAGCCTCAGATTCAGATTGGATATGTTCAGGAAGAAGACTGACTCTCTCCTAACATGTCTGTCTTTTCCCCGTCACAGTTCTCCCAACATTACAGCATGGCAACTATTTATGAGGCTTTTTACATTGCATTAGATATTATAAGCCATCTAGAAGTATTCAAAAAATGTGGGAGGATGTGTATGGGTCAGGTTATATGTAAATGCCACCCCCTTTGTACTTGAACATCCACAGATTTTGACATCCACAGGGGATGTCTTGGAACTAATCCCCACCATGCTGGGATAACTGGAAAATTCTAGTGTTATATTTGTTTAAGTGTGGAAGACATCCGTAAAGCTCTTGTTTCATTCCTACTGACCTTGGCGTAACTTCCTCACCCCTGGAAGCTGAATCCCCTAGGTGTCTTTCTGTAGACCGAGTCCAGATACTTCATACTTCCTTTGTTGGTGAGACTCAGCTGTTGGTTTTCCCTGCCTAATAGGCAACCCACCACTGACCAAAACCTTCTAAATATGTCTGGGGGATGGGGTAGCCTCAGGGTTTCTCACTGATTGCAGAGTCATGGGCTCCAGTGATGGGCTAATTGGTCCCAATTTTCTGAGTGTTCTCAAGGGTGCCTGTTCTCATCAAGACAAGCCATTTCCTTTCCTTAATAAACATCTACATAAGAAACAAACTTACATTTAGGGTTTCCTGAGAACTCATTTTATAATAGTGTCCCCTGAACTCTGCGGCAAATTCCAAGCTTTTAGTTACAGAACAATCAATCAGTTCGTAAGATTCTGCTAGGCTGACAGGGCAGAACTGTCCAAACTCTCCCAGGCGAGAAATCAGCTCTTGCGGTGTGATACATAATTTGTCAATGCAAGCAGCCTTCCCTGTTATTAACATATTAATTATTACATATTTCACAGGAAGTACAATGATTCAAAATTAAACTAATTTCAGTTAGACACCACTCCATCATATTCTAAAGTTCTAAACAACAGAGTAAAATGTAAGGTTACTATAAACGCATATGGTGGTGGTGGTCTACAATTCCACGCTCTGGAAGCTGAGGCAGAGGGAGTGCCACAAATTCTAGGTCAGCCTGGGCTACATAGTGAGAACCTGTCTCAAAGCAAGCAATCCAACAAACAAAACAAAAGTTATTATTCATGCCTGCGCCTCTCAGCCTACTACTATAAGAGGTACTCACTGTTGGGTGTATGCCTTTTTAGTATACAGTTACCTATATAAACATATATGCATGTCTTTTGCATATAGTGTACTTATGCAGTTACATGTAAACATTATTTTGCAACTTGATTTATCAGTGAATTGCTGTCCTTGACAACTTTCTCTGTTGACCCAGTTCTTTAGATATTCTCAATCTTGGTTTGTTTTGTGTTCAAGGAGACATGTTCTGCTTCTGTGTATCCCAGGCAGCCTTCACTTGCTGTCATCTCAATTCAGTTTTCTGGGTGTTGGGACTATAGTGGTGTTCCACTATGTCCAGCCACACAATTACTTTGAATTCATGCATAGTGTTCTATTACACAAATATATAAAGCATAAATATACGACTTTTAACTTATGCATGTAATTACAAGTATATATGTGATTTACTTAGATATTTATCTGTGTTGTGTATTTTCATTCTAGCTTTTAGATATCATTAACTATATATATGTAACAAATAATAGTTATATATTCATATATTTTATATACATACAATAGTTACATATGCAGACATACATCTTTATGAATAGGCATACACACACACATCTATTTTCTAACAAGTGTTGTCTACACAATTCTTATATTAACTGCTAGTCCAGCAATCACAGCCCTCCCTCAATGAGTTGGGCATTGAGGAACATTGTCTTGGTTGCCATCTTCCACTGACATCCTGAAAGCAAGTAATGCTCAGGGAGACCTCAGCACCATCCTCAGAAAGGTCCTTAGGTTCTACACTGCTGGAACACAGGGTTTTCCATGTGGCAAAACCTGTGACTCAAATGAGTCAACAAAAGTGAATTAGACACCTTGACTCTACTTCTGAGTTCCACAAAGTTGGATACCAGCCATGAATGGTGGCCACTTCATTAGGTCCTGGTTCACTCAGAAGAGTTCAGAGTAGCAACTGACAGAGTCTAACATCTTTGTCTCTTTCAGAGTTCAGAGGTTTCTGGAATAGTGTTACTTGCCTGAGACAAAGTGATGCCAATACTTGCTACCTAATTTTTCTAACTACTCTATTAATTTGAACATAAGTCTGATTGTGTCACTGATTGATTGATTATCACTGAACATAAGTCACTGGGTCATTGTAACATGAGCATCACTGCAGGACACAGTCTGGGCTGCTCTGTCATGCCTCTGTTACTGTTATGGATCCATGTCCTGTGTTGTTCATAGCTTATAAATTGTTCCCTCTGCATGTAGGTGTTTGTTTCTAATGAAAAAGGACATATCAAAAGCACATGCTTGAGCTGGGCGTGGTAGCACACACCTTTAATCCCAACACTCGGGAGGCAGAGGCAGGTGGATCTCTGTGAGTTCAAGACCAGCCTTATCTACAAGAGCTAGTTCCAGGACAGCCTCCAAAGCCACAGAGAAACCCTGTCTCAAAAAACCAAAAAAAAAAAACATGTCTTTAATCCAAGAACACTGGAGGTAGAGGCAGGTGGATCTCTGTATGTTAAAGACCAGCCAGGACTACATAGTGAGATCCGGTCTGGAAAAGCAAACAAACATGATCTATACCACAAGGCTAGTTTAGTTTTCTGGGCTGCACTGTGTCTTCTCAAAAGAGACATTCAAGTATTCATAGCACCTTTGAATGCAACTTTGTTTGAGAACAGAAGCATATGGACAAAGACACAGAGGAGGATGACACCATAGAAAGACAAAAAAGAATGACATGCAATGACAGAGTTGTGGTGGTGATGGCTGTTGGTTATGCTGGAAACAAAGAGGAGGGCATGGAACAGCTCCTCCCACAATGTCCTCAGAGAAAGCATGACACTGCCAACACCTTTGTTTTGAGCTTCTAGCCTCTTGAACTATGCCATGATACATTTCTGTTGTTCAATCCACTTTTTCCTGGTAACCCTAGGAAATTAGAGCAATTCCAAAAGGCCAGGTTTTCTGTCATGCTGGTACTCTTACTTTCCTTGTTCCCTCAGAAGACCTGGCTGCCTGCTGGGTGTGGTGGTGCAGAGCAGTAACCATGGCACTCAGGAAGCCAGGGTTCAAGGCCAGCCCAAGATACATAGACAGTAAATAAATAAATGATTATCCAAACGATGCTGTGATTTCAGGCATGACTAATGAGAGAGTTATAGGGTCATGGAAGCTTCTGCTAAGATTTTAAAAGAGGACTTGATAAGGTCAAGATCTCTCCAAGTATCTCCTGAGGTCATGTTGCACGTGGAGCTGTGGATGTATCATTTGGACATGGAGTCATGGATACATCATTTGGTCTGATAATGTCCCGCTAGGCTCCTATCCCTCCCTCTCTTTTAGACTCCTGAGGTTGTCCTCTGGCTTTCATAATCACCTGTACACACACACACACACACACACACACACCTGCACACACACAATTGTACACACATACACATAATGTTTTCTTACCTTCCTTTATTCTTTCCATGTATGTCTGTATGTACTTATTCATCTGTTGGATGTCTTTAATGACTTCATTCCATACCCACCACTTACTGTGAAATCCATCAATCACGTGCCAGTTTTGATGCTGTTCTTGATAAAATTGCCTGATCTCAGTGACATTTTTACGGTACTTGGCATTCTTATAGGCTATAATCTGTGTACTGTTGTGCAGTGGATAAGGCGTACTGAGGAGGAAACGGAGAAGGGGCAGAAAAGCTGTTGAAGGGCTGAGACATCCCTTGTCCAGATGGTCACAGTCACCCCGTTCCCACAGTTCCCTCATGAAGATTACCTTTGCTCCATATTCTTTTCTAAGAGCAACCTTTTGAAAATCTCCTTGGATGGCACATCCAACTCAAAGATGATCATGGGAATGATCGACCTCTCCTCCAAGAGATTCTTCTGGTTTGTGGTCGCAGGGTAGCCATCAATGACCACACTGACAGGCAGACAAAAAAGCAAAAATTCCACAGTATTTTTCTTCCATAATTCCCTTATGTCCTCCCGGGCAAATCTCTGTCTTTGAGTGCTCTCAGGCTTTCCCTTACAATGCTGATAATTGTTTTGTCAGCTTTTTCCTTTATCTTTACATCTTAACCCTTAGTCATCCCTAGACCACCACGAGGTGGGAGGACACACTCACACAGCTTTGAAAGTGGAGGCAGGAGATTCCACACCACCAGGTTTTGGTAGAATTTGAGAGACACACCCATTATACCTTGCAAACCATGTATTCCTGGTGTTATTAATATAAGAACAAACAACAGAATGAATGTAGGCAGGCCTAGATTTGAAACCTAGTATAAAAGCTTGGTTTTTAGTAAAATAGGAAAAAATTATACTTAACCTTTAGAGTGATTTAAGAGAGCAGATATGAAAAGCAACCAGAACAGGGCATGGCATGTACTAGATGCTAATTAAATAGTCATGTGTATTCTGTGAGGAGATATTCTTGTAGAAGAATGGGGAATTTGTGAGGGATTTAGAATGGGGAGTATGTGAAAGCCACCACACATGCTTGTGAGCAGAAGATATGAAAATTATAGCCCAGCAATCTGAGATAACAAGACTGTCTGCCAAGCTGGAAGGAAATGAAAATCTAAAAAAAATTCATAAATTCTGAGAGTGGCCTCATAGACAAGGCAGCAAGCTGGGCATGTGGCTGGTGGCCATCAGTAAAGATTTATATGTCCTGAGTGGCAGAGAACACTCGCCAATGCTCTCCACAAAGTGCAGATTCTAGCTAGAACTCTCCCAGCAGAGATGAAAAATAACACAGCCATCTCTTTGCAGAAGTCTGTGAGAGAGTGAAAATTTTCTTTTATACAGAGAATAGTTACTTCTTTATACCGAGAAGGCTCACTTGAGTGGCTCTCAGGGTTGGGGAAATGAACCTAGGGTGGAGGAGCAGCCTTCATCCTGGAATTAAGACGAAAAAAACCTGTGACTCAACCAAAGGTGCCTTCACTGGGGAAGACTAAGCCCCAGGGAAGAAGTAACTCAGTATGGGTATATCCCTTCTTCTCTCAAAGACTGTCATCCAAGAATGCTCCCCACCCCTAAAATTAGAGGAATTGTTCAAAGCCACTTGCAAAGAAGAGCCAGAAGGTTCTACGTATACAATGGTCTTGAGCAAGCCAGAGGATTCTAGGTCAGTGACCTGGACTCAAGACCAGAAAGCATCAGGGTTCTCTGGGGTGTGACTGATGGCTGTAATGGACAAGAAGAAAGACCAGCAGAGGAGAGCGAACTGACGACGACAAAGCCAAGTATTCAGTGTTGCTGAGTGAATACGGCATCAAAGGAGGGGCACTGCTCCCTGTAGAGGGACCTGGGCATCAGAGGAACATGAGTGAGGGACCACATCATCTTGGAACTGAGTAGGGCTCTTCCATTGTTTCATGGAGCAGTAAGAACTACTGGGGTAAGGAAGTCACAGTGGCCTCATCTATGGACTGTGCAGGAGTTGCTACAGGGAGTAATGAGGTCTGTGGGATAATCTGCCATGAGTTCAAGCCATGAGCCTTGACAGAAAAAGATAATGTTGCCATGTAAATGCTCAGTCTGAGAAGTAGCACGTTCTCCTCCCTTTACAGGCACTCCAAACACATCTACAAGACCTTTTTAAATAACTCCAAGCATCTTGACAGTTACTCCCTTTCCCCTTCCTTCTGCTCCAATTCACTTACCCTATGGTATTGCACACACTTTCCATGAGGGAAATATCCAAAGCCTGAACAGCAAGAGTGTCAGGCACTGTCATTCCTTTGTAAAGGTGCCAGTTTATCATGAGTGACAGCTCCGTATCTGGGTGATTGCTTAACATGTTACGCAATGCGTCTCCTATGGACAAACGCTTTAAGCCGTATTCACTTGCAAGCTTATTGGCAACTGGAAAACATAAAACATAAGCCCATTTCACTCCACACGCTCATCAGATAGCCTTACTTTCAGATTCTGGCTAATGGCACCAATAGCAAGCATATCTTCACAATTTTCACCGAATTGTTCAAGTTGTTAGCAGCACTTCAGGTTTGTGACTTTAGAATCTGGTTAATGAACCAGCTGGGTTTCTTCTTTTCTCTTTTTAAAAAATAATTTATTTATTTTATGTGCATTGGTGTTTTGCCTGCAGTTATGTCTGTGTGAGGGTGTCAGATCTTGGAGTTACAGACAGTTGTGAACTGCCATGTGGGTCCTGGGACTTGAACCCAGGTCCTCAGGAAGAGCAGTCAGTGTTCTTAACTGCTGAGCCATCTCTCCAGTCCCCATATTTTTCCCTTTTCTTTTTATAATCAAGCTTATCACTTCTGCATGATGGAGCAATCTTGTGTGAAGCATTGCAGTAATCCTGCGTGCACTTGGTATTTAGTATGCTTTCAAAGAGAACAATATAATGAGCCTACTTGACTGGATGACACCATTCCCCAATCCATCTGTGGATTCTATGTTGCAATGAGGATAGCAAACCATAGACTGATTTTGGGTCTCAGTCAACCTCTAAGAAATTATTTTTAAAAATTATAAAGAGATATTTCACATTTCATTTCATTTATATATATTTTACATGTATGGGTACTTTGCCTGTATGTATGTATGTGCTCCTTTTGTGTGCAGTACCTGTAGAGGCCAGAAAAATGTTTCCTATTCCCTGGTATTGGAATATAGATGACTAGAGCTGCTACAAGTGTGCTATGAATCGAACCCAGGTCTTTAAGAAAAGCAATCAGTGCTCTTAGCTGTTGAACCATTCAATGCCCTCTGCTTTACATTTTAATAGAGGTTTATAGCTTAGAAGACAGAATTTTTTTCCTGTGAGTTTATTAGATATTTGGGTGGCATAAAAATGAGTTTTAACTTTATAGCTGAGGGTAACCAAAGCCCACTAGGATAGAATAGATCATTGAATAGATAGAGGTCATTAAAAGAATAGATAGAGGCCATTGAATGGATAGAGAAGAGGTCATTGAATAGATAGAGAGAGGTCATTGAATAGAGAGATGTCAATGACTGAGAGAGTTTTCAAAAAAAAACTATGGACCCAGGTCTGCTCAAATTCTAAAATGAAATGAGCTTTCAAAATTAGGGATAATATTAAAAATTATTTTCCATTTCAACAGAGGTGAGAAGTCAGATTGTTGTCCTTGTTTTCAGCCCTGGAATGAAATTTTATTTCAGATGAATAAATTCTGTTGTGCTTGGTAAACACCATTGTCTTGTGAACATTAATATACTACTCTTTTGTCATGTTAAGAAATTTAAAAGTTAGAAAAAGAAATTTAAAAATTCTAAATTAATTTATTTCTCTCTCTCTCTCTCTTCCCCCTTCCCCTCATGTGTGTGTGTATGTGTGTGTTTTAAACAGGATCTTTCACTGGCCTAGACCTTTTCAAGTAGGCTAGGCTGCTTGGCCAGTAAGCCCTGGGGATCTTTGTGTCTCTGCCTCTCTAGTGCTGGAATTACAAAATGTGCACCACCGTATCTGATTTTTTACATGGGTTCTGTTACCAACAGATAGATCATCTAGGAAAAAAAAGTTCACAGAATAACACCAGGGTTAAAGTATACTGTAGAACAGTGGTTCTCAACCTTCCTAAAGCTGTGACTTTTAATATAGTTCCTCATGTTGTGGTGACCCGTGTGGTGGTTTGAAAGAAAATAGCCCCCATAAGAAGTGGCACTATTATGCGGTGTGGCTTGTTGGAAGAAGTGTGTCACTGTGGGAGCAAGCTTTGAGGTCTCAGAAGCTCAAGTCATCTATCTGCCTGCTGCATACAGATAAAGACATAGAATTCTCAGCTCCTTCTCCAGCACCATGTCTGCCTGAATGCTGTCATACATCCTGCCATGATGATAATGGACTAAACCGCTGAACTATAAGCAAGCCACCCCAATGAAAAGTTTTCCTTTACAAGAGTTCCTGTGGTCATGGTGTCTCTTCACAGCAATAGAAACCCTAAGACAACCATAAAAACTATTTTTGTTGCTATTCATAACTGTAATTTTGCTACTTTTGTGAAATATAATGTAAATATCTGATATGTGATCTCCAAAGGGGTTGTGACCCACAGGTTGAGAACTGATGCTTTAGGGCGGATGGACTTAACAGAGACTATCTGAGGCAGAGTGTGTATTCTTTTTCAGCACATTCAAGTTTTTCCAAAATAGATCATGCATGAGGCTGCAAAGCATCTCTTAACAAATGCAAAAACAGAAATAACTCCCAGTGTCTCAGGTCAGAAAGGAGAACATTAGAAATCAGAGGAGGAGCAGCTACAAACATTATACAAACACATGGAGATTAAGCCAGGCTTTCAACGCATGGTGTGTCACCAAAGAAGTCAAGGAATCAAGAAGTTGTAGAATCACAAGAAAATGGTAATACAGCTACCAGAACCTGTGGGAAATCAAAGCAAAAGCCAAAAACAAAAACAAAACACCTTCCCTAAAACCCCCCACAAAATGAAACAACCCCCCAAAATCAGTACTATAAAGAAATTTTGTAGCTGTAAGTATTTACTCTTTAAAAGCAGAGATATCAATTGAAAAACCTAATGTGTATCTCATTCTTAAAAAAAAAAAGACTACACTAAAGGCTTAACCAGCAGATGGAAAGAAATAACAAAAACTAAGGCAGAAATAAACAAAATAGAAAGTAAACAACACAAAGGATCAGTATCACAAAGGGTTGGTCCTTTGAAAAGATAAAGGAAAATGACAAATCTTTAGATAAAATAAGCAAACGACAGAGAAGCCCAAATAAATAAAATTAGGGGTGACTCTGGATAGTGCAACAGATTCCCTGTAATTCATAGGGTAATTAGGGAGTATTTTGAAAACCTATACATCATCTGTAGGAGGCATGGAGGTCCTTGTACTCACAGACAAACACTAGGGGAACCTGAATGCTAAACACAGACAGAGTGTTGTCCCTTAAACGGACAGGGTGCATACTCTGTTATCTGCCCAGAAGGCTGGGAGCCCATGTGGTTAACAACCTGGTGATTTTTGTCCTATCTGTGTGGCTGGGACCACATCAGAGCCTCCCCCAGTCTTTATCACATGAGTGTCTTATTCAAGTCAATCTGCCAAACCCATCTTTATGGACTTACAATGAGTTTCACTGTGCTCAAGACTGATCTGTACTTAGCTTACTTTGTTCCTCAAAGAGATTTATGTATACTTTATTATGCGCATGGATTGAGCTAATTATCACCAGAATAAGCTTTCCAAATTGTGCTGTGTTAAACTGTACGTAAAACAGACTATTCAGGGTCAGACTCCAGAAGTTTGAACTAACACCAGCTACTGAGTTGTGTTGAACCACACTGCCTTCTTGCCTGCCACAGATCATCTTTCTGCTGGCCATGGGGGTTACAGAGATCCCTGCATACATCAGTGAATTAGAAAATCTAGATGATAAGAATGAATTTATGGACACATACAACCTACCAAATTTTAATCAAGAGGCTATGAAAAACTGAAGTAGACCAACAACAAAGAATGGGACTAAAGCAGTAATAAAAGTCCCTAAAGAAGGAATGCCCAGTACTGCGTCCATTGTAAATTTTTTAAAACTTTAAAAAATAGTTTATACAAGTTATTCTCAAAGTATTCCATCAAATAAACAGAGAAAGAACCCTTAGAAATTCATTACACGAAACTAATATTACCCTTACTAAATCAAATTAAAAACAAAAGAAAATAATAAAATAGAAATTATGGGCCAACATCCTTGATGACATAGATGTAAGAGCCCTCCGTAAAATACTTAGAAATAGTAATTTTTATATTTAGATCCCATTCCAATCCAGCCTTAATAATAATTATTTTAAAAAGATAAAATTCTGGCAAAGATGTAGAGACGAAAGGAATCTTTTCTACATTGTTGGTGGGGATCTAAATTAGCCCAGTACCATGGAAACCCTCAAGTTTATGGCTGGCTCCTGGAGAGTTGGTGCTGCTTCAGAGCTCCCCTGATACCTGATGAACAAAGACAGATATACTCACCTGTAGTTTTCCCCGACTTGGGAGGCCCCACGATCATAACCCTCACAGGCATAGTAGCTTTGGGTTTGGGTTGCCGGATGTATTTGATTGGGTTCATCATAAATTTTTCTTTATTTTGTTTACTAGATAGAAAATAAACATACTGACGGTGGATTACAGCGCTAAGAGAGTTCTCTGCATTCTCCACAGGCTTGATCGTCTCTCCTTCGCTTAGCTGCAATACAAGAACATAATTTTCTTACATCACTAGACAATTCTAATTATAAATGCTTACAAAGTAACTGTATGCAAAGTGCAGGTTATTTCATGTCATATCTGGTGAGTGAAGTGTTTTCTAGTTGGTTTTTAGCTTATGACAATTACAGTTCTACTTCCTTCGTAATGTCTCATACTTATATTGAGCGGTTTTGATAGAGGGTGGAGATTGTTACACTCAGTAGTGAACTAATTTATCCTCACAAACAGACCCACTTCTAAAGTGATGTGGATTGCATTGCTCCTGGCCCTTACAGTCTTTATGTTGGAACTCTTGTTACCAGTGCGACTGTCAATGGAGACTAGACCTTTATGGGGTCGACTAAGGTAAAATGAGGTCAGAAGGATAAGCAATAGCACGGGGTTCTTTTGACAGGAGGAAGAAACACAATGGGCATACACAGAGAAAGCTCCACATGAGGACACTGTGAGAAGGTGGTTAACTGCTAGACAAGGTGAGGAGATGCCATCTGTCAACACTTCTTACCTTTAGAACCATTAGTCTATGGTGATACCACCCTGAATGTGCCTGGTCTTGAAGCAAACCAGGATTGGGCCTGGTTAGTACTTGGATGGGAGGCATTGGTTAACCTGCCCCCTCTCAAGTCTTTCTATGGTATCTGAAATGGGCACTACAGATTTCTTCCATGTTTTTGTAACAAATGAAGTCCCATCACATCATTAACAATAGCCATGAAGTGTAAAACACCCACCAAAGGCAGCCTAAGTTATGGGTATGGAATGGGGTAGGAAGAGTGGATAATGAATTGATGTTAGGTCTAGAGGTCTTTTTACAGCGTTAGATCGACATGCATCATCTTCCCTGAATATGACAGAGTAGGTGTGAAATAGTTTAGTCACTGTGGTGGTGTGAAAGAAAGTGGCCCCCACAGGGAGTGGCACTATTAGGAGGTGTGGCTTTGTTAGAGTATGTGTGACCTTGTTGGAGGAAGTGTGTCAGTGTTGGGGATGGGCTTTGAGGTCTCCTGTGCTCAAGCTACACCCAGTGTGACATAGGCTCCTTCTGCTGCCTGTGGATCAAGGTGTAGAATTCTCAGCTCCTTCTCCAGCACCATGTCTGTCTGCATGCATGTGGTGATATTATTTATGATCTAACAAGTAAAGCTTACCTGAAGATCAGAGTGCTAGGCTAGCCGCACTAGTCAGTCATACAGGCTAGAGAGTGGTAGCATATACCTTTAATCTCAGCAGCCACACTAGTTAGCCACAGAAAGCTGAGCAGTTGTGGTGCAGGCCTTTAACCCCAGCAGGTAGAGATAACGGAGTGCAATGTATTCAGTCTACAGCCACACTGAGGACAGGATCGCTCCAGTCTTGGTAAGAACTCTCTAATGATTGGTTGCTTTGCTTTTCTGATCTTCAGCTTGAACCCAATATCTGTCCTTGGGTTTTTATTATTTGTGCTACACATGCCACCATGAACGTAATGGACTGTAAGCCAGCCCCAGTGAAATGTTTTCCTAATGAGAGCTGCAGTGGTCATGGAGTCTCTTCACAGCAATAGAAACCTTAACTAAATGCTGGGCGTTGGTGGTGCATGCCTTTAATCCCAGCAGAGGCAGGCTGATCTCTGTGAGTTCAAGGCCAGCCTGGTCTACAGAGCGACTTCCAGGACAGCCTCCAAAACAATACCGAGAAACCCTGTCTCAAAAAAAACCAAAAAAAAAGAAAAAAGAAAAAGAAACCTTAACTAAGACAGTTACCCTGCTTCCCTGTGAGTTACTGCAGAATAGTGACTTGTCAGTAGTATCATCAGCACTGCCATTCTTTCTTAGACTGGAATGAAATTCCAGGCTGGCTGGGAGTAAATGTTAGGTATACAAAGAAACTCAGGTGGGGCAGAGTGTCAGTTCTGTGTTATGTATCTTTTATCAAAAGCAAAGATGCAAGTTGGACAGCTCCATTTCAGCCCCCCCAAACATTTTCATAACTGCTTCATACAATATTAACAGCTTTTCAAAACAACTACATTCTCCTAAACGACTTTATGAAACGGGCATGATGGTTTTCAGATATTACCTTTACAGGGTCCCAGTAGCCAAATGAGCTCATGTATTTGTAGGTGAAGGCCAGCATTTTATGAGCAAGGTGTGTCGTCACTGGATAACATTTTTCAAAAATGCTTGCCCGATTTTCCACTAGTGGTTTCAATTTCAAATTCAATACATATTGCACAATGTGAATTTTCCTAGCTCCGTTAACTGTAATTATTGGTATCAGAAACTTCTCGAATTCTTCCTGATAAGAGAAATTATAAAGCTTGATATATTTAGTGTTTATTTAGTGTTTACCAGTTAGAGCATATAGACACAGCTGGTGACTACATAATCATATAAGACAAGTATCTTTTAGCTTTATGAGGGGCTGCCTGTGGGGAGATGACCTCACTCTGACCTTGGAGGCGTCCATGCTGATCTATGAATCTCATAACTGCATAACTGCTAGGTGATGCTGACAAAGGGCCTGCTGCCCTAAAATACTCTTTTGAAATATCACAAAAATAAGAGTGAACCTAATTACCCTCTTTGCATTCCCAGATTTTTACTTTTTATGCAATGATGAAGGGAAGGCCATAACCTGTATTATTTGTAGGTTATTCATATCTGTTTCAAATTTTTCTCCCAGTTCGCTTCTCAGGCGCTCAGTTGCTTCTCCTTCCTGCTCCTCATCTTCCTCACTCATCTCTTCCTCATCCTTTGGAAATTCCTCTTCGAGGATGTTTTCAATATCCTCCTCGTCATCAGGATCTTCGTCACTAAAGTCATCATCATCTCGGAAAATACCCTAGGGAAGAAAGGGTCCCTTTACTCTCTATATGAAGTTTGTGGCTTGTGCGAATTAATTCCACCAATAGCTTTGGGGGACCTGCCTTAAAGGCCTGGCCTCTGCTGCGGTCTCTTTTAAGGGAGAGGGTTCTCTCTCGCTCTCTTGCTTTCTTGCTCTGGCTCTTGCATGGGGTGAGGGACACCCAATGGTGGAGAGGCAGCGTGGATGAGAGGCAGCTTCAGCCCTTAAGAAATCAGTTTTTATTACCTCTGTGAGTTCCCGCTTCACGATGCAGTAAGAATGTGAAGACTGGCTGGCACCCAGAACTTAATGCCTTCAAGATTGTCACTATGATGGTTCCACAAGCAAACAGACAAGATACTAAATGCTATTTATGCCCAAGTTGTCATATTGTATGTTTTTATAGTCTTTAGAAATAATATTTAATGTAGTTCAAAAATGACAAAATACTACCAGCTGCATTGCCAAACTGGAAAATCAGTTTCCCTATCTGTAAAGTGGGAACTGCCTAGCGCTCAGGATTTGGGGAGCTTTGGATGAGTTAATACATGGGAAGTCATTGGCCCACGTATCGGAAAGAGAGAACTGACTCTTTCTGACTGGCCAAGCCAGGCATATACAGCTCTGGTAGGTTTTGCTCCTTCCTCTCCCTTTGTAAGCTATAGAAGGAACCAAAAGTCCCCTGTGGTAACCAATTGAAATTAGACATCTCGTCCTAACACAGGGTTTCCCCTTTCCCTTTATAAACCAACATTTGCCTATGGGCCTCTCTATCCCTCTCTATCCAGGGACAGTCCTTTGTCCCTCCAGCGCAAATAACCCTTCTCTTTCTTCTCCATCCAACCCCTACTGCTCCCATTCAAGACCCTGAGAAAGCCAGCCATTGGTGGCTCCTCCCCCAGGGATGCTCAAGACCACACCTACAGGCTACTTAAGACACTACCAAGTGGTTCTTCCTCTTCCCTTGGGACCAGTCGGGAATGCTTTGCTCCTTAAACCTTTTGACTATTTATTCGGCCTGACCTGATTTATTGCATCAGCTAAGAGACTTAATACTTTTGTCCCTCTAAGGTTGAGAAAACTCCTTTATGCTGAACATTTGGTCTTAGGGTGTCTCATGTCAAATACTTGTACCTTGACTCCTACATGAACATGCCTGTACACACACACACACACACACACACACACACACACACACACACACACAAACACACACACTGTACTAGCGCGGTTTTTGTCAACTTGACACAACCTAGAGTCATTAGATCATCGGATAAGTGGGCACCTGGATTGTGACAATGCCTCCATAATATCTTGATGTAGATAAGCCTGTGCGGTATGGTCTTGATTGGTGTGGGAGGGCCCCGCCTGCTGTGGGTGGCCCGGGGTATCTAAGAAGACAAATTGAGCAATGCAGGAGAGACAAGCCAGTAAGCAACACTCCTTCATGGCTTCTGCATCAGTTCCTGCCTCCAGGTTCTGCCTCGAGTTCCTTCCCTGTCTGTTCTGGATGAAGAGCTCCAAGTTCCAAGATGAAACAAACCCTTCCCTCCCCAGGTTGCTTTTGGTCACGGTGGTTCATCACAACAATACAAAATAAAAAGCAAACCTCAGTTTCCAGCTTATTCCAAATGTCATCTGTATGTCAACCTTCGGGCCTACACTCTGACCTCTGCCAACTCTTGAGAAGCTACCAGAGATGGCCTTGGCCCTGAACCCTGCTTAGTCTCATTTGCTCCCAGGCTTTGGCTTTTCCTTCACATACATGGTCTGTACTTCTAGAACTGTTCACCCAGGCTCTCATAGCAGGGTTGTTATGGTTCTCCTGGCTCTCCCAGGGCTCCTCCTTCCCCTGGCTACCCAGCAGACCCACATTCCAGAGAAGGCCCAGAGGCAGAGCCAGTGGGCAGGAGAGTGAGGATTCTACAAAGAAATGGGAACTGATTTATAGATCATTCTTTAATTGCAATCTGTGGCAGAATTTCCACAAGATTGCAGTGCTTTCCATAGAAAACAGAAGCAGTCACTGGGCGGCTGTGACAGACACACAGGTTACAAGTTTCCTTTGCTGGTAAAAAATCTTTGTCTGCTCTGGGCATTGGTGGCACACGCCTTTAATCCCAGCACTCAGGAGGCAGACGCAGGCGGATCTCTGTGAGTTCGAGACCAGCCTGGTCTACAAGAGCTAGTTCCAGGACAGCCTCCAAAGCCACAGAGAAGCCCTGTCTTGAAAAAAAAAAAGTCTTTGTCTGCATGTGTTCCCTAGTTAGATTTCTTAGAGGGTAAGTCAGGGATGCTGCCAGTGCCCACCCCCACCGTGGTGGGAGGAGCTGAGGTCAACATCTAATTTGAAGTATCTAAGTGGATATAAAACTATTCCCTAAATGCAAACCATTAAGTGTGCTGTGGGCAATGGTGTCCCTGGTGAAACATTTTGTGATGTCCTATTGAGTTATCTACACACACAGGCTTTTTTAGTGGTCTCTCCTCCTCGCTGGAAAACTTGAAGGGAAAGTGGGTGCCCAAGACAGCTCACCACTGTCTAAAGAATCCTTTCCCATATGTTGGAACCCCCTCTCCATGTTGATCTCAGAGGTGACCCCCTCCACTATTGAGCAATCAGAAGCCTCCCCACCAGAGCCCACTGAAGAGCTAGCCCAGGCTGTCAAGTGTGTGGAGTGCTCTGCTCCCACTCAGAACAGCCTGAAGAATGTGTGTGATGAAGTGATATCAGCTGCCTGGGAGCCTCTGGCACAGAACCACAGCGCATCTGCTGTGAACACGTTTCCAGAGCCCATTGCACAACTGGTGTCATCATCATACTGAAGCAACATTTAAATCGGACTAAAGGTCAAAAGGCAAAACCTTTTTCCGCAACAATGCTCAACGTCTTACACCTTCCAAGGCACCATGAGATGAGAGGCGAGGCCAACGGCATGACCTCCTTGACTCCAGTACCTGCTAATTTGTACTGTCAGAAAGTATGAGTGCTAGCTTTTGTTTCCGTCTTTAAACACACAATAACAAATTCCCCACCACCTTGTTTTATTTTAAAGCAAGACTAATTTGAATTGTCAAAGCTGCTCCCTGGTTCCATTTAGAGAGTAATCTGGGGCATATTTAGGTCCCCCCACTTCTCTCCTTTTGAGGTATGTGGAAAGGTTATTTTTAGTCATTTGTTTGTTCTTTTTAGTTTGTTAACCAGAGGACAGCTGTTGGGGGGAAGAGCAGATTATTTCCACACTCTACCTCCCAGGTCCAGGTCCTCATGACGCTCTGAGAAGGGAGTATAGAAGGGAGTATAGAAATGCTTCATTTAATAACACACTCCTTGACAGTTGCCTTTTCTCCCCACCGTCAAGGGGATCCAGTAGTTGATGAAGTCCATGAAGTGGGGTGAAGGCGCCTGGAGTTGTCCAGCCCCTCCTTCCTAAAAAGTACTCTATACGTGACAGTGACTTCCAAGGGTATTTGTTTGTCATTTACTGATTGGGGGCAGCTATAAGTTCTACTTTCTTTTATTGGTAATTAAAAAAAAAGTGCTGCATCTTTTGAAATATACCAAGCAGATTGGATTCTGAATTTTAACAGAAAGTCTTGAACTAAGATCAGGCACAGAAGTCTGTTATTGCCTACTTAATACATGGGGGAAATGACTGTAATGGGTAAAAGGAAGGGAGGAGGGGGGAGGGAAGGAGGGAGGGAGGGAGGAAGAAAGGGAAGGAGGCAGGGAGGAAGGGAGGAAGGGGAGGAAGGAGGGAGAAGGAAAGAAAGGAAGGAAGGAAGGAAAGAAGGGAAGGGGAGAAGGAAAGGAGGAAGGAAGGGAGAGAGGGAGGGAGAAAGGACGGAAGGGAGGGCGGGAGGGAAGGAGGGGAAGAGGAAGGGAGGGAGGAAGAAAGGGAAGGAGGGAAGGAGGAAGGGAGGAAGGAAGAAGGGAGGGAGCGACAGAGGAAGGCCTCCTGATGGCCCTCACATCTTGGCAGAAGAGAAAGTAGACAGGAAATGAGGCTGGGCTCTCACCTCAAGGTCTACCCCCAATGCCCACTTCCCACAGGAAGGTTCTACCCTGTAAAGGTTCTACAGCTTTCAAAAACGATGGCCCAATTGGGGCACAAGTACTCAAATACAGGAGCCTGTGGGTAACAGTTCACACTCAAACCATACACCTTGTCTAATTATCCTGTTCTGGCTTCTGTACCCTTGAGTGGTTTAGCTGTAACACTGGGTCAACTAGGTTGATGTGGGAACAGCCGTCCCCAAATAAAACAAAATCTTTGGTCTCCAAAGGTGGGTAGGCACTACACTGAGCATCCTGCACCTGTGTCTGACTATAGGTCCACAGGCTCTCCTCCATCTCATGTCAAATCCTCAGACAATGAACATTTTAGTTTCAGGTCAACCTTATAGGCTCCGTCTATCCCCACTCCTATGTTTCAGCCTGTCTCTGGGGTGGGAGTGTGAAACCAAGAAGAAAATTCAAAGATGAAAATCCAAAAGACACAGTTCAATGCGCTGTATATTTCATATGAGAACACTTCAGCCTCTTTAGTGGTTTCGTTTCTTTAAGTATTTGTTCATGTCAGGTGTGGTGGTACACACTTTAAATCACCAAACTCAGGAGGCAGAGGCAGGTGGATATCTGTGAGTTCAAGTTCAGCCTGATCTACATAGCAAGCTCCAAGACAGCCAGGGTGACATAGAGAGACCCTGTCTCAAAACAAAACAAAACAAAATGAAAAAATATTTATTCTTTTCTGATTATATAAATATTAAAAAGGTCATTTAAAATAGTAGCATATACCATGACAAAAGTAAAAGAAGCAAAATTAGGTGTCATTTCACTAAGCCCCTGCAAACTCTCTGTTAGTTCTTGTGGGCTCTCTAAACACATCCTTGGTTTTTTCAACTCTTGAGATCATAATGTTAGGCTTAAAAAAGCATCTACTTACTTCCTCTCTCCGTTTTCTGTCTCTCTCAGAAATAAGTTCAGCTCTTCTTTTAGCAATCATATCCTCCTGTTGAAGAATCACTTACAAGTTACAATAGAAAGACAATGCAATCATTTGCTGTGTATCGATGTTCCTTTTCAAGCTGGGGCTAACCGTGGTGGAAGGGTGGGAGCCTGCTCCAGGAAAACAAGTGATGGCGATGGCTGGAGAGCATTCCCGTCCTTCTGGCTCCCTCCCAAGGGATAAGCAGCTCTAGGGGTTCAGTCACTCCATCCTAGAGCTCCCTTTTCAGGTGAATTGTACCTTTGCTTGCTTGGGGAGGGGGACATGGGATTTCACAGAAATCTCTTGTGCTTACTGCAAGGAAAGCGCAAGCATGTTGGAGATGGCCAGAGGGAGGGTGAATGACCATGCCCCATTTTCAGGGTTCTCCAACCTAACACAGTGGTGCTGGTTGCCTCAGGACTCCCTGAAGTTTAATCAATTACAGTGTGCCTGCCGGAGGTGGGCACTGCCCTGCCTTGGGCATTATGTGTTCTTTCACTTTCTTCTTAAAATACCATATCAAGTCAGGCAGGCAGTGCCACCTACTTAAGGGTGAGCTAATAGGAATCCAGAGAGATCTGTGCGATGTCACCCAGGGCATGAGACTCCCTGAGGAGGAGTCCTGGAAGCGGATGGTGTGGCTGCTGCAGCAAAGAGCTTACGTTTACTGTTCAGACCCTGACGGTACAGCTTGATTCAAGCAGACATTTAATAGCTAGAGAGTACAGAGACCAATCTAGGCAAGCCACTGCTGGGTCAGCATAAGAGTGCTGGTGTGCACCCAAAGACCCCGAAACGGTATACGGGTACTGCTGGGTGGGCGCTTGGGCACCGGCTGCCAAGATCCTCTGCGTTCCAGCTCTGGCTCTCTCACAGCCCTGGCTGCCTCTGCAGTGCACCTCAGCCTGCTGCTGTGCCTCACAGAGGGAGGCCTGAGCACCACCCATTTGGAAAGAGAAGCATTCACATGTTGATGGTCAGAAAAGCTCCAACTGAGCATGACACTCAGAGGCAGAGACAGGTGGTCTCTGAGTTCAAGGACAGCCAGGATCACACAGGGAGACCCTGTCTCAAAAACAAAAAAGCTTTAAATAGTTAAATTCTTATTAAGGATGACATATTTGATGGAAAATATTTTCATGGTTATGGTGGCATCAAAACCCAGAAGCCCCACTCTTGTGAAGACTGAACAGTATTAACCGTATTCCCCTGTGTCTGGACTGGATATGTACCTTGATTTTTGTCTTCAAGTATTTGATGAGCTTTTTTCTTTCTAATTTCTTGCACTGTTTCAATTTCCACTTCTGAACTTGTGTAGGAAGGAGGCGATCAAAGACATCTTGATCATCTACTTGTATTACAACAGCAGCATCTGGGAAAAAGCCCCGCTCTCCTAGAAACTGGGCCTCCTCTGGGTACCTCGGGAAACCGTCCAGTATGAAGCCAGTAGAGCTGGGAGGAAATTTTCATAATTTGCTTAAAACAGCATAGATATTGCAAACTAAGCCACACTCAGAAGACAGACACCCCATGTTTCTCTCATAGTCAGGGTTATCTTTCTACCATCTACACTATAGCTGCGACATGACACCAGAGCAAGTGTTTTGTGAGAAGAAAGGAAACGGGAGTGGGGAGGGGTAACAGAGGTGGCACTATGAGCAACAAACACTTAGCTATATGTATGTATGAAATTGTCATAACAACTTCATTATTTTATTTTGTATCATAGCTTAAAAACTCAAGCATGAAAAACATTATATTATAGATCTGTTTATACTATATATTGATGGAAAGGGCAAAAAGTGCTTGGGCACACAGACAAGCACTGGAAAAGTCAGGAAAGTTAAACTTGCAGATGTTTAACTCCAAAGTAAAGAGATGTTTGTCCTGTTCCACCTGGAATGCTGGGGATGGGTGTAGTTTACAACCTGGTGATCCTTTGCCGTTTGAGGAGGCAGGCTAGGCCATATCTCCCAGAATTTATGTTTCACTTATCCCAGACCCTTCCCCCTAAAGCCATGAGCATTACTTCTGTGTCATAAGACCCATCCTCGTGAGAGATGTCATTTGTACTAGAGCCTAAGTGACTTCTATGTTATCACAGGGCCAGTCACTCTCCCTAGACCCTTATCTCGAGCATCATTTGTCAGTCAATAGAACTGACAAACGACAGGGAATGAGGTCATATGCACTTTGTAAACGTGTCTTAAGCCTTTTGCACTCACAGAGCTGAGTGAATTGTTATCTGAAAACTTCTCTCCTAAATCGTGCTGTGCTTAAAGATGGCGAAAAATAAACGAGCTGACGCCAGACTCTAAGAAGTCTTGGCTCAGCACCAGTTACCAAAATCTGACCGAACCCAGTTTCATTCTTGTCTCTTTGCAGAGAGTTTTCCCTGCCTGCTGTAAAGCCCCCAGGGATCCTCCACATACCATCTATGCATGTATTAAAGATTTTAACACGTGTTGATGAATCTTGGCTTTATCAGATGTGTAATAAGCAGTTTAAGGAATTTTCATTTTAAAAACCATTTCTAGTTGCATTTATTGTTGCTTCTTAAATCTCCCGCTTTGCCAGCTCCTGTTTTGTCTGAGATTCTTTTTTTTTTTCTTGGGACAAGGTTTCCTTATATAACCCTGGCTGGCCTGGAACCTGTTATGTAGACCAGGGTGGCCTCAAATTCACAAACTTTGCCTGCTTCTACCTCCTGAGTGCAGAGATTAAAGGTGTGTGCTGCCATGTCAGGCTTTGGGAATTTTTAGGTGGCCTGGATATACAAGTATATAAAAAGCTATACAAATCAAACATTTAGTGGTAATAAATTTGTTTTAAAACAATTCTTTGGCATGTATGTAATTTTACCATTTGTTAAAGATTCATGTGCTTGCTTATTTTTATGTAAAGAGGCAGGTGGATCTCCGTGAGTTTGAGGCCATCCTGGTCTACAAAGCCAGTTCCAGGCAAGCTAGAGCTGCACAGGGAGATCCCGTCTCAACCAGAAAAAAACTGACAGAAAAGGCAAACAAGAATTAAATCTTGGCCAAGTATGTGACACTGGGACGTATAGCATCTTCAATGTCTCTCAGAGATACAGTTGTCAGTGCTGAGGATGCCGTTGTATACAGTGATGTAATGCAAAATGGCGGCAGTGTGCCAAGGACCACTTGAGTAATTACTGGAAACTCTGTCCCAATTCTAGTCAAAATTCATCTAATGATCGTTTATGAAAGTCAGCTCATCAACTCAAATAGCACATTTTAAAATCGAATGTTCTACCAATCCAAAGATGTGCTAATCTTATGTTGTCATGCTGAAGAATGACAGTAGCAGACCAGGATGTCTTCGCTTTCTGTTAAACTATCGTGTTTCTGCAAGGGCAGAAAACTGTGAATGCAGCAAGACTCCTGTAGTTCGTGGCATACAGTATGAGTACGAGCTGAGGCGTTTCAGGGACACTCATTGGGCTTGTGTGTTGTGAAGGCTTGCATACTGCAAAGTGTGCCTGCTGTCCATTCAGAACCAAGGCTGCAGGGAAGTCATTAGACGCTACCCTGACAGGTATCGCCCCAAACACCCCACATTCATTATGTCTTTAATTTCTGGATTAAGTCTTGGGTTTTGTGTATTAAAAAATCTTTTCCTGTTGCCAATATTTTTCATGATTCCTACACTGGAATTTTACATGATTCCTATCCCATCTGGAGTAACAGCCCAGAGTTCAAGAAGCGAGTGTGTAAATGATATTTTTTTCACAAGGTGTATAAAGTTAGGTTAAAATAATATTTGCACTGTAATATAAAATTGCAGTTAGCTGTCTGATAATTACTAACTGGGAAATTGGAAAGTGAGCTCTGTGCTTGGGAGAAGTGCCTAGCCTTAGAATATGTTGCCTTGAAAGAGCTGCCTGAGTGGGCCGCGGGACCCTTCCTGCTATGAGGTAACCACACACCCCTCCAGAGTCTCCTGGTAGCCAATAACAACTGCCCATGTGCAAGTTCTGCCTCAGGTGACAGAACTTTTAGGGACGTGAGAATAACCGGAAAGCCAACACACTTTAATAAGTACTTATAAAGTGGCCTTCCCTGGCTTCATGATCTTGTTGAGAGGTCAGTATAATCTGACTTTTGGGTGAGTTTGTTGATCCTATTTATCCAAAAAATGTTTAATATGTTTACACATACATGTATGTTTTCTTCCCAATAAACTGAGATTTTTATGAACATCTGACTACTTCAGTCTTCCAAGGTTAATTCTCAAATGTTAATTCTCCTTTTTTATCAACTAGGCAATTTTCCCTCAATTGGCTGCACTGGGTGTCTCTTCAGCAAGGCCTTCGATGTGGTGTCTTCTGGGGGACACATTTCTTGCCTGGTGTCCTGGTGCCACTTGTTTGACAAGAACTTACATGTCCTCAGCTCTATGTCCTTACCTCTACATTCGAACTTCTGAGTTTTAATTCAGAAATTCCAAAGCCCCACTTCGATTTTTCAATGCAGCGCGTCAGGAATGTTCTGTGTATGATACTGTCAACAATCATGATGGCCCCTAGCGCTCCAACCCACTCTTGGCTGGGTCCAGCAGTCCTTGCTGCCAGACATACAAGGTACATCTAGGTTCTTCTCCACCTCCCTCCCACTATCGTGACAAGGCCTGGCACCTTCAAACTTCATTTCTGTCATCACCTCACTGCAGCCCTCAGTGACTCTCCAGGCTTAATCTAGTAGACTGAAAAAAACTTGGAAAAAAGTCAACCTTTTCCCTCACTTATACAAGGAATGCGTTTCACAATAGAAAAAACGGAAAGTAGAGGAGAAAAAACACAAAACAGCAAATTATCCATACTCCTAAGGCCCAGATATTATTGCCTTTCGTTGTATTTCCTTCCAGTCAGCTCTTAATGGGCCCATCTCCCTACCATATTATGATATATTTCTGCATCGTTTAAAGTTTATTATCATATAATAATATCGCATGCCATTGTAAATCTTTATGATAAAAAAATGTGATGGCTGCGTAATACTCAATATTTAGATTTTACAGTGTAACTTTTTATATTAAATTTGAATTCATGTCTCTATAGATCTGTAGAAATATCTATATATATTGTTTACACTTCTTATTTTAAAATATAAAAAATTTATTTATTTTTATTTTCTGTGTGTGAGCATTGTATCTGCATGTATGTATATGTACTACAGATGTGCCTGGTGTCCACAGAGGCCAGCCAGAGGGAGTCAGATCCCCTGGAGCTGGAGCTATAGATGGTTGTGAGCTGCTGTTTAGCCACTAAGAACCGAACCTGGGTCCTGGTGTTCTAATTGTTGAGCCATTGCTCCAGACATTTTGACTTTTTAATTTAGAAATGTTAGTCTTTGTTTCTCTTCCTATTTTTATATAGATATCTTAGTGTGTGGTGTGATATGAGAAGCTAACTTAATGAAGAACAACCCAAGTTTCCCACAGCTATTGATCTAATTTAGGGAATAAGAACATTTTAAAAACTTGATGACTCGATTCCACCCCCTCATTTCAGACAGGCAGTAGATACAACTGTGCCCAGAGGAGCACGAAAATACGTATCTAACTTCTCTGTAGTTCAGTTTCCTTTCTTTCAAACCTATCATGCAAATTTCTAGCCCATTTATGCCCCAATTTTTACTATGATTAAATACGAAAAGTATCTAACACAGCTAATAGAAGTTACTGTGACAACATCATTAATTTTCATATACAGATTAAGTAATCCTATTTGAATAAAATGCAGTTGACCAGTACTTGGTGTGTAGCAAGCTACAAACGTGTTTGTGCTATTATCAATACTGTAAATATCATTTCATGCTCTTTTGGTGGATATCAAGGCAGAAGATGCCAGTTAGTAAAACAAGGAAAGTTTTCAACTCCAGGAATCTGAAGGTTTGTTCTGTGTGGGTCAGCATTTGCCGATGGGCTAAGAGTGGACAGTTACCCAGTGATCGTAACTGTAATCATTACAGGGTTGTGGGGGAGAGGGTCCAGCATAGCAGGGAGGTACGTGGGCTAAGAAAATCATAGATGTGCCCTAGAATCACCTGAGGACCCTACAAAAATGCCAGTTTCTGGATCCTGGATCAAACTTCTGCAGATTCTGATTTAATAGTTTTGGGATGGATCTCTGGCATCAGTGTTTTTCAAAAACCCCACAGATGTTTCAATGTGTAGTTTACACGGATGAGTAAGAGCAAATTTGTAGGTATAAACTGAACTGTAGTTTTACCATTAAGAACAAGTGAAATAAAACCAATAAGAAACATAAGCCCTGTGTATGGAGGCACCGTATTGGTTCTTTAAGCCACCACTCAGAAAGTATGGAGTCTAGAATTTCTGAAGGCAGGGGCTCGTTCTCCGTTAGACTCAGCTTGATTGCGTCTTCCTCTTCTGTGAATTGCACATCTGGAAGCTAAAGGCAAAAGTTACAGAATAAGAGGAGGCCACACTGACAGCAGTGCTGTTTTGCAGAACTGATTAGAACGAGGCATATGCTTTTCTCTGAGGTCACTTTTGATACTGTTACTTGAAAACAATTCAAAACTTGAGTTCTGTGCACTGATATATAATATGATTAAGTAATTAAGAGGTACCTAATGTAGCTAAGAGAAGTCACTACAACAACATGATATATTTTGTATATGGTGTCATGGTCTTAATGCATCATTTTTTTTTTGCCAAAAATGTGCTTGATTCACATCACACATCTGTACAGCATAACTGATTTTTGCCATCTATCCTATAAGGAGATACAGTTACGTCTCCTTAGGTCAGATCCTGATGAGAGGCTGGGACAAACACACAGTTACCTGAAACACATTCTAGAAGGGGTGCATAGCATCACAGTAACAGAGAGAAAATATTGGGATGATGAACTAAGGTCATCTTTCTCTGAAGGTGAGCCTCAAATGTATAATAAAAAACATGTCAGTTATTTCTGAAATAAACCTATTTTTAAAAAAATATTTATTTATTCGTATCTCATGTGTCTGAGTGTTCTGCCTGCAGGTGTATCTGTGTACCATGTGTGTCTGATGCCCATGGAGGTCTGAAGAGGACATTGGATTCCCTGGGGTTGGAGTTACAGATGGTTGTGAGCCACCGTGTATACGCCAAGACCCAGACTCAGATTCTCTGCAAAAGCAACAAGTGCTCCTAACAGCTGAGCCATCTCCAGGTTCTGGAATGGAACTATTTTTATTGAGTACTCTCATCATCAGAGATTCTGAAAATGAGTAAGATCCGATAAACTCCACTTGCCAGGAAGCAGGGTTTCCATTTTATTATTATCTAAAATAAAACCCCTTCATGTGTCTACTGAGACACAAACTATTCGGGAACTAGAAAACCAGCAACACTCAGTGTCAACCGGCCATTGCAGAAAAGCAGGGAATATTTTGTTATATTAAAAAAAATACGCTAGTGTATGAAAACCTGGGTCAGTACACATTAAGCTTATTGAATATAATTTTCTTTCTGACTACACCATATAGGTGCAAAACATTTAAACTGTGTCTGAGGGAGTGCCTTGTTACCTATTAGGGCACTGTCTGTCACTGTCTGCTCAGAGTTTTTGCTATGTGTAACTGTGTCTGAGACCATTTGCAGGGCCCAGTTGAGAGGAAAATACCCTTTTTAAGAAAGGAATTAGAATCCAGAACTTTCTTTTCACTACCCCAGATAGAAAGCATTTAAGAGACACATATAAAGTTTTCTATTAGGCCTCACGGGAGATTAATATTTTAAAATCTCCATTGGCAACAGAGCATTTAAAAATAATATTTGACAGGGAAAAACCACAACAGTGGGAAACCTTACACTGTAGTTCAGACTCACCAGACAAAATGTCCCAAATAAACGCTACCCAACCCCTCAGTGTGGGATTCACTTTCCTGACTTGTGTCAGCATCACATAAGACAGTATTAGATACGCTAGGCGAGAAGTGGGTTTATGTGTCCCATTGGAGAGGGTGACTTTTACGGTGGCTTCTTCTCCTCAGGTCTCTGCAGTTTGAAGTTACTGTTATTGTATAACAGACACATAATGCTGCTTTACAAGAGGAGTCGACTTCTCATTTGGGCTCACAGGTTAATGAGAAGGACTGAGCCCCTCCCTCAGGGAGGATCTACCTGGAAATGTGATATTTTAACCCACTTCATTTCCCCTTCAAGGCAGCATCTTATTTTCAGATTTTTACAATTTCCTCTTCTGGACTCCCCAGAGGTTCCGGAAGGTCATCGTCCTAAATCTGCAGTCACCTGGGGTTCCAGGAACAGACCACCACCAGATGAGGCTGCTATTCACACTGCACCCTCGTGTCTCCCCCCAGACAAGGACTCTTGGAGCCATCTTGCAGAAACAGAGCTGAGACAACCACCAACAGCCTATACCTTGACCAGGACTGCTTAATGCACGTGGGTCAGTACCCCAAAGACGAACTTGGGATCACCGGACCCCTCTGTCTGTGCACAATGAATCTCCACTTTCTCTTTCCACTGTGGTTAGATAGCATCCTGGGATGGTGACTGCGGCTACCCTCCCGGGGCTGCTGCAGCTGGAGCTTTGCTCTGAACCACCTGCTATGAACTAGCTTCTGCTGCAAACCCAGCATCCTCAGGGGCATCCCCAAGGGCATCCCCAGGTTACCTGCTTCTTGGTGCTTTCTTCTTCCACCTTCATGTTCGCCTGAATGGCAAGCTCCTCAAGCTCTTGCTTTATTGCTTGCTCCTCCTCGGAATCTTCCTCAAACTCAGGTCCGTATTTCCTTTCAGCCTTGAGCAGCATTTTTTCTTGGAGAAATTCATCAAATTGAATGTGAAATATACCAAAGTTTTCCGCCAGCTTTCTTCCGCATATCGTTTTGCCAGAGCCACGGGGACCCAGAAGACATATCCTGATTGGAGGAGCCTGCCGCAGAGAGTGTGGAGCAGAGGGAAGGAAAAGCGTTCAGTAATTAGTTGGTGGTGCTCACACCTATAATACCAGTACTCGCGAGTTCGAGGCCAGTCTTTTTTAAAAGTGTTTTTTAAATTTTATTGTATGTGTATGAGTGTTTTGTCTGCATGTGCCATGTGTGTGCCTGGTGCCCAAGAAGGTCAGAAGAGGGCAATGGATCTCATAGAACTGGAGTTATAGTTGTGAGCTACTCTGTGGAGATCAGAACACAACGCCCGGAGTCATTTCTCTCCTGTCACCATATGGGATCCAGGAACTGAAGTAAGGTCTGCACACAAGCACAGCTCAAGTTGGTCTCATACTTACATAGATTCCCCTGCCTCTGCCTCCGGAGTGCTAGGATTAAAGGACCCCCCCCACACACAGAGCAAATAAATAGGAAAATAAAAAACTAATATATGTATGTTACACTTTGATCTAGGTATCCCATTACAAAGAATTATAGTAAAAATAATTCAAGAGAACCAAGAATTTTATGTGCTAAGTTGCCTGTTAATAATCATTTAATATCTACAATGGAAAATAATTTTATGAAAAATGTCTATGGGTAAATTAGATGATGAAGTTGTTGAGCATTGGACACTCCATGGGGAAAAAGCAGATTGTAAGCTATGACAAGTGAGCTGCCTGTGGCTTCTGGGAACTGAATCTGGGTCCACTGAGACAGAAACAAGTTCTTAAGTCCTGAGCCATCTCTCCAGCCCAACTTGTGAGTAAATATCAGGTAAAAAGACACAAGCTAGGTGCTCATTTGACATAGACGTTATTACAAAAGTCAGAACAGATCATCACTTTAATGCCATATTGCAAAAAGCTGTCTGTTTTAAAACCTAGACGCTATCACTATGCTTTGCGGTTGATGGTGGCTTCTGGGAGCAAGATTAGAGACTTTACTGGGGCACACTCATGGAGAAGCTGGGGGCAAGATTAGAGACTTTACTGGGGCACACTCATGGAGAAGCTGGGAGCAGTCACTAGCGTGGGAATATTGTCTTCACCTTTAGTGGTTCGTCCTGGGCCACATACTCCTCGGGATGCTCCAAGAACTTCTCCTTGGCCTCGGCAGTGGAAAAGTAGTATACCTTTTCTCGGTACTTCACAGCCTCCTCCGTGTTGCCTGGCTGGAGAATGAAGTTTTCTTTGAGAACCACTGGGCAGAAGTGCTTTGTGTCTCCCAGGTGCCTTCTTTTTTCTTTCAGCTTTTCTTCACCCTAGAAACATTGTTCAGTTCAGAGACTATCAAAGACATTTTGATGCAGTAACGAAGAGGAATTTAGAAGCAATTCACTTTGAGGAGCAAATCATCTACAAGAATGTCCACTCTAAAACAGTCCACAAAGCCATCCTTATGTTATTTAATGGATTAAAAGCAAGTTGCTCATGTTCCTCTCAATTTAGTTCCTACATTTTTCATTTTCATAAAAAATGAAGCAGTACTGAGAATTAAGGTGCGCTCCACCCTCTCGACACAGAGGAATGAAGTGAGGTCAGTTTCTGATAGGAAACAATTCTCAAGGAACAGAACCAGAGTCAGGGTCACATTCTCTTACATACGATAATGAAGTAGGTGATCTGCTTTGTTTTATTGAAAGGAAAAACTTGAAAACATTTAATTAAGTACAAATGAAAATTTATACTGTGACACAATGTGACTTCTGGGAAACTAGTTAAAGCAGCAGGAAGACATTAAACACGCGCTATCAACTATTTAAACATCATTGTATCAGGAGTGAGCTCTGCCTTTCATTCTCCATCCACCAGTTCCCATGAGCACCCCGCAGAGGCTGCTAAACAGCTCTGCATACATAAAAGCCAGACAAAGATTTAAGCACGAATGCAGCAGTTTTGACACTAGAAATGGAATATTTTGTAGATTTTTCTGCAGCATGCGTTTGCTCACAAAAGAAGAAACCACAACACTTTTTCTGAACTGCAGCAAAACTGAGTCTAATCAGATGGTGCCGACCTTTAATACCAAGACTCACAGGTAGATCTCTGTGAGCTCAAGACCAGCCTGATCTATATAGTGAGTTCCAGGCCAGTCAGAGCTACACAGAAACCTTGTTTCAAAAAATGACACAAAACAAAACTGAGGATTACTGATTCTTGTCTGTGATGTGGAAGAGTTTAGATAATATAAGAATTGTTTTATTAGTGTATAAATATTAAAATGGTCTATAAACCACTTCTGTTACTTATTTAAGATTTATAACTTTCATAAGTAAAGTTTCCTTTCTTTATTCCTAAGTCACTTTCAGTAAATAACTTGGGTGAATCCTTTTTAGATGCTCAAGCCTGTTAGAATGAAGCTTATAACTTAGGAGTCCTTCAAGGATCTGGAAACTCTTTTTGTTTCAAATGTTATTCACTGCCTTTGCTTTTTACCTGATTCAGGCTGACAGACGTTCACCTGTCTCCCTGCTCTTTTAAAGGAGCCAACTTTTTGGTTTTCGTCTGTTGCTTTTATTTTGTTTTCTCATTTTATTTGTCTCATTTATTTTGGGTTATTCTGTTGTGTTTATTTTTATTATCTTTAGTTGAATGCTTAATTTTTTCAGTTTTTCTGCGCTTTCAATAAATATACTTAATATAGGATTGCTAGACTTAATAAATAAAAATAAAACCCCCGGTTCCTCAGGTGAACTTGGACTTCAGATACAATTTAACCATTTCATATAAATACATGCCACACATAAAAGTATTCATTTACTTGAAACTCAGAAATATTCAAAAATAGGGACACTGGCTATACCATAGAGATGATCTTTTTGTTGTGATTCAAAGATGGATGTTCACATTTAGTTTATTTTTATATTTACTTATTTCACGTGTTTTGCCTGCATGTGTTTAAGTCCCCTATACAAATGCAGAGACACAAAGAAGGCAATGTATCCCCTGGAATTGTGGTTACAGAGGGATGAAAGGCACCACCCAGGTGATGGGAACTAAACCCAGGTCCTCTGCAAGAACAAGAGGTCTTAACTGCTGAGTCATCGCTCTGGTGCCCATATATTTAGTTTACACTTTCATCATGGATTTATTTACTCCCGTGATGGTTCCTTATAAGTCTTGGATATTTGATTATTTGGTACTTAAATTGTTTGGGGGAAAATAGTATATGTGACCTTGCTGGAGGAAGTGTCTCACTCAGGGTAGTATTTAAAATTTTAAGTTAATTCTCTTTGTTTCCCATTTGTGGATCAAGATGTGAGCTCTCAGCTACTTCTCCAGTACCATGCCTGCCTGCCACTGAGCTCCCCATTGTGATAGTGATGGACTCTTAACCCTCTGGAGCCATAAACACCCCAAACCCTCCCTTCTATATGTTGCCTTGGCTATAGTGTTTTATCACAGATATAAAAAAGTAACTACTATGACTTCCTGACATTTGGAAAAAAGTGTATTAAATTAAACATATATTTAAGAATACATGCATTTAAAAATTTCAAGTGTTCATTGAGGGAATGTAACAACTGTCATCCATATCTAGACTGCCCTATATGAGACTATCTCCCATCTCTTTTCATTCATGTCTTTGCCTTGGATGCGATTCCATCATTTATTTGATAACTGGACCTCTGATAACTTAAGTCAAGAGATGCATCACTTAAGACAAATAATGAGACTGGGAGGTACTTCACTTGTTAGAGGCTTGTTCTGCAAACATGAGGACTTTAGTTTAATTCCCAAGCACCCTCATGAAAAGGCAGGCACACACTCGTATCCTAGTGCTGGGATGTGGAAGTACATGAATCCCTAGGTCACTGGGAGCAAGCCTAGCCTGTTATAGAGCTCCAGGTTATGAAAGACCTTGTCTCCAAAAACAAGGTAGATGGTATCTGTAGAATGATAGTTGAAGTTGACCTCTGGCCACCACATACATGTTCAGACATGTACACTTACACATATATGGATGTTCAAACACATACATAAATATAGGTACACACAAAAGAAAAATAATGAGAACCAGAAAGGTGGCTGCTGAAAAATGGGTGGTCTGTGTGATGGCTGTTGTTCTTGGCTGCCGACTTGACTGTATCTGTAATCAGCTAAAGCCGGAGCTGCTGGGCATGCCTGCATGGGATTTCCTTGATCAGATTGTTTGCAGTGGGAAGATCCACCCTAAATCTGGCCCACACCTTCTCGTGGCTGCCCATGTGATAGGACGGGAAAGAGGAAGCTTTTGCTTTTTGCCTGCTTGTGCTCACTCTGGCAGGCAAGTTCGTTGATGCTGCTGCTGAGATGCTCCCTCACCTTCCCAAGAACCATCTTCTTCAGGATTCCATTGTGAGCTGCAGCTCAGCAGCTCTCCAGGCTTCCTCTTGGACTGAGCAATTATTGGATTCTCAGCCTTTCTCTCAGACAAACTAGACTGTAAGCCAGTCTAATCCCTCTCCTCCACACCCATTGTGTGTGTGTGTGTGTGTGTGTGTGTGTGTGTGTGTGTGTGCATTCCAGTTCGATTCCCTGGATAACACATAGTAATCATCATGTGCCCCTCTGTACTAATTTTTAAGCTACTTGTACCCTTTATTTTCTAAAATGAGCAATAGACAATGGATTTTGTCAAATGCTGCTTCTATATCAACTGAGATAGTCACTTAAGACTTTACCTCCAACCTGTCAATATGATGAGTAATATTGAGTGTTGTTCAAATATTAAACCAAGTCTTTCTGGGACAAGCTCTGCTTGGATATGAGGTACTGTTGTTTCGATACATTTTGAAATTTTGTTAAACTTTTCTTAAGAGTTTATATATCAATGTTTAGGAGAGGTCATCTGCTGTTACTGTTTTCTTTCTTTTGCCATCTTTTGCTGTGTTTGGTTTTGGATGTCAGAATGACACAGACCTTATAGGCTGAGTTGGAAATTTCTCCTCCTCTTCAGTTTTCCGGAAGAGTTTGTGTAGAATCAGTTTTATTTCTTCCTTAGTCATCTGACAACATTTACCAGGGGTGCTATCTGTGTTTCATTTCTTTCAGCTTCTGTATGTCTGGAAAAACTCTTTAATTTGCCTTTAGAGATAAAGTGTTATAGCAAGGCCGTGGTGGTGCACACCTTTAATCCCAGCACTCAGGAGGCAGAGGTGGATCTCTGTGAGTTTGAGACCAGCCTGGTCTACAAAGCTACACAGAGAAATCCTGCCCCCATAACAAAGTAACAACAAAAAAAGTGTTATAGGCACACAAGGCTCTTCCTCTTCAGCACCCGAAGCTGTTGCCTCACCCTCTTTTGGTCTTATCTGGTTTCCCTGAGAAGCAATGTCGCCCTGGTCATTGTTCTTGTGAATGTGGCATGCCTGCGCGCTCCTGCCTCTTCCAAGAAGGCTTTGTAACCAAGCAACTTGAATATGGCATGCTTGGTGCTGTTTTCTTCATGTGTCTTGTACTTGGGATTCACTGACCTTCTTGGATCTGAGAATTTGTAAACTGCTCCAAATACTGAAAAAGTACAGCTACTGTTTCTTCAAATACCATTTTCTCTCTCCCCAACACATACTTATGTGGATTCTGATTGCATGTATAGCAGGCTGTTTGAAGTTCTCCACAGGTCTGCTCACGCAGTTCCCTTTGCTTTTCTTGACTCTCTTCTTTTGTTTCAGACAGTTTCCATTTCTTTAACTTCCTTTTCTGCAGTTTCTAGACTATTGTTATTACAGTCAATGCACATTTCACTTCATATTTTCTACTTTTCAAACCACACAGCTCACATTATCCATCACATCTTCTTTTATCTCTACTTCCTGTTTTGAATTTATAGCACACAGCAAGAACAGCCATTTCAATGTCCTTATCAACCAATGCTGATGTGTTTTTCAGTTCTAGAGTAGTTTGAGTTGGTGATTTTTTCTTTTAATCATGAATCATCTTTTCTTAGCAGATCTGGCTTTCCTTGAGTGGATACCAAAGTTTATGCTGTAACACCATCAACACTTATGGTTGAGTTTGTTCTTGGACATAGTTGAGCTGCCTGGAAGTAGTTGGAGCAAAAGCACGTTTATTTTAGGTCTAATTATTTCCCATCTCTGAAGGCTGGTCCTTGCTCACAACTTACCCAGTGCTCTGTGCCTGGCAAGGTTTTACACTGGAGTGTTAAAGAAGATAAGATGTGAAAATACAAGTTTCAAATATTACAGACAGCTTGAGGATTGCCTGCAGAGACACAAGGGAGGGCTACTCCATTGCGGACCAGAGGGTGCACAGAAGAATATCAGAAAACACTACAGGAAAAGTTAGATGAAGAGAGGCTGACTATGAGCAGGGCAAACCCTTAAGCCATGCTAACATCAGTTCCTTGGTGACAAAGCACTGGAAGGTGTTGACAGAATCCACTGTAAATGGTTTGTTACTACACACCCACATACTCCTATATCTTTGGGTTTAAATTAGCCAATAATAAGTGTGGTGATATTTTGTTTATGATTTAATAAAGTCACCAGAGATCAAAATGCAAAGCCAGCCAAAGCCATAGAGCCAGGCAATGGTGATACATATCTTTAATCCCAGCAGCCATACTAGCTAGACATAGAGGGCAGGTGGTGGTGGCACACAGTTTTAATCCCAGGCAAATGCATCCTTGTTAGTTCAAGGCCACACTGACTATGTGAAATCGATCCAGTCTAAAAGAGAAACAGCTCACACAAAGGTGATCCCAGCACCTCGGATAACACGCCTTTAATCCCAGTAGTAGGGAGGTGGATACAGGAGGGATGTGACTGGGTGGAGACAGGAATGTAGGGCAGGAGGAGACAGGAATTCAGGATTGCAGCCTGAGGTTTTGGTGGAGGGCAGTGCAGTCTGCATTGCACTCTGAGGATGTGTGGAGACAGGATCATCCATTTCAGTCTGAGGTAGAGGTAAGAGCTAGTGGCTGGCTGCTTTGCTTTTCTGATCTTCAGCTTGAACCCCAATGTCTGACTCTGGGGTTTTTAACATTCGTGTTACAAATAGGTTAATTACAAGTGCAAGTTTGTTTAGCATATTTAACTTAGTGAATTCTATTTTTTTGTAAAAGCATATTGAAAGAACATTTTCCTGCTTTATTGTTGATATATACCTAATATGGGGATTTCCAAATGATAACGGTTATTATTATTCTGTTGCCAAAGGTGTAGATTGGTGTCTGAATATGGGTTGGTCCTGCATTGTTCACTATCATCATGTGGACAGCCTTCCAGACACTCAAAGGCATCTTTCACATACCTGCTTATATTATCTCTATAAAATATTTATAGTCTTAATACTCGCATAGTTTTTTCCATAGAAGAAAACAGTAAACAGATTTTCTCTTTATGTTTCATGGGTGTCTTCTTTTTTTTTTTTACATTAAGTAGTTCTGGCATTTTGGACAGTGACGTTAAGCTGTGGCAAAGAAGAAACTTTTATTTTATAAAGTTGAAGATGGGGTGGGGGTCCAGCTCAGTGGTCAAGCACTTGCCCAGAGAGTAAGGAAACTGGAGATGCCTATTTGTTCACGTGGCGGAGGTTTCAAAGTGATAATTACTGCTCTGGACACACACAGTTCTCAGTGATTGCCCATGAGATTGAGCAGGGTAAAAGCAGCCGTACCTCCTCTTCCTCCTCCTCCTCTTCCTCCTGATCCTCGTCCACTTCTGCCTCGGCCTGATAGTCTTCTGCTTCTTCATCGTAGTCTTCAGCATTTAGTTCCCATGCAGCATACTGAAAGGGTTCTGTTGTTCATAAAAAGGAAAAGAGTTTTTAGAACAAAAAGTTATCAGTCGATTATAATAGTCAAAAATTAGAGAAATTAACAATTGTTACTGATCTCTCAGTTTTTATATGTGTACAAGTTCTCTCTGTGAGAGCCACTCATCATGACTAGTGACAGTATGCTCTGTGTCAGCTCTGATTGACCAGAGCCTACAGCGTTTACGATAGTTTTAGAATGTCTTATGTATAAACTTCAGATGTCCTCAATGTTTTACTTGAGAAGCCATCAGAGTAGACCTTTTTAGTGCTAGTGTCTGCTCTTTACTATAAATGCTATGATTTTTGCCTTACTTTGCATTGTCTCAACTACTTTTTGAAGCAATTCCTTTGGTGTTTTGTTGGAAATATCCAGTGTTAATATTTGAATAAAATTGTCACCAATCATCTGCTCCAGATTTTTCCACATTACAAGGTAATTATTCAGCTCTTCTTTTATTGGCTCCATCTCAGGAACATTGGGGTAAGCATCTGGTGGGAACTCCGGCAGCACAACTTTCAAATACAAGTTCAAAGAGAGAGAAAGAAGAGCTTTGAAAAGCCTATTGCTAGTCAGACTACAAAAGAATCTATACTTTATCATGTGTTTTAAACTTTCAAAGACGAAAACATAGCATTCTGAACATTGATATAAATTTATAAATGCAAATTCTAATCATATTTTATATGCTATTAGATGGATAATTACATATTATAGAATTGAAATATGTGAGTGATGAGTGAGTTTCATATGGAAACTTTAGCTGTTAATATAAAGTATAAAATAAAATGAAAAGCACTGTGAACTGAATAGTTATACTTTTGATGGATTGACATAAATAAATATAATGCATATTGACTGGTGTGGTAGTTTGAAAGAAAAATAGCCCCCATAGGGAGTGGCACTATTAGTAGGTGTGGCTTTTTTGAAGTAGGTGTGGCCTTGTAGGAGGAAGTATGTCACTGTGGGGGTCGACTTTGAGGTCTCTATTGCTCAAGCAATGCTCAGTGTGATAGACAGATCTCTTCCTGTTGCCTACAGATCAAGATGTAGAACTCTCAGCTCCTTCTCCTGCACCATGTCTGACTAAATGCTGCCATGTCCTGCAATGATGACAAAAGACTGAACCTCTGGAACTGTAAGCCAACCTCAAATGTTTTCTTTATAAGAGTTGCCATGGTCATGGAGTCTCTTCACAGCTAGAAAGCATAATTAAGACAGAAGCTGGTACCAGGGACTGAGGTGTTGCTGTGATATGCCTGATCATGCTTTTGTTTGGAGGAATTTGGGTTAGGAAAGCAGTGTAATGTTTTAAGCAGGACTTAATGGGCCCTACTAGTAGAAGCAAGGAAGACAGTGGTGCTGAGTGTGATTTGAACTGTAGAGGCCTGGATCAAGAGAAGAAGAATATTAATATGTGACCTGAGATTGTTTTTGTGATAATTTGGTGAAGAATGTGACTGCTTTTTGTCCTTGTCCAAAGAAACTGCCTGAGGCTAAAGTGAAGATATTTGGATTAATTCCATTGGCAGAGGAAATCTCAAAACAGCCTGTATTGACTCTTTTGTGTGGATGTTAGTGTTAACTCTAATGAAGATTAATTATGAAAAGGAACAAACTAAACAAGGAAACATACAAAATGTTAAATTTGAGGAGAAAAGGAGCACCAGGAAGTTGAATGGAGCTAAGTCTTGTGTTCAAGGAGATAAACAGATTAAGAAATGGAAAAAAAAAGTAGCAGTGATCTCAGGGCAAGATCCCATTCAGCTAAGCTTCCAATCTGTGAAAGGGGGTTAAAGAAAAATCTCAGAGCTGGATGTGGTGGTGCACACCTTTAATCCCAGCACTTTGGAGGCAGAGGCAGGCAGATCTCTGAGTTTGGGGTCATCCTGCTCTAGAGAGTAAGTTCCAGGACAGTCAGGCTTAGGCAGTGGAGGAAACCACGAAAATCAGAAAGCTGGTGAAGATGGAACTGAACAAGGGGACTGTGTTCCAGCCCCAGCAAGCAGCACAACTTGGTAGCTTAGGCCACATGGTCTGGCTTTAGTCAAGGATACAAGAAAGTGGCTATGGAATCTTTCTCTTTGACTTAGAAAAGCCACTGTGGCATGTGTCAGGGATGTCCCTGGATGGAGGCTTATTGGTCCAACATTTCCTCACTATGCTCCCTTCCCTACATTTTAGAACAGTAATGTATATCCTGTGCCACTATATGTTGGAAGTATATGATCTGCTTTTTGAATTTTATTTTACAGGGATTGCAGTTAAGAGATTGTATGAATTTTAGAAGAGACTTTGAACTTTAGACTTTTAAATGAGTTTGAGATGTAATAGACTATGGGGACTTTTGAAGTTGGACTAAATGCATTTTTGTATTATGACATGACTACAAATCTTTGGGGGCCAGGGAGTAGAATGTGATAGTTTGAAAGAAAATGGCTCCCATAGGGAGTGGCACTGTTAGGAGGTGTGGCTTTTTTGGAGTAGATGGGACCTTAAAGGAGGAAGTGTGTCGCTGTGGGGGTGGGCTTTGAGGGCTCCTTTTCTCAAGCAATGCCTAGTGTGGTAGACAGTTCACTTCCTGTTGCCTGTGGATGAAGATGTAGGACTCTCAGCCTTTTCCAGCACCATTTCTGCCTGCATTCTGTCATGTCCCACCATGATGGCAATGGACTAAACCTCTAAAACTGTAAGCCACCCCAATTAAATGTTTTCCTTTGTAAGAGTTGCCGTGGTTATGGTGTCTCTTCATAGCAACAGAAACCCTAAGACAACTAGTATACAACATAGGAAGAAGTAAGCAGAGACTGACCCAAATTAAGGTTTGATCTGGCAGAAAAACACTTTTATGAATGGGAACTTTTATTTTCTATTCTGACCTGTTTCGGTTACTTCTTCAGGTTCCAGAACCTCTTTGGATCCCTTTTGGATTTCTGCTTCAACCGAAATGTCCTCAGAAGGTTCAGGGACTTAAGAAAGAAATCTAAGTTAGTGCTTGAATTTTAAAATGTTATTCCATATGAAAGTTTTGGCACAAAGATAACTTTAAAACTTACTTTAAATTAAAGATGATATATCTAATTGAAATATAGATTTATTTTTTAGGGATGGCCTGAAATAGAGTACAAGTCAGAAAATAAAAAGTTAAAATACACAAAAGGATATTGAAGAGTGGAATGGCAGCCTCAGTGGGAAAGAATGTTTGCTCTGTGAGCCTGCGGAGCTGGGTTTGAAACCCTAGCACTCATATATAAACCTGGGCATGATGGTATGTGCTTGTAAGCCTGCTACTGAGGAGCTGAGGCAGACAGGTCTCAAGAGCTCATGGGACAGCCAATACAGCCAAAACGTGGGATTCTGGTCCCACAACAGACCTTGACTTGAGGCAATGAGGAGAGAGTGATATAGGAAGACGCCAGAAGTCCTCCGCTTTCACATGAGCGTGCACAGGCACAGGTGCACCCATCCATGCTCATGTACTACACAGACATATACCCTCCTCATAAGACATCAACTAGAATAACAGTTGACACATGCTCATGCCATCCTGGTTGGTAACTTGAATGTTGTTAAAATCCCACAATTGTGGTATCAGATCTAGATCTGACACTTATGCTCCCTAAAATATCCCCTAGGAGTGTAAAGTGTCCAGGACAGCAGTGCAGGGGTGGGGACGGAGGGGCAGAAGACAGTCGCAGCTATTTCACCATCAAGGGGACAGGCTGTAGAGCATCCTTTTTACATGATACAAGACACCCTTCACACACATACCCAGCCCAGAAGGATCTAGATATGTACACTACTTACATATCTTCTTGCCCTATAGTCCCCAAATCTGATCCCAATTCTAAGGTACACACTTTGCATAGATTATATATACACATGGATGTATATCACACATATATACATATACAATCATATAATACTATCTTCTGAGTTAACGCTTTAGTACTCTTTTAACAGGATCTTTAGTACTTAAACTTTATTAGAGCAGAAAGTAGAAAAGGGACAAACCCAGGAGTTTTGTGGGTGACAGTTCAATTTATAAATTGCTCAGTTAATAAGAGCACTATAAATCCTGACCAATAGAAGAGCATTGGGACAGGGAGGGAGTAAGCTTGGAGGGTTTTGAGATGGCTATCTAACCTTTGGACTCAGGAGACTTTCTGTGCTTAGAGAGCCGACACTAAGCCCTTCCATTTCAATAAGACCTGACATTCATATGTGGTATGGGAGCTGGGGAAATGCATCAATTCTTTCATTAAATCACTGCACAGATAACACAGGGCAAAGGAGAAAGAGCCAGGAAACAGATCAGTGACAGAGCCAGGCATCAAAACCCGAGATGCTCAAGATGCAGGGAGTCCTTTGGGTGGTAAGTCTACAAGCATTGCCTTCACTTTAAACTTTTTTATTTTAAAGGATTTATTTAAAATTTTTATGCATGTTAGTATTTTGTCTACATATCTGTAAATGAACTGGAGGCTACAAGGGGGTGTTGAAAACCCTGAAATTGCAGTTATGGACAATTTCAAGCTGCTGTGTGGGTGCTGGGAATCAAACCCAGGTCCTTTGGCCGAGTAGCAAATGCTCTTAATTGCTGAGTCATTTCTTCAGTACCTTCGATTGAAATGTTTTATTAAAGTTCTTAAAATTTAGGAAGTGGAGCTTGAACAGTTTTTTGTTGTTGTTGTTGTCGGATTTTTTTTTTGTTTTTGTTTTTTTGGTTTTGTTTTGGCTTTTCGGGTTTCTCTGTGGCTCTGGAGGCTGTCCTGGAACTAGTACTTGTGAATCAGGCTGGTATTGAACTTACAGAGATCCACCTGCCTCTGCCTCCTGAGTGCTGGGATTAAAGGTGTGCACCACCACTACCCAGCTGAGTTTGGACAGTTTTAAGAGTACAAAAGTCCTGAAAACCCACAGGGTGAAAAAAAATTAAGTCAACTTGTGAAGAAGGCTTTGGAGCTCACCAGCAGCCCAAATGCTCACTAGATGCTTGTAGTGGACACTGTGGTAGTGAAAGGGACCTGCTTTAAAGTCAAAGGACTGCAGGGGAAGGTGGGGGAGAGCAGAGAAGACAAACACTCTCTCTCGTTCCTCCCTCTCCAGTTTGGATAGGGCTTTGAGTTAAATAGAACAACAGTTCTCAAACTAGAGAGTCATTTAATCATCAAGAGTGTCTCACATCCATCTCTGCAGTGTAGCAACAAGAATGTCTTAATATGTAATGGATAAAAATATCATCCAAAAACAAGATAAAAATTCTTACAAACCCTACTCTCACCCATTCCTATTCTAAAGTTAACCCATGCCTGGTGCTATTAATTCTTGACAGTATATATGGTTGGAAGCCTAGATACAAAAAGACTGAAACTGAATGTTTACCCCAAAATAAAAATACTAATTTGAGGTTTATGGCACATACTTGAAGTTACAATAAATATTTATAAGCATTGCTTTGGTCATGGTGTCTTTTCACAGCACTAGGACAGTGACTAAACTAAGACCGTTGCAGGCAGAAAGACAGCACACCTTCCCAAAGCTGCCTGGCGCACAACAGCTGGATGGGGTATAGAGATAGATATGGATTCACAAATGTGATATATAAGTACATACGAGTATATATACATATGAATAGGACATGGAGGTGTCCAAAGAAAATCTGACTGAACACATTTAGCTTAGTGAATATCCACACAAACAGCAGAGTAAGCGTCAGAAAAGTCCTGCAAAGAACTGAACCTTCTTCAAGGCTGATGAATTGATGAGCACTACAGTGACTGTAGAAAACTTTGAATGTTCAGAGCCAGGTTATCTGGGCCAATCTTTAGCCAGCAGAAGGTAAGTTCCTCTAGTGACTTTTGTTCACAGACCAGACTCCAGAAAGTTGTCCTCTGACCTCCACAAGCCAGAGCATGCATGCACACACATGTACACACACACACACACACACACACAAACACCCACACACACTAAATAAAAGCAAGTGTGGGTATTCAAAGAAACAAATTCCAAGAACTTCCACATGACCTTGATTCATGCCACTGTCCTGTTAATCAGTAATGCTAAAGATGAGAATTATATTAAAGATTAAAGATTTGATTATTACACATTGTTCAATAAACTAAAGTATCATAGTGTGCAATTAAAACATGCTTGTTTTGAGGAAAGGTAGCTCTACGTAGCCCCGGCTGTTCTGAAACTCAGTATGTAGACCAGGCTGGTCTGGAACCTATAGAGATGCTCCTGCCTCTGCCTCTCCAGTTCTGAGATTAAAGGTGTGCACCACCACACCTGGCTAAGACATTTTTTATAAAGAAGTGAAATAAAAAGCCGTGTTTGTTCAATGCTAAGAAACCACCTGAGCTTGACTGAGTGCAGAATAAGAACTTCCTAACTCTGGTGACTCATCTGCATGAGCATGAGATGCTTTCTTGTTTGCATGCCAAATGGTATTGCATGACATAAAGAGAAATTCTTGCTTTTGGGGTAAAATGTCCTGCAGATCACATGGCAGTCCCAGGACTGAGGACTCTCTAGGGTCTCATCTTTATGTTCTTAATACTGGCTTCCATATTACACACACACTAACACACAGTCACATACACACTCACACACACTTGCACACACATTCACACACCCACACATACTTGCTCACATGCACACACACTAACACACATGTGCACACATGCACACACACCCACTCATACACATTCACACACCCACTCATGTACCTACACACTCACATACATTCACATACAAACTTGCATACATGTACACACTCACACACATTCGCACATACTGGCTCACACTCACCCCCCACATACTTTCTCACACACACTCCACATATTTGCTCACACACACATTCACACCCCACACACACTCAACACCCATTCACATACCCACACATACTCACACACACTCACATACATTCGCATACACACTTGCATGCATGTACACATTCACACATATGCACACATCCACACATACTGGCTCACACTCATCCCCACACATTTTCTCACACACACACCCCACACATTCTGTCACACGCACATTCACACCCCCACACACATTCACACACATTCACCCACCCACACATTCTTTCTCACTCCCCATCCCCCACGACTGTCCGTCAAGTCTAACCTGCTTCTGGTTCGTGCTCTGCTTCTGGGACCTCAGATGCTTCAGACCCCTCAGGTAACAAGGACCCTCTGGAGTACTCAGGTATCTCAGATGCCTCAGACTCTTCATGGCCTTCAAAATCCTCAACATCAACCTCCTCCTCAGCCTCATTATCAGGCACTTCAGCATCTACAAAGAGTTACAAGGAACACATTATCATTCAGTTAGAGCCAACAAATGATTGTTGGGTAGTATTAAGACACCAGAGTGGTGCTCGCCCTGTGTTTGGTTTAATGGTGGAAATAGATGAATTATCGCTGTATTATATCTCTTAATATGGAATAGTGAGGAATGGCTGATGCTCTATCAGGGTGCTATTGGAGTACCAGAGGAAGGGTTCATTTAAAAGGAGAAATGTTTACAGTCATCCCAAATACTCTGACAGTAAGAGACTAGAAAAAGCTCAACATTCATTTTGTAAGGAAATGGTTAGATCCATACCATCTATGGAAGAAGTCTCTGGCTGTGTGTGGCTGCTGAGCACTTGAGGTTAGTCTAAACTGAGATATATGTAAGTACAAAATAGATTATGACTTTCAAGGATTTAGTATAAAAACTTAACATAAGACGTGTATCTATAGAAAATTAAAAGTTACTTATGTGTCTTACATTAAGTTTCTATGGGGCAGCACCAGAGTAGACTCCCTATATAGATATATTGTTAGAATATTTGTAATAATAGATTTACTATAACTCATTGTAATAATAATAATATAGCATCTTAACTTATGTTTTAATTGTAAATTTAGAAGTGTATGATTCCAAATGTTGTGTGTTTATTGATGGCCATGGTAAGTGGAAGTTCTTCAGAAGGGAGATGGCAGAGCTGTCAGAGAGCTCATCCCCCCAACCTCTCTCACATAGTTATGGGACTGACACATTATGTGTGTGAAGACGGAAACACGGTGCTTTCTTTGTGAAGACGGAAACACGGTGCTTCCTGTGTGAAGACGGAAACACGGTGCTTCCTGTGTGAGGACGGAAACACGGTGCTTCCTGTGTGAAGACGCAAACACGGTGCTTTCAGTGAAAGGCTGATATGGCAGTCAGCAAGCTTGTTTCTCGGAGTTCTCCTGGGCATTTCTTTTCCCTGCATTCTTCTAAGAGTCACGTTCTGATGGTGATTCTCTGGCACCTGGATCCGATCTAAATCAAGGTTTGAAACAGGACTGCAGCACACGAGGCTTCCAAGAACACAACTTGGAAATATGGTCAGGGTCTTTGTGTTAGGTTTAAGATTTTATGGAAATACACACAAATGTGTTTTGGACTTCTGGTACTTGTGATGAAGAGATGTCCTCTATGGGAACTTGAGTTTTCTTTCAACAACGTATCACTTATTAAAAATGATCCTATGCCTCCAATTTATGTATACTTTTTATGTTTATTTATCTATATTAGGTACATTATAAAGGAAACAAATAGAAGATCCCAGTGGGGCAGCTATGCTCTATATAGGTCAGGAATGGGTTAAAAGGCATTTTAAGATATTTGAACTATTTGTAATTTGACTATTGATCATGTGTTGCTACCTACTGATTCATAATAAATCACTCCAAACCATCACTTTCTGTGAGAAAGGAATTTAGCAGTAGCTCAGCTGAGTGGTCTGCCCTTAGTGTCTCCTGAGTTGTAGAAGATGCTGACCAGGGCTGCAGTATCTGAGCACTTAATTGAGGCTAAAGGACTCATTTCCAGGGTGGATCATTTACAACCAGAACCAAGGAGCTCAGCTGTGCCCACTGAACCCATTCAAAGTCCCAACACACTGAATGCCATGCAGTAAAATGGTAGTTGTTGAACAGAACTAAGTTTTGAAATGACTGGAGGTTGGAGCAATGGATACTCTTTTTATCCCATGGCCTCTTTGGCAGTCCCATGAAGCCTATGGACCTCTTTTTAGAATAAAACTGTCAACTTCATAAGATAAAATATACAAGAAACCAGCTATATTTTAAAAAAAGGTGTTAAAACATAAAACTATTTTGGGGCTATAGAAAATGTGCTAAAGAAGTAACACCCAGCTTCATTACTACTACAATTACAACACCAGGAATCACAGATAAAAACTATGGTATAATACATAAAGTCAAGGAACCTAGCACCACTGTGGTTTGTTTTGTGTTAGTAGCCAAAGGAGACACTGGGGCTCAGTTAAAGGTTATTAAAAATAGAATTGAAGTTCAAAGACCTCGAATTTAATCTATAGACCCCAGTTTGAGACCCTCAATCTTAAAAGAGAAAGCGATGGCTTAAGTATGAAGACAGTAGGTATGACTATAGTTTGGCTATGTCTTTGGCTTTTATAGGATTCTTCCAATAGAAGCAATTCCAGCAGCTTTGTGTACTCCATGATAGCTGCACATTCTGAGGCACATCCTTCTTCAAGGGTGCACTGCGGGTCTCATGTTAGGGGCACCCTTTTTTTATTACGAATCTTTATCATGGGAACCCATTATCCCAGTGAGAATATAATTTATTATGGAAATTGGAACTTGTTTGTTGTGGGATATTATCTGAAGATGTGTTACATTTATTTATGCTATGGAACATTTGTTCAATGATTCAAAGATATGTTGCATTATTTCATGCTATATTTGTTTAACTCTGTGAAGCTGTGTTACTTTGCCTGTCTACAACACCTGACTGGTCTAATAAGGAGCTGAACGGCCAATAGTTAGGCAGGATAAGGGATGGGCAGGGCTGGCAGGCAGAGAATAAATTGAAGGATAAAAAGAAAGAAAAGAGATCAAGGTGTGAGAAAAAATGGGTGGGGGCTAGCCACACAGCCAGCCACAGAGTAAGAAGAAAAGATATACAGAAAAAGAGAAAGGTAAAGGGCCAGAGGCAAAAGATAGACGGGATGATTTAAGAAAAGCTGACAAGAAACAAGCCAAGCTAAGACCAGGCATTCATAAGAATAAGCCTCCGTGTGTGTGTGTGCTCGCGCGCGTGCGTGTGTGTGTGTGCGTGTGTGCGCGCGCGTGCGCGTGCGTGCGTGCGTGCGTATTTGGGAGCTGGGTGGCAGGCCCCCCAAGAGTAAAACAACCAGAGCCACACATTGTGGAAGGAAGGGGCTCTTTCAGGACACAGGCATACACCTGGACACTGGGCAAACTAGGGGATGTACTGATTGATAATCCACTTGGAAGCCACAGGGATGATACAGGACGGAACGACATGTTCTTAGTGCCACGCCTGCCTTTTGCTTTCTTAGCCACAGCTTCTGCCATCCTCCGCTTTTCCTCTTCTAGTCTCACTTCTTCTTCTTTGGCTTTGCTGAAAGGAAAAGGTCCAAATTCAATTTCAAAAAGATCTGACCGCCCCTTATTATAAGGTTAAATCCTCGCAGTGGCAAGCAGCGAACACTTCATTGTTAACCGTCCAATGTGCTTCTTATTCACTCTGTACACTTTCGTCCCACTCAGGTTGAAGCCAGTCAGTTCGGCAAGAAGGTCATGGAATGTTATATTTTAAACTATGGCGATCAGTCAGGAAAGATGTAAAAGTGAGTGTGAGATTCCCTGAGGTAAGTTGAGAGGAGGGAGGGGGGAATCTGTGTTATATTTTAAATGATGGCAATCAGTCAGGAAATGTGTAAAAGTGAGTGAGAGATTCCCTCAGACTTAGTAAGTGATATTCACAGTACAATGTGAAAAGATGTAGAGTAAAACCATAGGTATGATGTAATTTTATCTCTGTATCAGTTATACAAGAACTACAAGACTAGAAATTAATCAAATTATAGACAGTGATCATTTCTAGGTGGTAGCACTATTAGAGTTCAATTTATAACATTTGCATTAGTTTTTTCTCCATTGAATAGAGAACATAATGTTTCTTTTTAGTCAAAATTGGAGCCTGGAGAGATGGCTCGGGGGTTAAGAATACTTGCTCCTCTTACAGAGGTCCTGGGTTTTATTCCAAGCATCAACATTCAGCTTACAACCACCTGTAATTCCAGCTTCAGGGAGGGTCTAAAGCCCTCTTATAAGCTCCAAGGATGTCTGCATTCACACGTACGCATACCACCCCACATGTATACATAATTTAAGAACAAGTTTTTACAGACTAATGATGATTTCTTTTTTGCACCCAGGTTTGTACTAGGCAGACTCTGTACCACTGAGCTACACCTTCCATCACAAGAAATTGAGAAAGTCTGTGAGTACAGAAGCTTTGGTACATAGTGGGAGTCTGTAGTCCATTAAGGTTGCAGTACTTAATCTCCTAACAATCATGAAAATATATAAATGGAAAATTACCAAAATGTGGGGAGAAGGGCCTTGTTTATTAAAAATTAAAGAGATACGTATCTTCACTAGAAATCCTATGCTTAGGAACTTAGGAATACCCATACCTCTGCACAAAGAAACATACAAAATACCAATGCCACATATTCACCAATAGGAAACCAAGCACAGCAGGCTCTGTGTTCGCAGCAGCTCCTGGAGCCACTGCCCTTCAAAGACCCATGTGGTGTGACTTTGCATCCATTTGTCCTTCTTTGATGCTAGTGACATCAGTTCTCTTTGGAAGACACTACCACCATATTTCTGGTTAAGAGTGTCTTGCTGGCCCAGTGGTGGTGCCCTCACCTTTAATCCCAGCACTTGGGAGGCAGAGGCAGTTCACGGCCAGCCTGGTCTACAAAGCGAGTTCTAGGACAGTCAGGGTAAAACAACTGGGGGTTGGAGAGATGACTCAGTGGGTAAGAGTGCTTGCAGCTCTTGCAGAGGACCTAAGTTTGGTTCCCAGCACCCATGTTGGGTGGCTCATAGCTACCTTAACTTCAGCGCCAGAGGATCCAGTGTCCTCTTCTGGCCCCAGTGGGCACCCACACACACAACTGATACACACACATACACGTGGATAAAAATAAATCTGAACACACGGGCATGGTCAGTGCATAGCCCATTAAGTCCCCACAAACCTTACCGTATTTCCGCCTCTTCCTTTTTTTTGGTTTGAAGTTCATCTAGCAATCTTTCTAAAATCTTAGTATCGATTTCAGTCTTTTTCTCTAAATACATCTTATTTAAAAAACATTTTCCTGAAATATAGATGAAGAGAAAAGGTTTATTTTGAAATTGCATAGATGTGGTCTGTTTTGGAAATGAACTACAAACGACCTCTGACTATGCACACACACATTTCCTTTTAAGTGCTTATCCAAGCAGAGCCCCACATCTTTAACATTTTAGTAGAATGTCTTAAGTCTTTTTTGAAAGACCTATGTTACTATGTAATAAATAATGAAAAACATCCATTTCCCCCTGGAAAGTCTCATTTCAAATATTTTAAAGCATTTATATTTGCATTTATTTGTGTGTGCATGTGTGTGTGTGTGTGTGCAACACACTCAAGTGCATGGTTGGCAGTCAGAGGACGACTTGTGGAGAGTTGGTTCTCTTCTACCGTATGGGTCACAAGCATTGAACTCAGGTTGTCAGGGTGGACTGCACAAACCTTTACCCCAACATCTCTCAAATATATTTTCATAAAATGTCAAGTGTCAGCTGTTTAAATTTAGCATCAGGATTGTATACAGTGTTGATTTATTAGTTACAGCTACTGACTGAGAGGGGATGCTGGGTTCTCAGCTCCAAAGAACAACTGCTAGGACTGCTAGAAGGTTCAGTGTCACAGCACGTTACCCTAGGTCACCTTCTCAGTCAGTACAAGCCTTACCCAGGCATCATTAGATCCCACAGGCATAGCTGGGGTGGTAGAAGGAGTGGTATTTGTATCTCACGAGAGTTCTTCATTCTCTATTTTAACTAAAATAAATGTCAGCAACAAACAATCTGTTTTAAATTTAAATAATAAATATTTACCAACCATTGTTTTCTCCATCTGTTAAAGAGATAACCAAATCAGGCACAACTCCTTTTTCAATGAAGGCCATCCACAGATCTCTTATAAGAGGGCAATTGTCCACAATCCATCCTCCTTGTTTTGGGGCACCAGGAAACCTGTTCTTGTTATCTTCTGTTATCTGTGATGACACACATTGATAGCACCATCATGAGTTAACAAGTCACAGATTTATGATATTTTTGTTGTAGAATTCCAGCAAGCATCTACTAGGTCCTGACTCTGAGAAGGAAGTAAGAGTGACTTAATTTTAAGACAGGTTTAATTTTGAAATAGTCAAGTCTTACTAGTTTAAGAACAGGAAACAAAGCCTTTATTACATAACAGTGCACTCTCGCTATCTATTAATCTGTAGCACTGAATGCATCTAGTTAGTATTTATGTCACTTATAATTGTATTATAACAGTGATGAACTTCCTTATGCATTAGGTTATTTTAATAACATTGTGATGAACAACCTTACACAGAAGCAGTTATCCAGGGATTATATATTTGCTTCAGTGATATTTCCAGAGGATGCTACATTGCTTCCCAAATATATCTGCTCCAATTTTACACTTTTTGGCTATCTTAGTTAGGGTTTTCTTTACTGCAATAAAACACCATGACAAAAAAGCAAGTTGGGGAGGAAAGGGTTTATTGGGCTTACACTTCCACATCCTGTTCACCATTGATGGAAGTCAGGACAGGAACTCAAACAGGGTAGGAATCTGGAGGCAGGAGCAGAGACCATCGAAGGGTACTGCTTGCTGGTTTGCTCAGCCTGCTTTCTTATAGGACCTAGGACCACCAGTCCAGGGATGGCATCACTCAGAATGGGCTGGACCCTCCTCCATCAATCACTTGGGAGGCAGAGGCAGGCAGATCTCTGTGATTTAGAGGCCAGCCTGGTCTATAGAGCTAGATTCAGGACAGCGTGGGCTGTTACACAGAGAAACTCTGTCTAGTAAAACAAACAAACAAACAAACAACAACCCAATAAAAAATGGACAAATAGCTTCCCTAAGGAATATACTCTTGCAAGCATGGTGGCATATGCCTTTAATCCTAGCACTCCGGAGGCAGAGACAGAAGGATCTCTGAGATGAAGCCTGCCTGGACTACGTAGTATGTTCCAGGACAGCCAGGGATACACAGAGACCCTGTCTCAAACAACAAGAGTACATTCTTTACAGTATCACAGATCTCTAGCTGCTTATGAAAATGGTTTTCCCACCTGACAACATGAGTGGACATGATAGCAGCCCTCTGATTCCACGCTGTGGCTTACTCTGCAGATACTGAGCCCTGACACTGTGCACACATCGCTGTCTCCTAAATGTGGGATTCACACTCCATGGAGTGTGGGAACAAGAGACCTTGGCCAGAGGCCCACTTCCCCATCAGCCTGGGAGCAGGCAACCGTAACTGTTGTCTGCGACCACAGAGAAAAACATGTTTACTAAAAACAATCCGGTGTCCACATGTTTACTGGAGCAATAAGTTCCTGATGTTTTCGGAAGGGCTCGCCCACAGGAACACCGTGACCCTGACCTTTCTGATGACTAACCGCCTCTTCCTGACCCCCACCCCCACATCTGGTGTCAGGGTATATAACCAGCTGGGGTAAGAATAAAGTGAGCCTTCTTTCACCACCGACTGGTCTGTCTCTGTGTCATCAATCCCGACACGCTCCACAGATTCTTGGTCCCAGGCTGCACGGGCGCAGCAATTGAAGGTCCCACCGAGATCTGAAAGCAAGGTAAGTGGATGGGGTTGTCCCTTTTGTGGGCCAGGGATGGATTGGGGAAAACAAGAAAAGAAACGATGGGGAATAGGCCCAGGAAGCTTGAATTACAGTATCAAGTAAAAAAGTTACTTGAAGAACGGGGGACTACAGTCAAGGCTAAAACGCTGGAAGGCTTTCTAAAATTGATCAAATGAACAAGTACATAGTTCATTACTGGGGGAGGCTTAAATGTCCCAGATTGGGAGGAGGTTCTCAGTGATCTGAAGAAAGTTTTACAAAAAGAGGGACCTGAGTCCTTGCCCTATCCACATTCTCCTTATGGAGATTAGTGAGGGAGCACTTTTGACAGATAAAGTTTGCCTCCGCCAGGTAGTCCAGGCCACAAAAGAGGTTTTTTCAGAGTTACAAGAGACTGAGACTCAAGCCTCCCTGAGTTCAGAGGCAGGGAGTGAGGATGAATCATCTGAAGAGACCCTGTCCGAAGCTAGAGGCACCATTGTTAGTGAGGATGAGGACGAGTCACTTAGCAACAAGGCAAACAGGTAGAGATCTCAGGGCATGACCCAAAAAGAAGGACTCTGGTCAGAATCGGTTATATCCTTCTCTGTCAGACCTAGAAAAATGAAAGTAGCTCGGACTCTGACTCGTCAGAGTCTGAGGAGGAATGGTTACTTGCTGAGATTGTGGCCCTTAAAAAAGCACTAAAAAAGACTTGAATTAAGAAAATAGGGAGAGCCGGGTGGTGGTGGCACACGCCTTTAACCCCAGCACTCGGGAGGCAGAGGCAGGCGCATCTCTGTGAGTTCGAGGCCAGGCTGGACCGACAGCCTCCAAAACAATACAGAGAAACCCTGTCTCGTAAAACCAAAAAAAAAAAAAAAAAAAAAAAAAAAAAAGAAAAGAAAATAGGGAGAGAGGCTGTCCTCCATAATCTGTAAAAAGGGACTCCTCCTCCTATGATATGACCCAATCCTTCTTGGATCTTGAGGGAAGACCCAGAGGAGGGGGTCCATTGCTGCCAGGTGATGGCCCTGGTAATGGAAGTTCCAGACCCAAACAATCCTGAGCAGGCCATTCAGTGCCATAACCCTTTACGTTTCAAAGACATAAAACAAATTAAAGAGGCAACCCTAAATTATGGAGCACAGGATCCCTTTACACTTTCCTTAATGGAATCTTTTGTGCCTCTTAACTTGACACCTAATAATTGGCAGCAGCTTTGCCGAGCAACTCTCTCTGGGGGAGATTATTTGATTTGTAGAGGTGAGTTTCAAGAAAGATGCAACCAGACAGCCCAAAGAAATGCACAGGCCAGACAGCCCCAGAGAAATGTGGAGATACTTACTGGGAGTAGTCAATACGCCACCATTCAACAACAAATGCAATATGACATCGCAGTCTACGCCCAAGTGGCAGCGGCGGCCCAAAGTGCTTGGAAAGCATTGCCTTCCAAGGAAGGAGGGGATCACCTGTCCAAAGTCCTTCAAGGACCCTCTGAATATTTCCAAGACTTTGTAGACCGCCTCAGTCAGGTAGCAGAAAGAATATTTGGGGGCATTGGGCCTGTGATGCCAGTCATCAAGCAGATGGCTTTCGAAAATGCAAATAAGTACTTTAAGGAAGCCCTTTGTCCTTATTGCAACAAAAGTCTAAATGACTACATCCGGATCTGTAGGGACATTGATGGTAACTTCATCCAGCACCCAGTGTTCGCTGCTGCTATTCGACCCCAAGCGGGGAAAGAAATACCTAATCAGGGAGGGAGAAAAGCATGTTTTGGCCCCCATACCCATCACATGGCTATCGGATGATCCAGTATGGGTGGAACAGTGGCCCTTACCAGCAGAGAAACTTTGGGCAGCTCACCAGCTAGTTCAAGAACAATTAGAGGCAGGTCATGTGGTCCCTTCCACGTCTCCCTGGAATACCCCCATATTATCCCAATAGCCCCTTGATGTCTTTTTTTAAACAACACCCTGTGATCTTTCCCAAGATTTTAAAGGAGAACCCTCTAGTTGGAGCTCGCTCAGTCTTTACAGACGGCTCCTCCAAGGGTTTCACAGTGGTGGTTTCTTCTCAGGTGCAGAAGAGGGTACCCATAGGGTGGATGTCAGCACAAGCTGCCCGAGTTGTTTGCCTGCTTGATGGCTTTCCAAATGTTTGAGGGAGAGCCCTTTAATTTATATACTGATAGTGTTTTTGTTGCCAACATTGTTAGACCTTTAGAAACTTCTCCATATGTTCTTCTAACCTCTCAGGTTCATTCTTTATTAGTTCAGCTCCAACATCTTACTTGGCAGTGCATCTACCCTGCTTATGTGGAGTATTTTCGTGCACATACTAACCTTCCAGGACCTCTTGCCCAGGGCAATTAATTTGCTGACTCCTTGATCCACCCTAAAGGTCTTATTAACTCATGAGCAGCTTGCCCGTCAGCTACATGAGCGGTATCATCTAAATGCCCACTCTATTAAATTTCACACTGGGTGCCCCCATCCATGGCTACACAGATTACCTGTCAGTGCCCTGATTGTGCCCTTTATTATAATTCTCCCAATGAGGGGGTAAATTCCCGGGGCCTCAGGGCTAACCCTCTTTGGCAAATGGATGTCACTCACCTGATGCAGGTAGGGAAATTAAAATGCATGCCATGTCTCGGTGGATAATATTTCTCAGTGGATACAAATTCTAAACTGATTTTTGCCTCTTTCCACTCAGGAGAAAAGATTAAAGATGTTATTTCTCATTGCCTGCAGGTCTTTGCCTACATGGGCGTTCCCGATGCCCTAAAAACGGACAATGGCCCTGCCTATGCCAGCAATTGCTTTGCTGCCTTTTGCAGGGAACATCACATTGTCCATTCTTTTGGTATTCCTCACAAACGGGACAGGCCATTGTGGAGCACACTCATGCCACTCTCAAACAGTATTTAAGAAAATAAAAAAGGGGGAGTATGTTACCTCCCCCAATATTCAGTTATCCACCATACTTTACATTTTAAATTTTTTGACCATAGACAGTAATAATTTGTCTGCTATGGAGAGACATTGAAACAAACCCTCCCAGTCTTTGGGATGGGTCAGATAGAAGGACTTGATTACAGGAAAATGGCAGCCACTCACTCCCCTATTAGCTAGGGTTCAAGGGGCTGTTTGTGTTTTTCCTCAAGGAAGTGAGAAGCCCATTTGGGTCCCCGAATGGTGCATCAGGCATGTGGACCCCAATACTGGGAATGCTTGCCATGATCAAGGTGGTCCAACCATGGCGGAACACTCAGGTAAGGGAAGTATGGGTGCTGGTGAGGAACCCCCTTTTTTGATGCCAGTTAGTCATTCCACTCCCTGTTCCCCACCTTTTATAGCACCAATCATACATTGGGAGTGGCTGCTGCCAATGAGAGACTATAAAGTCAGAAATTAAACAATCTGAGTTTCCCCCCTAAAGGGGGATCTCTGTTTTATCAAAATATTTAATATCTCCATGCTACCTAATTTCACCTATAAGGGTTCTTGTTTAGTGTTGAGTAATTCCTCCTTGCCAGATTTTCCCCTTAACACCACCAACAGTCGGATGTTGGACCTGAGGGGTATCCTGTATCCTATTAATCAAAAGAGATCTAATTTGATAAACCCACCAAAACCTGCACTTACTGGCTGGAGGACCAGGAGGTATTTTTCTCTTTATTTCCCCCTGCCCTGGGGGGATTGTCTCACAGCTGAACCGTGGAGATTAAAGGGAGATGGCTCTCTTTGATGGTATGGGCATAGGCCGCCTTTCAAAAATTCCTCTGATAACGGGGATGAATTTCATTTCAGGAACCCCACTCTAGTGGGGATCGTGCCCACCTTTTCTGGAATGTACATCTGTGGGCCTGAGCCTGCTCAGATGCCCACTCTTCAGTTCTGCAACAGAGGTTGGCCTTTAATGCTACGGTCTCCTGGGATGAGTCCTCTGTCTTCGAAACCTCACTCAAGGCTGAGACGGGGGCAGGAAAATTTTCTCTATTGTTAGCACGGCCTGCTTGCTCCCTCCTTTCTTTTTTGTTTCTTGGAATGGGATGGAGGAAGGGGAGGAGTCTCTCAATTGATTTCCCAGCTCCTGTGTTCTGAGTAATTGCTGGCCATCTGGAGATTCTCATGCCCTGATTGTCCAGGTTCCCTCCCTGGCTCCCATGGTGATGGGAGATCAACACTCAGGAGAGGAGATCATGCTGTATCGCCCTAAAAGAGACTTTGGCATCATGGCTGCAGCTGCCATGGCCAGAATTGCTGTTGCCCAATCTTTCGCCAAAGCAGAGACCGTTAACAGCCTTGCTAGTAGAGTTACCAAAGCGCTGTCCACCCAGAATGGCCTCAATTCGCATATTCAGCTGGGGCTGCTGACATTAAATCAGCAAACTGCATCACTACAGGAACAAATTGATGCTCTGTGGATAGTGCAACAAGCCTCTTGTTCACATTTTTATCATGCTACATGTGTAACTTCAATGAGTGTATCTAATGTATCTGTGCAAGTGCACCTTCTAAATGCTTTCCTGAGTGGATCTTGGAATGATATCTTTGTAAACTTTATCACTGTTTTGACCCATCAAATTGTAACTGTAAATCATACGCAGGTTACCCTTGTAACAGAGGAAGGCTGGTAGAATGCTATGGCCCAGATCGGGGGATGGGTAGAGCGATGGGGAGGCGCTATGTCAATGGGGATCCTGGGAGTGGTGGCAGTAGCGGTAGGCATTCTGGCCGTATGCTGAGTTCAAACGTGCCTTGTTCATAGGACACAGATCTATCACCAAGTATTTCTCTGCTTAACCCATGGCAATCCCGGTAACCATGAAGTCTGGTTACAGATGATTCAAGGATGAGGTTCCCTAATGACGGGCAACCTGTGGGGAAGAGACCTCTCACCTAAGACAGGGGTCGCCAGGTCCCCCAAGGACAGACAGACAAGGGAGGGTGACGCTACTTGATCTAAGACAGGGGTGCCTCATTAGAAAACAAAAAGGGGGAATTGTGGGAACAAGAGACCTTGGCCAGAGGCCCACTTCCCCATCAGCCTGGGAGCAGGCAGCTGTAACTGGTGTCTGCAACCACAGAGAAAAATATGTTTACTAAAAACAATCCGGTGTCCATAACCACAAAGAAAATCATGTTTACAGGAGCAATAAGTTCCTGATGTTTTCGGAAGGGCTTGCTTGACCCTGACCTTTCCGATGACTAACTGCCTCTTCCTGACCCCCCCACCCCCACCTCTGGTGTCAGGATATATAACCAGCTAGGATAAGAATAAAGCGAGCCTTCTTTCACCACCAACTGGTCTCTGTGTCATCAGTCCCGACACCCTCTGCAGATTCTTGGTCCCAGGCTGCATGGGCATGGCAAAGGAGATTTGTATTCTCCACAACAAAGTAAAGAGAACATTTTCACCACAGGTAATCGCTAGGCTTATAGACACCTCTCTTCACTCTGCATCTCTGGGTGTTTTGTCTCACCGATGAGGCAAAGATGGATTCCTGTGCTTTGTAGATACCTATTTGCCACACAATGACTCAGTGAGTGGCTTCCAGGCCATTTCAGTGTAGAAGACCCTTAAAGGCAAGGCCATGTTTATCTATTTTCCTGTCCCTACTGTCTAATATAGTACACAGAAACAGCAGGCACTTCTGAAGGAAAAACTGTTGCTCAAACAACCTAAAGATTGGTTAAAAGGATGTTTAACATTAGGTGGAGTTCGGAAGTCCTACAGAGGAGGGGAAGGAAAGATTGTAGGATCCAGAGGGGCCAAGCACACTGTGGAAAGGCCCACACAGTCAACTAACCTGGACTCAGGGGGGTTCACAGAAACTGAACTGACAACCAGGAAGCCTGTGTGGGACTGACCTATGTGTCACAATTGTGTAGCTTGGTCCTCTTATGGGACTCCTAAAAGTGGGAACAGGGGATGTCTCTTACTCTTTTACTGGCTTTTGGGACCCTACTTCTCATTCAGGGTTGCCTTGCCCAGCCTTAATCCATGGGGATGTGCTTAGTCTTACTACAGCTTCATGTGCCATGTTCTATTGATACTCATAAGAGACTTGCTTTTTCCTGGATGGAGACGGAACTGGGAGGGAATTGAGGTGTGTGTAGGGGGTAATAGAGAAGGGATACTGGCAGGGGAGGATGAGCGGCAGTCTGTAGCCTGGATATAAAATAAATAGATGAGAAAAAGGTGTATTTGAGCTCAGAAGTACTGAGGGGCTCAAAGGGGTCTGGTACACCCAGAGCTCAAGGGACTTCCCAGTGAGTTAGAGTGATGTTCTCCTGTGATAGACAAGCTTTTTATTCTCACACATTATTATTTTTTTTGTGAGACTGGGTCTATGCTTAACCCCAGCTGACCTGCCTATGTACATTAGGCTGGCCTTCAATTATTCATAATATTCCTGCCTCAGCCTTCTGAATGCTGGGATTAAAGATTGAGTTCCCGTGCCCAGAGTTTTTCAGATAATAATTTAAAATTAAATCATGGGGAAATATGAAAGCTCACAGAGAGTTCAAAACTACCTTGTTTATTTATCCTGCATGCTTTCTCTGAATGTTTATCTAAGATTATTGCATAGACTCTACCTCTATGATACCTTGTCCTTTATAAACAATAGAAAGGTTCTGGTTTGTCATTGATACAGGCAAGCATGCCATTGTGACTAGTTTTCTTCTTTGGGCTGAAAAATTACATGTGTTCCTACCCTCCCTTGTCAACACATACTAGAGTAGATGAATGGAATTTGGTAGCTACATAGCAAAACTGAACTCAGTCTCTGACAATTTAGCTCAAATCTAAATGTGGCCAGTGGCTTCAGAGACTCCATCTCTCTACTCCCTGGACTGAATCAAAGACAATAAGTTATATTAGCTTTCATGAATTAATTTAAGAACTATGAAATTACATCACTTGATTTTGTTGATAACTGATATAGTGCTATATCACCCTGAACTATGGGGCACTTCACATCGGAGCTGTTGGTAGTGGATAGTCTGGAATAAGGAGAATCCTTCTGTATTGAGGGGACAGCTGTGGGCAGGTTTCCCATGCTCCATTCAGTGGCCCACACTTTTACACATGTGGGCAGCACTAACTGCACTTAGCTATATTTTTTAAAGACATGAAGCCGGGAGAGGGTGTACTTTTGGGGCTACAGGGGGAAGTGGAGGGAGAAGTGAGGAATAGTTAAAATCATATTTCACTATATTCATATATAAAATTCTCAAAAATCAAGAAATATGAGAAATGACACAAACAAAAACAGTACATAAATTTGAAGACTATAGTAAAAGAAAACGTTAGAACAATTAGACATACCCTAGAACACGTTTGGAAAAACTTACCTCTTTGATGACTTCGTCTAGAAGCTCAGCATGTTTCTCATACGGCTGCTCAAAGTTCAACTCCTTGGCATGTCTCAGTGTGTCCTCTATCATGAGAAGTACCTCGGGGTGGTTTTCATTCACCTCTCCTATGGACTCTTCTGTGGAGACTAAAGTCAAATAAGTAAAGGAAAATTTCACTCCTGGGCTCATGGACAAAATTACTTGAGATAAGCCGTGCTGCTAATGTGTGCCCTAAAGTCTTCTTTGTGTTATGATAGCACCTGCCAGAAGAAGGAGGAGAAACCATTAACCACAGGATCACAACCTAGAAGGGTAGTGACACGAAGCCAGTGCATCAGCACGGAAGTCGTGTCAAGGAGGATCCTGTCAAGGATGCCATGGAGGGACCAGAGCGTCCAGCAGTGAAGTCAGTCATAGACATCAAGGGAAGAAATCATTCAAGATGAATACTTCCAGTTACCAAGAGTCCAGAGTGGTTGTGGGTACGGCAGGAGGCAGGCAAGCTGGAGTTTGTTGGAGGAAAAGTTGACACAGACTTGATTTTTGCTCCCATTCCTGGCAGGGCAGAGAGGGCTCCAGACGCTTCTACCATTTAACTGTGTGTGTTGACCTCTCCATTGAGGCAGGGGCTTGGCAGTTCTTCCTGGCTGGACTGCTTCTTACGTTTCCAGTCTTGCTTTGGAACTACAGCTTTAGGGCTTCAACTGTTGGGGCCTCTGTCCAGAGCCCAGTGGACCTCAGCTCAAAGGTCTTCAAGGGCAGGTGCCCTTAAAATGTCCTCAGGGAAGAGAGGGACACAGTTTTCTGTCAGAGCACTAGAATCAAGAGCTGTAGTCTCTTTCTGGAGCCCTGGTGGAAGGGGGCTAAAAGAGCCAGGTAGACTCACTGCAACGGAATTTGCTAGTAAAGCTGATGGGACAAAAGCCTTGTGTAGAGGCCACTCATGTGCCCAGATGGAAACACGTATTCCCAAGCTTTCCTAAGCTTCGAGTAAGTAAATGCAAATAGGTTTGAGTGAGGGTATTCATTTTTGAAAGTTTCCTGTATTTTTCTTTCTCCATTTTAACGTGGTATGCATGCATATTACAGATGCACGTTTGTGCATGCGCACACATGTGGGTGTGTGTGCGTGTGTGAATGGGTATGCACATGTATGTGGCAGCCAGAGGTGATGCTAGGAATCATCTTATTATTTTTTATTCATTGAGGCAGCGTATCTTAGCCAACCCACAGCTCATCGATATGGCTAGTCTCTCTAGCCAGCTTGCTCTGGGGAATTCCCTGTCTCTGTGTTCTGAGGCTGGAATTATATATATATATGGGGCTGCCATACTCATGAAGTATTTGCATGGGTTCTGAGGACCTGACTGGTCCTCATGCTTGTACATCAAGCACTTTAACCACTGAGACATTTCCCCAGACCCTCTGCCAGTTCTTTAGGAGAGTTATCTGAGTGAGAGTCAGATTTTCTTTCTTGCTTTTTGCCTTCTTTCTGCAATGGAGTGATAACTAGAGCTCAGAAATCTTTCTGTGTATTAGCCTGGTGGGCAGATACCAAGGAATGGCAGAGCAGAGAGACTACATGTCTTCCAAATGCTCTTATCACCAAAACAGTAAGTTGTGTTATTCTTTGTATGTTAGATATGTTGAGAATGCTCTGTGGGAATGTTCACTTAGAATACGAAAGGCCATGAGTTTGATTCCCAAGACCACACACACACAGAGAAAGAGAGAGGAGAGAGAGAGAGGAGAGAGAGAGAGAGAGAGAGAGAGAGAGAGAGAGAGAGAGAAAGAGAGAGAGAGAGAGAGAGAGAGAGGGAGGGAGAGAGAGGGGGGAGAGAGAGACACAGAGACACAGAGAAAGACAGAGACAAACAGAATGTGTGTGTCAACAATGGTTTAATGTTTAAGTCACACATTTCTCCTTCTAAATTCCAAAGGAGGAGAAAGGGGGGGGGGAGAGTGTCAATAGTGGTTTTAGTTTTAAAATCGCACATTTTCCTTCTAAATTCCAAAAGAGACACTGATTTCTTGTGAGGCCACAAGAAGTCATCAGCACCAAATCATCAGATACTAGTTTACCTTGGTCTGAACTCTAATGTTCCTTTTCTTCTTTTTTCTAACATTTGAGGATTTTACATCATACACCCCTATCGCATTCTCTTCCCAGTTCTTCCCTGTTCCTCCTCCTGCACATGTGACCTCCCCTAGCAAAAAAAAATCCAATTTGTGTTCTGTATAAACTCACTGGTGCATGGTCAAACTCTCAGAACTGAGTCTTCACCCTCCCCCCCCCCTCCCCGCTAGAAGCCTTTTCTCACACACTCTGGCTGGAAGCCATCTATTGTGGAGAGCTATACTTTGGTATCCTGTCACAGTTTTTAAGAGTTCTCTTTGGGCAGAGAGAGGAGGACATGAGGGAGCAGGAAGATTAAGTCAGGGGAAGAATAGAGGAGAGCAATAAACGAGATACCATTATAGGTTTAAAGAGAAATCTACCACTAGGGAAATGTCCAGAGATCTACAAGGTTGACCCCAACTAACAATCTAAGCAATTGTTGAGAGGCTACCTTAAATGCCCTTCTCTGATAACTACACAGACCATGAACATGGCCCTCTGATGCAGTTGGGATCATGGACATCAGAAAGACTTCAGGCTGCAGCATAGACCACTGGACATCTACCTAGCCTTTGGTGGCAACATGGGCCAACACAGACCCAGCCTCAGTAAGATGACAGACCCAGACATGGCCCTTGGTGGCATCACGAACTGGACATCACAATGGCTTTAGGTGGCTTTGCAGGCTCCCTTCAACAGCAATGCCCATGAGCACTCTTCAACATGGCTTCAGGCAGATGTGCAGGATAGGGACCTCTGCTTGACCTCCACTGGTAACACAGGTAAAGGGCATCCACTCCACTCAGACCCCAGCTACAGCAGGACCTGGACCCAGATATGGCCCTTAGCTACAGCCTGGACCCAGACACCAACAGGGTCTCGGTGGCAGCAGAGGCCACTTACATCAGTGGTTCCCTGTAGCAGCATGGCTCATGGCCATCAATACAACTTCAGTCCCCTGCACGGGCCACGAACACTGCGTGTCATTAGGTGATGACCTGGTCCTCCAATATCAACTCGGATCCCAGCCACATCAGGACCACTGACCCACACATGGCCCCCAGTCGCATCATGTGTCATGATGGTCCTTTGGGAGGTCCATCTGGAAAGTGGACAGTTCCTCATCTTGGGCCTCCATCATTGCCCAAAGCTAGGGTGATCCTGCGCTGGCCAGCTTGCTGGGGGTGGGAGGAAGTCTACCTCTGCTTACGCTGCACATCATCCCGTTGACCCCACTGGGCCCAGACAGGATCCATTGTTGACCACTGTTAACCTCAGCCTTCTCTCATGATTGTGAGAACACCGACTTTCCTTCTTGATGAAGGCCTCAGGACTTCCTTTTAGTTGTGGATGCCCTGCCCGTTTCTTTTCCATCTGTGGATAGAACATTGCTAAGAACTTGAGCTGAGTACTAAAGAATACATGCTAGATTCTGACAAAGAGTTTGGTACAGGCTCAGGGAAGCAGAACCCATGGTTAAGAGCCATAGCGTTCAAATAGCTAAACATATCTGTCAGCAGAAAAATAAATATAACAACCTGTAATAATGGAAGGATTTTAGTTTGACATATTGCCAATAAATCCAAATTTAAAAAAATAAAAAGCGCCTTTTCTGAGCAACAGTCTTGAGTTCCAGAGGCCCTGGCCTCTCAGATGGTTGTCAGCATGGGCACACCGCTGTAGGTAGATGCACTGATGCCTGCTTCTAGGTTGGACGGCTCGGTCCACAAAGGGGAGGGGCAGTCTGGGAGGTGGGCTGTGGACCATCGGAGACAGTCTCCCAGCAGCCACTTGGTTAGATATGCATATATGTCATGGACTGCTGTGAAGAGTGCACATGTGCACATGCATGCTTGTGTGTGTGTAAAGAGGTTACTGGTTTGAAATGAAGACAAGGACAGCAGGCTAGTTTGAGTCAGTAGAAGACAGCAAACAAAGCTACCGGCACACTGCACATCAAATGATTGATGTGCCTTAAAACTGAATACAAAAAGGATGGACAAGAACAACAAAAAAGTCAACCTAACAAAAAATCTTACAAAACCAAACACTAGAGCACAACTTTTAAATTCTTAAAGTAAAGACATAAATCAATAGAAAAACAATTAGTTGATTATAAAAGGTCCCTCCATTAATACTCCAATAGCAAGATAATTTAGAAGACAAACTGTTCAATTCTGGAAGAAAAAAAAAGACTGAAAAGTAAGGGACTGCCAAAGATGTTTTTGAAGAAACAATATACTTGATACAACAATTTAGAAAATTTGATGAAAAGCAAAAACCATGACCTGTATAAAAGGAAATAAAAGTGAACAAATCTTAATAAACTTCAGAAGTAAAAATTAATGCAACCCTGAAAGAAAAATAACGAGCAAGTGATGATATATATCTGTAGATTACTGGAGAATATATAATTTGGAATAACTTTTTTAAAATTTGGAATAAACAATTTTTCTCTTGCTTCATATTCACTTATTTAGTAGTTCTACTATTGTCATTATCCAGATAAAACTTATGCTAAAATGCATTGAAATATTTGTAGTAGCACAAAATGGCACAAAATGGCTTGGGACTGGAGAGGCGGTTCAATGGGTAAAAGTGCTTACTGGTCTTGCAGAGGACTTGGGTTTGGGTGCCAGTAGCCATATAGTGAATAACAACTGCCTGTAACTCCAGTTCCATGGATCCGATGCCCTCTTCTGACCCCTGTGGGTTCCTGCATGCATGTGGTTGGCAAATACACACATACATTCACAAAATAAAATGCATTAATATCTAACAGCTAAGCCACGATCTATTTATAAAAATTAAGCAGTTCTTTAAAACAAGGGTTAGGATAATTCCTAATAAAGTAACATAATTGTGTGGTACACTATTGTCCCAAAACAGAGGAATGGCTGACTCTGACTATTGTGTGATGATATAACTATAATTACGGGTTTATGACTGATATGCTGGTTCTAGTATATCAAAGTTAGTACAGAACTTTCAAGAAGGAATTAATAACCATTTGATAATGTTTGTATAACATTGATCTTTCTTGGGGTTTCGCATATATGCAATTCCTCATTTTCTCAGTCTCTTTTACATTTTAATAAATCTATCCTGTTCTGCAGCTGTTCGATTGAAATCTGCAGAAGTGAAGCCTGCCTTTTTTATTCCTTCTGATGTTTTCGACTTTTTGTGTATTGATTTTGCACTCCCACATGATGTTCAAATAGAAAACAAACTAAGATCCATAGACATTTTATTGGTAGTTCGTTTCCTTACCACCTTCACTGGTGTCCACATCAATGGTGTTCTCCGACCTAGTTTTGTCTTCGTCGGCAATCTCTAAGCTGCTAAATTTCTGGGTGCCTTGAGAGACTGTTGTGATAAAATAACACACTTTATTAGTTCATCTACACACAGTAGGATGGATTCCATCACTAACAATATCAGGTGGTGTGTTTATACCTTCGTCATCCCCCAAAGACTGTAAGTCATCAGTGCTTTTAAACAGTTTATAGTCCATGAAGTCTTCATACTCCTTTTTTGCATACTGCGTTTGCAATTCCCTTAAGGCCTTCTCCTCTGAAAGGAAAATGGCTGTGTTAAAGGGAAGCAGTTGGAGACAGGGAGGCAGGGAGAGTGGTTAAAAGGCACTGCTGAAGTTAGACAGGCTTGGTTTCAGCTCTGACAGTTGTGTAAGGGCTGGGGGCCTGGTAGCCGCTTGATCTACTTGCCTCGTATTTTCCTAGGCCAAATGAAGATCATTAAATTGAAAGCATTGGATGCATTAGCTGGTGCAGACGCAGGAAGTCTACTGCCTGTTGGTGGCTAACCTCTTTCATTATACATATTTTTGTGATTAAAAAACTCACTATCCTCCCTTGACAAATTTAACTTAAGTATATGTGGGGTTAGAATCCTAATGTTGGAGGTGTTAAGAAGGTTATTGTCAGACTTATAAGTCAGTAATTTTAAAAGGGGTTTTAAGTTCACAGCATACAGGAAAATATCTACTCATATCTTCTAGTAGGGAAGATAACGTAAGAAAAACTTCAGAACTTATGTTTGCTTCCCTAATTTCAGGTGAAAGGAATTACTACAGATTATAATGAGCATAAAAGGCCACTGTTCTACCGGAAGCCTGGCTAGCTACCTTTTGAGATTTAAGTTTCAATCTAGTGTCTTCAATTTAGAGAGATTAACTCAACACTAGGGCACCCTACTCTCCTCATTGTCTGCTCCATTACCTGTTACATGTTTCCCTCCCCCCTCACTAATTTCTTCTTTCCTTCCTCCACAGCCTTTCTTTTGCTTTAGTTTCTTTATCCACTGAAATGGAAGGTAAAAGAGTTAGCAGGATTAATAGGTCTTATGTACAAGGTAGCTAGCACAGCTTTACTGGGTAGTAAACGCTCAATAAACACTACGTATTATTTTTGTTAGGATATATGTTTTATCAGGAAAAGCACATCAGAACTGATATGCAAAAAGCCTCAAGACTTAACGCTGTGCTGCCAGAGGTTCTAGGAAATTCCACAGTGGCAACTGAATCTAGCCTAAAATTGCTGGGACTGATCTCAAAGTTTGGATCCAGATCTTTAAATGTGAAAAAGTTCCACAGCAGTACCGAATGAAGGCTATTCTGTTACAACAGTCATGGTGGCTCACACGTGATTCCAGAATTCAACAGGTAGAGAAGGAGGACTGAAAAGTCAAGCTCGAGACCAGCCTGACTATGCAGTTCCAGGCCAGATGTATATATGTGTGTGCATGTATGTGCATGTGTCCATGCATATGCATGTAAGAAAAGCAGACAACAACTGGAGATATCAGTTCTACCAAACCCCTCTATGAATTACAAAAATAGTTATGGAATTAGAACTCTCATTTTCATAGAGAAAAACAAACACATAAAGTCATTTTGGGATAACAGTAAACTATCCCGAGAAGCAGTGAGTGGCGGATCAGGAGCTGGGCTTTGGAAAGCAGGGGTCATGTGACTTCTCTGCAGTCACTGTGTCATCTGTAAATTTGGAGAGCTGTGGTTATTCATCATCCACACTCCACCAGTGTCACCGAATGTAGTATTTTCTGGTTAGAAGATTTAGTTATGTCAAGGCTGGCACACGGTCTAAAAGAACAAACATCCTAGGAGTTGGGTGAAGCTTCGTTTTAATGGCTAGTGTGGATTAAGTCACAAAATTGCTTGGCCTCTGTTCAGTAGGTAGACCCATGAAGAAATACAGTCTTTAAATGTCCACATTTACAAGCACCTATTCTTAAGGTTATAGAAATCAACTTTCTGGGTTCTGAGCCAGTGTCTCTTCATTCCTCCAACCATTCACTGCAAGACTAAATGTGCAAGTGGCAAGGACACTAAAATGAACAGACCAACATTCCCGACCTCAACCAGCCGAGCTTAACCATTCACTGAGACACACAGACAGAGACAGGGACACGAGACACACAGACAGAGACAGGGACACCAGACACACAGACAGAGACAGGGACACGAGACACACAGACAGAGACAGGGACACCAGACACACAGACAGAGACAGAGACAGGGACACCAGACACACAGACAGAGACAGGGACACCAGACACACAGACAGAGACAGGGACACCAGACACACAGACAGAGACAGGGACACCAGACACACAGACAGAGACAGGGACACCAGACACACAGACAGAGACAGGGACACCAGACACATAGACAGAGACAGGGACACCAGACACACAGACAGAGACAGGGACACCAGACACACAGACAGAGACAGAGACAGGGACACGAGACACACAGACAGAGACAGGGACACCAGACACACAGACAGAGACAGGGACACCAGACACACAGACAGAGACAGGGACACCAGACACACAGACAGAGACAGGGACACGAGACACACAGACAGAGACAGGGACACCAGACACACAGACAGAGACAGGGACACCAGACACACAGACAGAGACAGAGACAGGGACACCAGACACACAGACAGAGACAGGGACACCAGACACACAGACAGAGACAGGGACACCAGACACACAGACAGAGACAGGGACACGAGACACACAGACAGAGACAGGGACACCAGACACACAGACAGAGACAGGGACACCAGACACACAGACAGAGACAGGGACACGAGACACACAGACAGAGACAGGGACACCAGACACCTTGCTTCTTAGCTTTCAGTTCCATCAGTAACTTCTCTTTCACAGTTTTGATAGCCGTGTTGGTGGCCTCAATTATGGTGTCTCTAATTAGTTTTTCGCGGGCGTCATTAAAACGTGGCTGAATAAGTTTAGCATAGTCAACCACCTGCAGAAATATTCAATAAAATTCATGTAATCACAAGGTACTGCGAATATAAAACACATTTGCCACCTATCTATCTGTCTATCTATGTACCTACCTACTTATTTACCTGTCTTCCAAAAATAGATACTACTTAAGGCATCTTTGAAATTATGTATGGGATCCACTGATTTTTTAAAAATCTGTCTTATTTTTATTTTAAAAATTTATTTTTATTATTTTAACTATGTATGTGTATGTGGGGGATGGGTATGTACAGGAGTACAGGTGCCTGCAGAGGACTTGGGCTCAGCTCCCCTTGGAGCTGTAAGCCACCTGATGGGGGTGCTGGGGATTGAATTTGTCTTTTCTTCGTCCCCAGCTCTCATTTATAGCCCTTGGAATATTTTGTGCTTAGTCACTATAGATCAGCTTCATCTTTTCCAGAATTTCTTATAAATCATAGGGAGTACAATCTGCTTCAGGCTTTTGCCCCTAGAAGAATGCTTTTGTGATCCACCAGATTATCTTTTCATTGCTCAGCATTATTCTGTTATGAACACACTAATTTTTCATTCATTTACCCTTGGAAGGGTACATGGCTTGTGTCCAGGTCTGGTATCCTAAGTGATAAAGCAGCAGTTAACATTTATACAAAATCTCTTTGTAGATGTCTTCATTACTTAGATCACATGCTAATGTTATATTTGACTTTCAAAAAAGCATGAATTTGCATTTTCTTGGCAGCCTCACTAACACATGGCTTTATGAACTTTTTCAATTTTAGTCATCCAAATGGATATGAAGATATTTCTCACTGTAGTTTAAATCTAGACTTTCCTAATCACTGAAAACTTTCAACCTCCTCTTTGTTGAGGGCTGGGCTGAACTCAAGGCTTTTCCAAAGGCCCTGACATATGGAGAAGGAACATAAACCCTTGTCTAAAACCAGAAGTACACTTGGCAAAGTTTGTAATGGCCTGGCATCAGGAGCCTGCTCTTGGCAGGTCCAAGGCTGCTGTGTGCTTAGACTCTGATGCCCTTGAGATACCCTGTGTTCCCCTTGTGCCACATCATTTGAATAGCTTCCTGTTAACTCTGTCTCATTGTGTGATAACTTTCTGCTGACTTAGCCCCATTTCTCCCCTGGAAATGGTACACCAGACTCTGCATGTAGTCAGCTTGGCATAAGACAGCTTGTGCAAGACCTCCAGATCTCAAACTTACCTGTCACCTTATCTTCTGATCTCCAGGTCCTCTCTCTCAGGATGATCTCCTTGTCCAGGTCACCCCTGTGTGCTTATTTTATACTCATGGTTGTCTGTATAAGCGTATGTTCAGCCTTTGACTGCTTCAAATATTGGGTTAGAATTCTCAGTACATTCTAGTGGCTAACTCTTGTGAGGTGGAGGCTAGACTTACAAGTGAGTCAGTGGATCTTAGAAACAGCTTCATCTGTGCCTTACAACTATAAGTAGTACTTGCAAATACTCAGACTCCAGTTCTCTTTTCCTTCATTTTACTGCATTGCTTTATTCTGTGGCAAAACACTTATCTCTACATCATGGTTTAATGGCTACACAGAGTTGTATTAGATGAATGTGTCACAACTTACTTAACATATGTATTTAGATTTTAGGTGAGTATGTGTACTGTACACGTGTGTGTGAGTTATGCAGATGTGCACACATGTGCATGGAGCTGCAAGAGCCAGTATGTGTGTGTGCCCATGTACTGCATGTGGCTGTGTGGAGGCCAAGGTCAGTGTCGGGTGTCCTTTTTGAGACAAGCTCTCTCACTGAAGTCAAAGCTTACTGACTTGGGTAGACTGGCAAGCTAGTGAACCCCAGGGACCGGCTTGATTCTACGTCTCCTTCCCTGCGGTTACAGATGTGCTGCCACGCCTGCTGGCTTTTTACAGGCATGCTGAAGATCCAAATTCCGTGTTTTCATGTTTGTGTGTCAAGCGCTTCATTGAATCTCTCCAGTCCCTTGATGCAGATGTTTTTTAAATACATATTTAGGTAGAAGTCCAGCTATGATAAATGCTACAGTCTGTGTATCTTCCATATGATGGTTTCTTTTCTAAATTTTTTATTCATTTATTTTATGGGTGTGGGTGTTTTGCTTCCATGTATGTCTGTGAATCCTGTATATGTATAGTACAGTGTCAGATTCCCTGACACTGTAACTTCAGATGGTTGAGTCATCATGTGGGTGCTGGAAATGGAACTTAGGTCCTCCAGAAGAACAGTCAGTTCTCATAACCACTGAAGTATATCTCTATCCCCATGACAGTTTCCTTAGGAAAATTTGTAAACTGGATTTGAAATTCAAAGGCTCAGCATGGATTTTGGCCTGGATTTCCAATGACAAATGGCTATATTCTTCTCAACAGTATGATACTGGTTTTTCCTATCCTAGCTGCACATCAATATTTGGTGTTAATAGCAGTATTTTCCTTTTTCTTTTGCTTTTATTAACACATACCAATTACACATGTTATTTTTTATACATGTTCACCCTATAACTCTTTACTGCTCCCTCTCACTCTTCTGAACCCTCCCTCTTTCCAACTAATCCCTTTTTGCTTTCATATAATAATAATCTATAAAATGTAATGATGATATTAATATAGCATATCTTTTGTGTCTTAACATCTGTGCTTATCAGGAATATGATATCCTTTTCTTCTAGTATTTAATGACTACTTTTATGCATTGCCCATTTGCTATTTTTTCCCCACTGAGGCTTCTTCTGATATTGATTTATCTGTTCACATTTTAAAATATCCCTTTGTTTGTCACGTGTGATGGTTTAAAAATATGCCCACACAGCTTTTCATATGTGTGCTGGTTTGAATGAGAGTGGCCTCCCCCAGGCTCAGAGATTTGAATGCTTGGTCACCAGGGAGTGGCACTATTTGAAAGGATTAGGAGGTGTGGCCTTGTTGGAGGAAGTGTGTCTCTGGGGCAGAGCTTTGAGGTTTCAAAAGCCCCAGTCAGGCCCAGTGTCCCTTTCTCTCTCTCCCTGTGAATGGATCAGGATGTAGAACTCTCAGCTACTTCTCCCACACCATGTCTGCCTCCATGCTATCATGCTCCCTGCCATGATGACAATGGGCTAAACCTATGGAACTGTAAGCCAGCCCCAATTGGATGATTTCTTTTGTAAGAGTTGCCATGGTCACAGTGTCTCTTCCCAGTAATAGAACACTGATTAAGACAATGTGCCTCTCTTCAGAAAGTGGTACCTCATTTTCTTCTCTCATGTAGGTGGAAGTTGCTTTAAATGAATTGAGTAGGACTTCCTGGTAGAATGGTGGCTTAGAAGCTGACTGCATGTGACATGGCGAAGGGGAGTTGGGAGAAGAATAGACTCTATACCGAGGGGAGGGCGAGAGGGGAAGGTAAGCCAGAGCTTGGTGATCTACAGAGTCATAGAACAGTCAGCATAGTGAAAAGAAGCCACAGAAGTCCAACAACAGCTAGCCAGGTGGCCTTGGTGGAAAGACAAGAGCTGTCTTACCCTAGAACGACCCAACAGTCCTTACAGGACTCCAACCCAGTAGCAAGTTCTGATGTGACAGTGATTCCAATCGGGGCACAGGCCAGCAGTGGAAAGGAATCCCCTTTGTCACTCCCCGTGACCTGATAGTAATATGGCATATCTTTTGCATGGCTGGGCATCATCTTAAGTGTGACCCCACTCTGGGTGTTGGAGAATCCCAGAACAGGGAGCAGTCACAAGTAAGGACCCTGAATTCAACTGACTCCAGCTCCAGGGTGGCAGAGAGCCGTGAGAAAGTCCTGGAACTCAGGAGGGCTGGATACAGACAAGCTGAGAGTACAGTCTCCAGCAGCTACCCAGCTCAACTAAGAAAACTTTGGGATTTAATATCCCTGGGCCTGAGGTCTGTGGATGGACGGACCTCTGCAGCTTGAACAACTACGTTTTGAATTTAGCTATATGCCGAAATGGTCCCTGCTGAAAAGGCTGAGAATTCTGGAGCTCCAGAGGACTATTTTATGCCCATAGCTGGATCCCTCCAGCATGATGGGTGTTCCTGGGTTTTGAAAATGTGGAGACAGTTCTGCCTATATGGATTTCAGAGCTGCGGCTATTTGCCTAGTTCCCAGTGGACTTAAGAGGCATCCCTCCAGCTAGAACAGGAGCTACCTCAGGTACATACCACCTAGAAGCTGCAATCCTTAGTGTGACCAGAAGAAAGGTAGTGTGTTAAGGAGGTAAGCTTTTGAAAAGAGGATGCTTTGGGGGACCCAGCACAGGCAGTGAAGGAGCATGAATCATGGGACAGACAGGACCCCACAAAATCAGCTGACCCTTCTCTTCCAATGCACTTGGCAGATTCCAATTCTGAGGACCCCAAAAACGGCCACTCTAACACACCATGTTAAAAACGATATTTTCAGCAGTGTTTTGACCTTTATCTTATTGTTAGAAACTTATTTATTTTATTTTTTGTTGTCCTTCTCCATTAAATCTTTTATACTTTTTATTTTATTATTGGACTATATCTTTTATTTTAATCTCTTTGTACCCCCCTTCATCATGGCCTTTCCCAATTTTTATTTAATCTTGCTTCTCCTTTGTTTTTTTCCCTTTTCATGCATACACTTACTGTTTCTTAGTTTACATTATTAGATACTTCTTCTTTCAGGATTTTTAAAAATTAATTTATTTTTACATTCTAATCCTAGTTCCCCCTCCTTCCTCTCCTTCTGCTCCCCTCTCTTCCCCCCCCCCCCACCTACCATCTGCTCCTTGGAGAGGGTAAGGCCTCCCTAGGAAGTCTACTAAGTGTTGGGCCCCAGCCACCACAGGGTCTCTGTGAGTTGTTTGTTGGACAATAACCACAGGTGCATACTGTGTTCTAGTCCCGGCTTACAGCCCTGGCCTTGCCCCCACTGGCATCAACCTTTAGTTATGAAAACACAAACTCTGAACTCTTATACCTGGGGTTTCTTCACTGTGCTATAAGTCTGTATATAAGACTGCTCCCT